GCATCATATAGATTGATAAATCATCCATCAACACAACCTAACTAGTAACATCAAGATCTGCCACAACTTAGTGAGATGACAAGTATATTTTAACATCTGATTTGTAACAACAACAGATGAGAAGTGTCACAGCAATTAATATAGCAGCCAAACTCCCATGGAGGGCAGCTAGTGGAATCTAATGTAAGAAGAAACTTAGGACAACTCCCAAGTCAACCCATAGCCAACCCTAAGCATAAATATCCAACTAAGGTTTCTCCTCAAACATCTAATTTGGCTAAAAGTAGTTCACACAACTCATCTCCAAGTTCATGATTGAAAAGTATCAATGTAGTTTCGAGTCTTAAGAGTGGGAAAATACTTAGAGACCCTTGTAAAAATGAGGAGCAGAAAATAAATGATAGATAGATTGCTAGTGATGCTTCTAAGCGAAAAGAGAAAGATATCACAAGAAAAATCAGAAAACTGTTAGAGAATTAGAGCTCAATAAGAGAAGAAGATTATAATAGAAATGACGAGATGGAAATAGATAAGTTGGGGGCTCAAGCACAAGAAAAAAGGATGAATTATGATTGAATCAATAGGTGAAACATAGCTTATTTAAAGCTTAGCTGAAACCAACACCTATTGTGCTTCAGCTAATAGATAAATCCATTAGAGCACCAAGAGGAATGCTTGAAGATGTAATAATTATGATTAAGAATTACCATTTTCCTATTGACATTTTGATTCTTAACATGAATGCACCTCAAGACCTAAGCCGAACAACCATAATTTTGGGAAGACCATTTCTTACAACAGCAAAAGTTAATAATAGTTGCACCACTAGTATGGTAGATATATCCTTCAGAGGGGAGAAAATCTCTTTAAATGTTTTTGGAGCTTCTAAATATCCAGAACAGTATGAGGAAGAATGTAACATTATGGATGCCATAGATGATCGAATTAGAATAGGAAACATTTATGCATGTAGTGAATAATGTCATTAATAGAACTTAGAAACTTAAACATAAATGCTCTCCTCACCACATATGGAGGTAGCTGAACCATCCACCCAAAACCCCCTATTTTGGAACTCAAACCTTTGCTAAATCATCTTAAGTATGTGTTTTTAGGACCTAATCAAATTTTGCCTATTATTACTACTACTATCCTTGCTAAGGACCAAGAAGATGAAATTTTCATGGTATTGTAATTATTTAAGGGAGTGATTGGATGAACTATGGCTGATTTAAAAAGTATAAGTCTATAATTGTGCATGCAACATATTTATACTGAGGAAAAGACCAATCCGAATAAGAAAATGTTGTAAAGATTAAATATAAATATGAAGGATGTAGTAAAGTGAGAGGTAATAAAGTGGTTGGATGTTGGAATCATCTGATCTAATTTTTGACAACTAGTGGGTGAGCCCCACAATAGTTCCTAAGAAATAAAGATTAACAATAACAAAACACAAAAAGGGAGAAAGTATAGGCAAGATTAACTACCCTTATGAAGAGTTTTTATAGACTACAAAAAATTAAATGTAGTAACTAAAAAGGATCACTTTCCCATCCCTTTTATTGATTAGATTTTGTGAACATTACTAGATCAGAAATATTTTTATTTTCTAGATGGTTATTCTAGGCACAACCAAATAGCAATTTATCTAGGGTATCAAGAAAAAACTATATTTATATACAATTGATTTTAAATGCACTTTTTTTTGGTTTATGTAATAAGAAAGATACATTTTAGCATTCTATGATCTCTATTTTTTGATATAATTGGTTACTTTTTATAAATTTTATAGATGATTTTTCTATATTTGGTTTTTCCTTTGATCATTATTTCGCTCATCTAAGGAAAGTTTGTGCAAGGTGTGTGGAAACTTAGTCCTTAGTTGGGAAAAAAGGTCATTTTATAGTTAGAAATCGAATCGTTTTAAAAAAAATAGAGGTAGATGACTTGACTTAGTCATTGTATAGTAAATCACACAAATTTAAAATTTATAAAACTAGAAAATATGAATTTTTAGATATTTAGAAGTATTTCTGAACAAATATATCAATTATAATTCAATACAACTTTGAAAAATAGTGGTAATTTTCCAGATCGATCATAAGGATGTAATATAATATCGAGTAATTATTCAGAATTTTCCTCAAAGAATGCTATTTTCTATGAATTTTATATTAGGAAATGAAAATAAAATATATTTAAAATCCACAGAAAAGGGAAATAAGGGTGCGGACATCAGGATGTCGTCAGCATCTAACGAATGAGAATCGGACAAAAATAAAGTTCTGCCTGGTGATTCTTACATAAGTGATTACAGATGATTTAATTGATCAAATTAAGATCTGTAAAAGTCAGAAGAATTGTAATTGAATAAAGTATAACTTGGTAAATTTAAATCAGAAAAATTATCACTAAATGAAGCAGAAATTAAGTTGAAAGTAAGAAAATAGAGTTCCGGCGTCATAGTGACGATGTGTCGGCAATGCACCAGAATCTTGAGCGTTCGGGACAATCATTGTGTAGTGTCTATGGCCTCGAAGGCTCTCCTTGGACAAGGACGACGTGGGCAATCTCTAGATCTCCTTGCGAAGTTTAGAGATCAATGAAATGGGTCGTTGAATCGTCTCCGGCGGCTGTCACCTAGCAAAGTGGAAAAACAACAACTTTGCGGCTCTCCGATGACTGTCACTGATGGAGAGGAGCTAGATGGAGGTAGGGCACATGTCAAGGAGCTTCATCCTCAGGTCCGTGCAACAAGAGAAGGCTCTTCATCGCATCCGGTATGCTCTTAGGAGGTGGCGACTAGTCTCTGAGTAGATTATCCTCTTCTTGATGACAGCTTGTTCATCGATTAATCAGAGATGCTTTACTCAATGGATTCGTGATCCTTTTATTGCGAATTATTCAGCAAATTTAGTAACAATACTCCGCAAATTACGTTGACAAAATTTTCACCAATGATCTAGCGATTCTGGTGGCTTAATCCTTCACCGGCAATCTATAGAAAAGTTGCGATAATCAGATGAAAAATATGAGTTTTGGCTCTGAGATGATTCAAACTCATGCCAGTTGCCCGCCTGCATGAGAGAGATTGACATAAGTACTCTAATGCCCTTATCTAACGACATCATTATGATATATCTCTATTATAAATAAGGGGTATTTTAAGTATTTAAATCATCGAACCCTTTATGGGGAAGGTGTGACACGGGTTTAGTCTCACATCGCTTGTGAACCAAAGTTTCGAGCAAATATATAGTAATATTACATTTACAAATAAGTCCCTTTTTCATGCGTGTATGACCACTCCTTGTCCCACAGCCGGCTAGCCACTGGTGACATAGAAGGGGAGTGGCGTACTCATGCCCCTATCGGTCCTAGCTGCTTGAGCCCCTGCTCGTGGCTACTTTCTGACTACGGGTCCCCCTCATTTTGTTATATTTTTATTTCTCTTTCTTTTTCTTAATTTATCTCAAAAGTAAGACTGTAAAAATCATATAAATTCGTATAAAATCACATAATTATGTAAAAATTCACGTTAATCAACTGAAAACCACTTTTCACATTTTAACATAAATATAAGTCTATTGATCATGATTTAAGGCTAAAACTATATTATTTACTAATTATTAACTCATGATAATGAAGACTTATCAGTAGATAAAGCTAAAATAGAGGTTATAACTAACATATTACCCCCCTCTTTGGTAAAACAGCTTAGTTCATTTCTTGGATATGCTAGATTTTATAAAAGGTTCATTATATTTTTTTTAATATTTCTAAACTTTTAATGGCACTCTTAACTAAAGAGTCATGTTTTCATCTAGAGGTTTAGCTCCATTAGCCTTCGCTACTCTAAAACAAGCCTTAGTTTAAGCACCTATCCTCTTGGCCCCTAATTGGACTTAACCATTCTTAATCTTGTCTAATGCCTCTAACCTTGCTATAGGAATTGTGTTAAGATAACAAATTGACAAAAAAACCAATAGTAATATTTATTCGAGCAAGACCATATCTCATATTCATTATACTACTCTAAAAAGAAGTTTCTAGCTATAGTTTCTACTTTAGAGAAATTATGATCTTACGTTTTAGGAGCAAAAGTGATGATTTATTAACCTATTCAACACTTAAATATTGCTCAGAAAAATAGACATCAAAACAAGACCAATAAAATGGATTTTATTATTACAAGAAATTGATATTGGCAATAGGGATAAGAACGGCTTTAAAAATGCAATCGTTGACCATCTATCTAGACTCAACATATTATCAAGTATATAATTTTTTGATGTTGGTCAAATGAATTCTCATGTATGTGATGTGACCTAATCATTGTATAATAAGTCACATAAATATAAATTTATAAAGCAAAAAAATACTAATTTTTAGATTTTTATAAATATTTTAGTATAAAGAAATTAATTATAATTCAATAAAAGGCTCAAAAAATAGTGAGAAATTTTTAATCAATCAGAAAGATGTAAACTAATATGTGGTAATATTTCAAAATTTTCTTAAAAGAGTACATGTTTTTATTTTTTAAAACTAAATAATAAAAGATAAAATATCACAAACAAAGAATGGATATTTTTGAATTCAAAGGTATCAAGTGATCAGAGAAAATAGAGAAAGAGAGATTAAATTTATTTAAAATTCACAAAAAAGAGAAATAAGGGTTCGGATGTCAAGATGATGTAGCACCGTGAGGAATGTAATTTGAGTAAAAATAAAGTTCCACTTAGTGATTCTTACGTAAGTGATTGTAGATGAATTAATTAGTCAAATTGATATTTGTAGAAGGTAAAAGAATCATAATTGAATTAAGAATATTTTTGAAATTTTAAATCACAAAAAATATCAACTAAATTAAGTAAAAATAAGTTTAAAACATGAAAGATAAAGTTTAAGTTTTGTAGCAGCAATCGTCAAAATTTTGTGTTTGAAAATATTATTGTGCAATGTTCAAGGCCTCAAAGGATCTCATTAGATAAAAGATGATATGGACAATCTCTAGAGTTTCTTGTGAAGTCAAGAAATCAAGAAAGTGGATCAAGAAATCATCTCTAGTGCTTGTCACATAGTGCAGTAGAAAAATGACAACTTTATAGATCTCTAGTGACTATCACCAAGATCTTTGGTGGCTAAATGGAGGTGGGGCACATATTAGGGAGCTTCATATCAAGGTCCATGCAACAAGAAGAGGCTATTAATTGTATTTTGTTCACTCTTAAGAGGTGACACTTATCTCATAGTAGATCATCTTTTTACAGACAACAATTTATATATCGATCAATCGGAGATAATTTACTCAATAGATTTAAAATTTTCTTATTTAATTTTTTTCTACAATTTAGAGTAACAATATTTTGTAAATCGCATTAACAAGATTTTCGTCAATGATTGAGTGATTCTAGTGACTTAATTGTTGATCAACGTTCTATAGTAAAATTATTATTTAATTAGATAAAAGTATGAGTTTTGACTTTGGTGGTATTCAAATCTTTACCAGTCACTCGCTTGCTTGAGAGAAAATGAAATAAGAATATAAATACCTTGATAAAGTGACGTTATAAGGGAATCTCTTTCTCATAAATAAGGGATATTTTAGGTATTAAAATTGTTGAAACTTTTCGAGAAGTTGTGATGCCAATTTACTATCATGATGTCTTCATTATCATGAGTTAATAATTAATTAATAATATATTTTAAGCCTTAAGTAATGATAAATAAACTTATATTTATGTTAAATTGTGACAAATGGATTTTAGTTAGTTAATATGAATTTTTCTCTAATAATGTGATTTTTTGTAAATTTATATAATTTTTATAATCATATTTTTGAGATAAATGAAGAGAAATAGAATGAAATAAAAATATAAAAAAAGGGGACCTACTGGCCAGCCAGGCCCGCAAGTGGGTTAGAAGCATAGTCGAATAGAGCTGCAAGCAAAGGGCATGAGTAGCTAAGGATTGGTAGAGGTAGGTGACACATGTGTGTCACTCCCCCTCTAGGTCACTAGTGGGCAGCCAAGCGTGAGGCAAAGAATGGTCGTACACATGAGAAAGAGAATTATTGATTACTAAATCTCATATCACTATATATTTATCTCATAACTCTGAAAATAACCAGTGTGAGACTAAATCACTCAACTTTCTAGAAAAGGGTTTTCATAATTTTTGATATCTACAATACCTTTGGTTTGTGAGAAAGTGATACCTTTATGATGTCATCTTATAAGAATATTCATATACTTATTTCACTCTCTCTCATGTAGACATGTGACCAGTGAGGGTTGTGATTTTCTTATAAATTATCATCAATGATTAAGTCATCAAAATTACTCAATCATTAGTGAAAATATCATCAACATGATTTGCGGAACATAGTTGCTAAAATTACTAAATAATTCTAGATAAAAGGATTGTGAATCTATTGATAAAATGATCTCTAATTGACCAATGTACAAACCACCTTCGAGAAGTAGACAATCTGTCAAGAGATGAGTCACCACCTCTTAATAGCGTATTTGATGTGATAAACAGCCTCCTCTTACTATGTAAACCTAAAGATGAAACTCTCAAAGACATGCCCCACCTCTATCTAACTTATCTCCGTCAAGTGATCGCTACTAAAGATCCACAAAATCATCATTTTTCTACTCTACCGAGTGACAGCCACTAAAGATGATTTGTCAACCCACCTCATTGATTTCTAGACTCTATAAGAAGATCTAAGTATTGCCCACATCGTTCATGTCTAAAGAGAGCTTTTGAGGCAGTAGATGTTACATGATAGTCTCATTGAATGCTCAAGATTCTAACACATCAACACTGCAATATCGAAACCTTATTTTATCATTTTTAATTAGTTTAGCTCACCATCATTTTTTAGACTTTCAAAGGAGATCTAAAGAATGCCTAAGTCATTTATATCTAAAGAGAACCTTTGAGGTCATAGACATCAATCGATAATCTTTCTAAACATAGAAATTCAATGAGCATTGTCATGAGGGTGTAACTTTACCTTCCTACTTTCAACTTAATTTTTACTTCATTTAGTGATACTTTGTGTGATTTCAAGTCCTAAAACTATTATTCACTCAATTACCAATCTTCTCATTGTTACAGATCTTAATTTGATTAATTAAATCATCTATAATCATTTATGTAAGAATCATTAGGTTGAATTTTATTTCCATCTAACTCACATTCATCGAGGCACTGATGTCATTCTTGTAAATTTTTAAATATATTTTATATTCATCATTTAGTCTAAAAATTATAAAAAATCATATTATTTTAGAAAATTTCTGAAATATTACTTATTACCGTACATCCCTATGATCGACTTAAAATTTCCCACTATTTTTGAAACCTTTTATCAAATTATAATTGATTTATTTTTTTCTGAAATATTTTAAAAAAATTAAAATTGATAATTTTTATTTTTAAATTTTAAATTTATGTGATTTATTATACAATGATTAGGTCATGTTAAATTTTGACCCATTGTCAGGGATGTATTACATAATATTTGGTGTTTTTTTATTTTTTTCTTAAAGTACACAAAAAAATTAGTTCTTCTTTTTCTTTTCATCCTGGAGATAAAAAAAAAGACAACAGAAAGTAGAGAGGCAAGGATTAGAGTAGACTGAAGGAGGGTAACATTTATTAAACTTTGTTTTTAATTTTATATATTTTTATGCATGGTAGAAGATGCTGACATCTAGGACTAGAAAATACCTCTATATTTCATCCAAAACAAAAAATTTGAAAGAAAAATCAATTTTGATAAATCCTAAAGGTGGTATAAGTTAAATTGAGAATAATCCCATGGCCATGAAAAATTCTTATTTCCCTGATTCATATCAACGACCATCTAATATTAGAGTTCCAATAGCACTCACAATTAAATTTGAAATAATTTTATTTTTTCTAAGTAATTCTTAATTTTCATGGATTACCTTTAAAAGAACCTCACCAGCATTTAAAGAAAAATTATATGATGTGTGATTTACTTAACTCCCTCAATTAACATTGAAAATTATTAAAATGACATTATTCCTTCATAAACTTTTTCCAAAAAAATTATCTCTAAAGAAAAACTCAAAATAGAAAAAAAAACCTATGAAGTTTTGCTCAAAAACTAAGAGAAACTTTGCATGAGACATAGGAAAAATTCAAAGATTTACTTAGAAAGTGCCCTCATCATGTTATACCTAAATGACAACTTAATATAATTTTTTATGATGAATTATTAGAACAACATAGAAATATGATTGATTCTATATGTGGAGGAGCTTTTATGAAAAAAACTCTTGATGAGATTTACAACCCTTATGAGAATTTAAGTGAAAATTCCAAAGATCAAACCTCTTTTAAATTATATGATAGAGATAAAAAGAGAATAATTTATGAATTAGATCATCAAGATGATTATAATTTAAGAAATGAGGCTAACTAGATTAATTAAAGATTAGAAAAACTTGATTTACTTATTGACAATATTAGAAAGCCTCTTAAATCTCAATTTAATTCAAATAGTATATATTTTATATATGATGAAAATGATAATTCTAAATTTCAATATTATAATTTAGATCAATCATTTCAGCTTATGCAAGAATAAGTACAAGTAGCCTATAATTTTAATAAACTTAGGGAGTATTTATCTAATTCTTATAATATTAATTAGAGGAATAATTTTTTGTGGAGAGACCTAAATAATATTCAAAATTTAGAGGCATTTAGACCTAATTCAAATTATGAATTTGTCTAAATTGGGAAAATAGATTTCAAAAAAATCAGCTATCTAAAACCTCACTTATTGCTATGGAAATGGTGCAACAAATGATTCAAATAATGCAACAAATAATGAGCCAAATAACATTGTAGCAAAAATAATTTATAATGGCTTTTGCGAATAAGAGAGAAGAGTTACAACAACCTAGTCAGCCTATAGAAAATTTAGGAAACTATAAAATAGTAAGATTTTAGCAAGGAGAGTCTAATAGGAGAAATTTCAGAAAAGCCTACAAAATGAATATGTTAAGATAATGCATATATTGAATGAGAATATTTTATCTAATCCTTATCTCCAATCATTAGAGAAAATAAATTACCCATTAGAAATAAATGAGAATATTAAAGCTGAAAATATAGTAACAAAAAAATTGAATAAAATCATTTATTATTCACAATTAATGAATGAATATAGTGAGGATGATGAGGAGTAAGAGCCCTTAGATGAAGAAACAATAATTAATCATGAAAAAAACATTCTAATTTTTGGTAGAAGTGAGTAAAGGATGAAGAAAAAAAAATTTAAGTGAGGAAAAACTAGTTGATTTGGGAGATTTAGGAGATGACATTAATAAATCTAATTATTATTTTTGAGCCATAGATGTTGATAGTGATAATATAATGCATATCATATACTGAAATTAGAAGATAGCTCTTGGGAAGATGAAAAATTTAAAATTTAAGAAACAAAAATCTAGAAAAAGAGTTGTTTCAACTAATACAAAGAAACAAAAATAATGAATATGAGTATAAAGATAATTTTGGAAGAGAAAGTTTAAATTTTAATAAATTCATTAGAATTGAGACTAAAGTAGACAATTATTCCATCCTTCAAAACTTACAGCCCATTAAAATTATGTCTTTGCTTGAAATATTTCATTCCTCAAAAATTAAACAAATATGTAAGAAAGATAAAATAGAGCAACGTAAAATTATATAGATAAAAGAATTAGATATATCATTTTAGATGAAAAATAGTTAGGTAAGAGCTAATTTGAAAATTATATAGCAGGATCACAATTTATGATGCATCAATATAAAATTTTACTAATGAATGAGAGCCTTACGATATGGGATAAAAATGAAGAGAGGTTGTTTTCAAAATGGAAATATTATTTTTTGAAAACAATTGTTAATTGTTTTTACTAAAAGTATCTGAAGGTATATATATGAAGCACATGAATTTACTTTAAATCTGAAAAAGAATATCATGAAACTTACGTTGGGATACAAATATATTTTAATGGTCACATATCATCTTATACGATCTAAAAGCTGTCAAGTTGAAGACTTTAAATTCAACACTACATGGGACGCAATCCATGAATTTTATTTTATTAATTATATTTTATCTTTTTAAGTTCTTTTCTTTTTAGAATTTCAATATATTTTTTTATATTGGTTCTTTTTGAGTAAAAGTGCAAGAAGCGTGTAAGATGAAGTGAAAAATTAAAAACGAGGTTGAAGTGATGTCTTTTTGAACTTTATCCTTTATGATAATATTTTTAGTGCTTAACTTTGCATATATGCATGTTTCACTTGAAAATTTTATTTTCTATATATTCTACTTTGATTTTTCTGTGTCATTATGGATAATGTCATTTTTAAGTTAGAGCATGAAGTATTAAGTCTTAATATATGTTGTAGAATGATTAAGAGCATATGTTTTGATTTTCTTTCACGATCACCTATAAAAGTAACTAATTTTTTTTTAGAAAAATTATAACATCTTTTTCTAGTTTTTTGTTATGAACTGCATAAAATAATTTACAAATAGTCAAAAATAGCAGAAAAATAGTCTAAAATTTGAAATTTTAGTGAACCTTTTCTTACATTTTAATCCCCTTGATAAGTCTTCATTATCATAAGTTAATAATTCGTAAATAATATAGTTTAAGTCTTAACTCATGATAAATAGACTTATATTTGTGTTAAAGTGTGAAAAGTAGTTTTCAGTTGATTAACGTGAATTTTTGGGTAATTATGTGATTTTATATGATTTTTACAGTTTTACTTTTGAGATAAATGAAGGAAAAGAAATAAAAATAAAAATATAGCAAAATGAGGGGACATGCTGGCCAGCCGGGCCCGCAAGCGGGTTGGAAGCACAGTCGGGGAGTAGCTGTGAGTAGGGGCTCGAGCGGCTTGAACCGATGGAGGCACGTGTGTGCCACTCCCCTTCCACGTCACCGGTGGCCAGCCAGTTGTGGGGCAAGGAGTGGTCATACACATGCGAGAAAGGGACTTGATCGGAAACGTAGTATTACTATATATTCACGAGAAATTTCAGCGCACAACTGATGTGGGACTAAACCCACGTCACACCTCCCCAGAAAGGGCGAGGGGCAACCGACGCAAGTTCGAATCCTCCTAGAGCCAAAACTCATTTTTTTTTTATCAGATTATCGCGACTTTCTTGCAGATCGCCGGCGAAGGATTAAGTAACCAGAATCGCTGGATCATTGACGAAAATCTCGTCAACGCAATTCGCGGAGCATTGTTACTAAAATTTCTGAATGATTCGCGATAAAAGGATCACGAATCCATCGAGTAAAGTATTTCCGATTGATCGACGAACAAACCGTCGTCAAGAAGAGGACGATCTGCCGGGAGACGAGTCGCCACCTTCTGAGAGCGTACCAGATGCGATGAAGAGCCTCCTCTTGCTGCACGAACCTGAGGATGAAGCTCCTTGACATGCGCCCTACCTCCATCCAGCTCCTTTTCGTCGGGTGACAGCTACCGGAGAGCCACAAAGTCGCCATTTTTTTGCGCCGCTGAGTGATAGCTGTTGGAGACGATTCGACGACCCATTTCATTGATCTCTAGACTTCACAAAGGGATCTAGAGATTGCCCACGTCGGCTTTGTCCAAGGAGAGCCTTCGAGGCCGTGGACACTACATGACAATCCTCCCGAACGCTCAAGATTCCGACGCATCACCGCCGCGACATCGGAACTCTGTTTTCCTGCTTTCAACTTAATTTCTGTTTCATTTAGTAATAATTTATTGATTTTAAATTTACCCAGATATACTTCATTTCATTATGATTCTTCCGGCTTTTACAGATCTTAATTTGATTAATTAAGTCGTCTGTAATCGCTTATGTAAGAATCACCAAACGGAACTCTGTTTTCGCCCGATTCACGTTCGCCGAGCGCTGATGTCATCCTGACGTCCGCACCCTTATTTCCTTTTTTCGTGAATTTTAAATATATTTCCTTTTTATTTCCTAGTATAAAATTTATAGAAAATAGTATTCTTTGCAAAAAATTCTGAATAATTACCAGATATTATATTACATCCTTGTGATCGACCTGGAAAATTACTACTATTTTTGAAATTTTTATTGAATTATAATTGATATATTTGTTCAAAAATACTTCTAAATATTCAAAAATTCGTATTTTCTAGTTTTATAAATTTTATATTTGCGTGATTTAATATACAACGACTAAGTCACGTCAAATTTTGGTGCCGTTGCCATGGATGTATTGCATAATATTTAGTATTTTTCTATTTTTCTCTTAGAGTACACAAAAAAAATTAACTCTTATTTTACTTTTTTTCTTGCTGAATTTTTTTTTTTAAGAAAAAGGGAACGAAAAGAAGCAAGGCAAGGACTAGAGCATACTGAAGGAGGGTAACAATTACTAAAATTTTCCCTCAAATTTATTGATTTTTTATGCATTGTAAAAGATCCTTGGATCCAAGGCTAGAAAATCCTTTTATTATTTCATTCAAAACTAAAAAAATCTAAAAGAAAAATTAATTTTGATGGATCCTGAAGAAAGTATAGGTCAAACTGAGAGCAATCCTATGGCTATAAAAAATCATTATATCCCTTATTCATTTCAAAGAGCATCCAATATTAGAGTCCCATTAGCACCCACTATTAAATTCGAAATAAATTCAAGAATTTTTCAAATGCTCCCTAATTTTCATGGATTGCCTTTAGAGGAACCTCATCAGCACTTAGAAAAGTTTCATATGGTCTGTGATTTAGTTAATCTCCCTCAAGTTACACTGGAAATTATTAAGATGAAATTATTTCCTCATACACTTAGGGACAAAGCAAGTCATTGGCTATCCACATTAGATAAAGAGTTAACTAGCTAGAAGGACATAGAACAGGCCTTTCTTCGAAAATTTTATCCCTTAGGAAAAACTCAAAATATGACAAAACATATATAGAATTTTTCTCAAAGACCAGGAGAAACTTTACATGAGACATAGGAAATATTCAAAGATTTACTTAGAAAGTGTCCTTATCATGCTATACCTAAGTGGCAGCTCAATAGAATTTTTTATGATGGATTATTAGAACAACATAGAAATATGGTTGATTCTATATGTAGAGGAGTTTTTACAGAGAAAACCCCTGATGAGATTTACAGTCTTTATGAGAATTTAAGTGAAAATTCTAGAGATCAAGCCTCTTTTTAATTATATGACAGGGATAAGAAGAGAGGAACTTATGAATTGCATCATGATGATGATTTTAAATTTAGAAATGAGGTTAATTAGATTAATCAAAGATTAAAAAAACTTGATTTACTTATTGACAATATTAGAAAGCCTCTTAACCCTCAATTTAATTCAAATAGTACACGTCCTATATATGGTGAAAATGATCATTTTGAATTTCAATATCATCTTAAGGAAGAACAAGTACAAATACCCCACGATTTTAGTAAAAATAGGAAATATTTTTCTAATTCTTATAATCCTAATTGGGGGAATGATTTTTCATGAAGAAACCCAAATAATATTCAAAATCCAGAAGCACTTAGATCCAATTCAAACTTTGAATTTCGTCCAAAATAAGAAAACAGATTTCAGAAAAATCAGCCCTCTCAAACCCAACTTAATACTATAGAAATGATGCAGCAAATGAGCCGAATGATGCAACAAACTATGAATCAAATGATGTTGCACCAAAAATAAATTATAGAGGCTTTTGAGAATAGGAGAGAAGAGGGACAGCCACCCAATCAAATCATAGAAAATTCAAGAAACTATCCAATAGTAGGATTTCAGCAAGGAGAGTCTAGCTGGATAAATTTAGAAAAAAACCTACGAAATGAAAATGTTAGGACAGTGAATACATTCAGTGAGAATATTTTACCTGATTCTTATTTCCAATTATTAGAAGAAATTGATGAGCCATTAGAAGTAAATGAGAATATTAAGATTGAAAATATAGTAGCAGAAAATTTGAATAAAATCATTTATTACTCACAATTAATGAATGAATATAGTGAAGATGATGAGGAGAAAGAGCCCTTAGATGAAGAAATAGTAGCGTGACGTGTTAAGTAATGCAAGATTAACCTACCACAAACCATCACTAATTGAAAACCTAAGTCTTTAGTATTATAGTATTTTACTTGTCATTAGATCATCCTTTTTGGTCATATGCGTACTGAGTGATGCAGGATTCGTAAACTCCCAATGGAAGGCTTCATGTTTTAGATATGTGGTAGTTCACCTGCCATGGGATCTGCCTTATCTGATAATGTGGCCTACTAAGCACTATTGGATCACACTACACTTTGGACCACTGCCCAAAAATAAATGAGATTTAGTCCCACATCAAAACATTTTTTAACAATTGAGCTTAATATATATCAAAGATACATTCTGTGTGAGAGATCTGACGTGACTTAGTCGTTGTATATTAAATCACGCAAATATAAAATTTATGAAACTCGAAAATACGAATTTTTGGATATTTAGAAGTATTTCTAAATAAATATATCAATTATAATTCAATAAAACTTCCCAAAATAGCGGTAATTTCCAAGGTCGATCACAGAGATGTAATATAATATTTTGTAATTATTCAGATTTTTTCTCAATTAATACGATTATCTATGAATTTTATACTAGGAAATGAAAAGGAAATATATTTAAAATTCATGAGAAAAAGGAAATAAGGGTGCGGACGTCAGGATGACGTCAGCGTCCAGTGAACGCGAATTGGGCAGAAATAGAGTTCCGCCCCGTGATTCTTACGTAAGCGATTACAGACGATTTAATTAATCAAATTAAGATCTGTAAAAGCCGAAAGAATCGTAATTGAACGAAGTATATTTTGGTAAATTAAAATCACACAAAGTATCACTAAATGAAGCATAAATTAAATTGAAAGTAGGAAAACAGAGTTCCGACGTCGTGACGGTGATGCGTCGGCGATGCACCGGAATCTTGAGCGTTCGGGAGGATCGTTGTACAGTGTCCACGGCCTCACTCTCCTTGGACAAAGACGACGTGGGCAATCTCTAGATCTTCTCACGAAGTCTAAAGATCACTGAAATGGGTCGTCGAGTCGTCTCCGGCGGCTGTCACCCGGCGGAGCGGAAAAACGGCGACTTTGCGGCTCTCCGGCGGCTGTCACCTGGCGGAGTGGAGCTGGATGGAGGTGGGGCGCGTGTCAGGGAGCTTCATCCTCAAGTCCGCACAGCAAGAGGAGGCTCTTCATCGCATCTGGTACACTCTCAGGAGGTGGCGACTCATCTCCCGGCGGATCGTCCTCTTCCCCGACGACGGCTTGTTCGTCGATCAATCGAAGATGATTTACTCGATGGATTCGCGATCCTTTTATCGCGAATTGTTCAACAATTTTAGTAGCAATGCTCCGCGAATCGCATTGACGAGATTTTCGCTGATGATCCAACGATTCTCGTTGCTTAATCCTTCACCGGCGATCTGTAGGAAAGTCGCGATAATCAGATAAAAATATATGAATTTTGACTCTGGGAGGATTCGAACCCGCGCCGGTTGTCCGCCCCTTCTGAGGAAGGTGTAACGCGGGTTTAGTCCCACATCAGTTGTGTGCCGATTTTTCAGGCAAATATATAGTAATGTTAGCTTTCTAAATAAAGTCATTTCTCTCGCGTGTACGACCACTCCTTGCCCTACGGTCGGCTAGCCACCGGTGACGTGGAAGGGGAGTGGCGCACACGTGCCCCTATCGGTCCAAGCCGCTCGAGCCCCTGCTCGCGGCTACTCCCCGACTGAGCTTCCGACCCGCTTGCGGGCCCGGCTGGCCGGCGGGTCCCCCCCTCATTTTGTCTTATTTTTATTTCTTTTTCTTCATTTATCTCAAAAGCAAGACTGTAAAAATCATATAAATTCATGTAAAATCACATAATTACCCAAAAATTCACATTAATCAACTGAAAACCACTTTTCACACTTTAACACAAATATAAGTCTATTTATCATGAGTTAAGGCTAAAACTATATTATTTACTAATTATTAACTCATGATAATGAAGACTTATCAAGATCCCTTCTCCCAAATATAATAATACCTAGGACCATCTTGAGAGAAGGTAATAGGTGGTCTGCCCTTACACACACATGTGTGTATGATGCTCCTTGCTTTATGATTGGTTGACCCTTGAGACGTGATAGGGGAGTGACACACATGTATGTGAAGTCGAGTCCTTAGTCACTTGAGCCCAACTTGTGGTTCCCCTAACTTGGGTCCGCCCACTCAAGCACAGTGCCACTCTAAGTCAACTGTCAAATGCTAACTTGTTTGTGGGCAGCGATATTTTTTATTGTCTTATGTTTTTTAAAAAATTAAAAATTAGGCTATCTTTTAACTTTAGACTTTCAAAATTAATAATATATTGTTATATTTATTCTATAAGCTAACACATAAAATTAAAATAATAAAACTATTTAAACATCAAAAATCTAGCTTTAACAGTCACATAGGGGTAGACAAGATGAATGTGAGGCGTTACATAAGAGAAATAGAGGATAAGAAAAGGTGTAGAAATGGAAGAGAGAATGTAGGTAGAAGTGAAATAAGAAGAGGGAAGATGGAAAGTAGAAGATGTGAAATGTTAAATGTGTAAGTGACGTGACTTAGTCGTTGTATAGTAAATCACGCAAATTTAAAATTTATTAAATTAAAAAATACTAATTTCAAATATTAAAAAGTATTTTTAAAAAAATATATCAATTATAATTCAATAATTTTTTTTAAAATAGTACTAATTTTTCAGGTCAATCATAGGATGTAATATAATATCGAATAATATTTTATAATTTTATTTAAATAATATGATTTTTTATGAGTTTTACACTACAAAATAAAATAAAATAAAATTAAAATTCATGAAAAAGGGAAATAAGGGTGTGGATGTAAAGATGATGTTAGCACCCGACAGACATGAATTTGATGCTAATAGAGTTCCGCCTGACGATTCTTATGTAAGCAATTATAGATGATTTAATTGATTAAATTAAGATATGTAAAAGTTGAAAGAATCATAATTGAATGAAGTATAGCTTGGTAAATTTAAATCATATAAATTATTACTAAATGAAGAGAAAATTAAGTTGAAAGCAAGAAAATAGAGCTCCAGCGTCGCAACGGTGATGCGTCGGTGATGTGCCAGAATCCTGAGCATTCGAGAGGATCATCATGTAGTGTCTATGATCTCAAAGGCTCTTCTTGGACAAGGACGACATGGACAATCTCTAGTTCTCATTGAGAAGTCTAGAGATTAATGAAATGGGTCATCGAATTGTCTCTAGCAGTTGTTACCTAGTGGAGTAGAAAAACGACGACTTTGCAATTCTCTGGTGGCTGTCACTTGATGGAGAAGAACTAAATAGAGGTGAGATGCATGTTAGGGAGCTTCATCCTCAAGTTTGCGTAATAAGAGGAGGCTCTTCATCGCATCTAGTAGGCTTTCAATAGGTGGCGACTCGTCTCCTAGTGAATCATTCTCTTTCGGATGATAGCTTGTTCGTCAATCAATCGGAGATGATTTACTCGATAAATTCGTGATCCTTTTATCGCGAATCATTCAGTAATTTTAGTAACAATGCTCCACAAATCTCGTTGATGAGATTTTCGTCAATGATCTAACGATTTCGACTTAATTCTTCACCAGCGATTTGTAGGAAAGTCACAATAATCAGATAAAAATACGAGTTTTGGTTCTAAGAGGATTCGAACCCATGTCAGTTCCCCCTCAGCATGAGAGAGTTTGAAATAAGTACTTTAATACTCTTATTAAGTGACGTCATCATGATATATCTTTATTATAAATAAGGGGTATTTTAGGTATTAAAATCTTCTAACCCTTTTAGGGGAAGGTGTGACACGGGTTTAGTCCCACATCATTTGTGTGCTGAAGTTTCGGGCGAATATATAATAATATTATATTTGCAAGTAATGAGTCCCTTTCTCCTGTGTATACGACCACTCCTTGCCATATAGTCAGTTGGCCACCGGTGACATGGAAAGGGAGTGGCGCATATGTGGCCCCATCGGTCCTAGCCGCTCGAGTCCTTGCTCGTAGCTCCTCCCCTGACCGTGCTTCTAACCCACTTGTAGGCCTGGCTGGCTGGCGGGTCCCCCCCATTTTGCTATATTTTTATTTTTATTTCTTTTTTCTTCATTTATCTCAAAAATAAGATTATAAAAATCATATAAATTCGTAAAAAATAACATAATTAGCCAAAAAATTTATGTTAATCAATTGAAAACCATTTTTTACACTTTAACACAAATATAAGTCTATTTATCATGATTTAAGACTAAAAATATATTATTTACTAATTATTAACTCATGATAATGAAGACTTATTAGTAAGCCTTTCACAAGATATCAAATAACTAGGTAAAGCTCAAAAAAAAAAATCTACTTCAAAAAAATTAATTTATAGATTAAAGAAAAGTTAAAAAACTGGAGTTAATCTATATTGTATCCTAACATGTCAAAAGATTAAAGAAAAGTTAAAAAAAACTTACTTTTACATATTTACAAAGTCACCCTCTCAAAAAAATTGGCATCTATAGATATTTGTTGTAACAGATTTAAAATATTTTTCAATGAAAGATCAAATCTTTCTCGTCATTCTAAAATCTTCAATCAAACTTCTACTGCATGGTCAACCTTTTTACAAACATCCTCAAGGATTTCAACATCCTAAAAATTAGTAGAGCTCATCTTTTAAGTAGTTTTTTTTAAAAGCCATCAACTGATAATTATATGTAAAAGAACTATAGAAAGTAGTGATAAAAAAAGGTAAAAGACAAGAGAATGACTATGCATCTATCATGTCAAAGTATTTTATCATATCGTGAATTTCAGTCATTATTCATTGAAGGAGAATATTGAATACAAATGATTGGTACTATTGGAAAGTGGGCACATGATTATCAAAGTTGGATTATTATAATATAATTTTTCGTCTCATTATCTTGCTTAGTGTGTCAATTCAATATATAAACCTGGTTAGGTAAACCATGTGTCAACTTAGTTTGTGACAAAAAAGGTAAAACACAAGAAAATGACTATGCATCTATTGTGTCAAGGATTTTATCATATCATGAATTTCAGTCACTATTCCTTGAAGGAGAATAGTGAATACAAATGGTTGGAACTATAGAAAAATGGACATGCTAGGGAAAGCCAAACTATTATAAATATGAGTGTTCATCTCATTATCTTGCTTGGTGTGTCAACTCAATGTGTAAACCTAGTAAAGTAAACCATTTGTCAACTCAGTTTGTGATAACAAAAGGTAAACAACAAGCAAATGGCTATGCATCTATTGTGTCAAAGCATTTTATCAATGCAAGGGAAAGCCGGACTATTATAAATATAAGTGTTTATTTCATTATTCTTCTTAGTGTGTCAACTCAACATATAAACCTACTTAGGTAAACCATGTGTCTACTCAATTTGTGATAACAAAAGGCAAAAGACAAGCAAATGACTATGCATCTATCATGTAAAAGGATTTTATCACATTGTGAATTTCAATGATTAATCCCTTGAAGGAGAATAGTGAATACAAATGTTGGAACTATCAGAAAGTGGACATAGGCTAGGGAAAGTGGAACTATTGGAAAGTGGACATAGACTATTATAAATCTAAGTGTTCATTTTATTATCTTTCTTGGTGTGTCAACTCAATATATCAACCTAGTCAGGTAAAACCATGTGTCAAATCAGTTTTCCAATTCATTTTTATGAGTCTTGCAATCTACTAGACATTTATGATGGATTTTGGGGACCAAATTGCATGAAGTTTCAAATCGAGTGAACATCAACAACTTCTACTAGTATTGTCTTAATTAATTTCTTGTCCCATTAAATTTAAATTCTTAAATTACATCTCCCAACTTGAGTATGCATTCCAATAATTATATAGTATATTTCAAAATATATTATATGCATGACTAAGATATTGCTCTTGAAGTCCCTAAATTAAAGTATCATGAAAGAAAAATATTATGAATTTTTGTTTACCAAGGATGGCTAAGGTAAATGATGGAGTTGGATTTTACATATAATTCATTCTTAACTTGTGACAAGCATACAAAAAGTTATTTAATTACACTTAGCTAACAATGCATGTTATCCTTCACAACTTCTTCACTATGATATGAAATAATATTATACGAAATTAATTGAAAACTTATTTTCTTTATAAGTAAATAAAATATCAAAAATAACTCAAAGATTTTTAATTTCAACAATGGCATGAAACATTTTGATTTGTACATTTTGCAAAAGGATAATGCATTCTACATAATGTTTATATGGTTGGTATTAAACCTTGATAAGGCTAATGCTTATTTTTTTGGCTATGATAGGCTAAATAGTTTTGATGTCAACAAAACAAGTAGAGTTAAACTGAAAACATTATGCTGAGATGTTTAAAAGATGATCGCAAAATCAAAGAAGACAAAACACAAAACAAGCAAAATCAAAGGAAACCAAGCAAATAAAGATCAGGTCGCACATTCAACATAGCGTTCGGACTCATGTGCCTTCCAGAACCAGGGGAGTTCCCTTGCTCCTGCATAAATTTTCACTAACAATTATGATAGTGTCACATGATTTTAGGATTGATACATAATCAAAGTGTGTCTTTCTATTTTTCAGCAAAAGAGTCAACACAAGGCTAGACTCACTAATTTAGATGATTTCCAAATAAACTAATATAACCTATAAAAATTTTGCTCAACAATTAAGAGAAAAAAAGTTTAAAAGCATTCTTTGTGACCATGAAATTACTTTATTATGCTGGAAATACTATAAGAAATTATCAGATATATTTATGTACAATATTTAATGTTTTATCTATAATAAGAATGGAGATGACTTGGAGGATGGGGAAACCTATTTTTGTGATTCATGAAAATTAGTAGGTTATGTTACAAAGTTGTAAAATGAATGATAAAAGGTTTTTTTGGTAAACTTAGACATATTTTTCATAATCTTATGGCTTTAGTTGTCATATTCAATCAATAAAATCTAGATCCAAATAATAAAGATGAATTGAATTATATATCTGATGTTTATTAAACTAGTCCCAAATAAATGTGAAAATTATAGTTTTGTGGCACGTACTCAGGTTATATAGAAGTTCCCACGTGATTATACTAGAGATATGTATGCAATACATGTCATATGGTTTATATACTATTTATCTGCTATAAAAAGTGTCTAATCCATTGATGCAATAGATTAGAACTTTCAATTTGTACAAAGCACAATTATTCTAGATTATAAACTGAAAATAGAAAAATGAGCAAAGAGTGTTTTGTAAGTTCATATCTAGTGGCCCACTTCAAAACAATGATTGAATTCAAGGCTGAATTTTTATTTTTAATGGTACAGTAAAGTCACAATATGATTATAGATTTGTCATAGATCTTTCTAATTGAGGAACATGTTTTTGGAATGAAGAGGATTAATCTTGTTGAAATGGTCGCCACATAAGAAATTTTAAAGTAAATATGTCATAGTTGCATTGTACTACCTGCTTGAGTGGTGATAGATCTAAGTATTTCATGAAAGGAATTTCATTGGTTAAATTATGATATATAATTCCAATATGAGTGGGTTTTTCAGAAAAGGAACCATTTTTGTTGGAGAAAGTCTTCATCTGGAGAATTTGAGAGCGTTCTGGAATTTGGCTTCCACTTATTCAACCATTGCAACGGCCGCCACCTCCCATGGCACATGGAAACAAGATTGGGTAGGTTTCTTGCCTTCCAAGGTGGGGAGGGGCTTCTCAATATGACCCCACCAGTTTGCTTCGATGGTTGACCGTCACTCCAGGTGTCGCCGCCGCAACTGCCACCACTATGGACGTCATCTCCATTACTTCTGTTCAGATATAACCTCCAGCTTTGTTCGCTGGGTGTAACCAGCTGGAGGAAGAAGAAGAGAGGGAGGAGGAAATCAATGAGGGAAGTCCAATGCCGCCATTGCTGCCCTCTTGCCGCACTGTAGTAGGGCCTGTGTAGTTAAGTAAGCTGGGCAGCCTTGAGAAAAATGCCGGGCCTCGTCTTCTTCATCGCTGCCGCAGCCCACTGCTACCGGCCCGTTAATATCCTTTTCGTGAACAATGCTCGGTGCAGTTCTGTCCGACTGAGAGCTTGTTTGAGGAGGCCCACGGGGAATGAACAACGGACAGCAGGAGCCCATCTAGAATCTACGTCATATCGGCGATCTGAACGATGATGGATCGGAGAGAGAGCGTGCGAAGGGGATGGAGCCAGTTGGAGGACCTGTCCACACCACGGACCACAAATACGGCCGAGGCGGAGAGCGTCACCAATCTTCTCCCTCCCGTCAATCCTGTGGCCCCAGTTCCTTCCAGCCTTGGCCTGCGTTCTCTCCTCTGGTGATTCCCTGGTTCCTGATCCTCGCTTTCTCGCTCCCCGTTGCTCATATATAGTGTTTTGCTAGGAGAGAGAGCGGCCGGTGCAGAGTCTTCTCCAGTGAATAAACTCGGGGTGGCGGGGGCATTTGGTAGCGGAGCTCTGAGAGCGGAGGGGCAAAAGGGGTTCGTTCTTCGGGCCCCGAAGTCAATTGGGGGAAACCCAGCCTCGCCATCGGCTTGCAGGTTTCTCTCCATTTCTCCTGTTTTTGAGCTACAAGGGTGACCTGATTGTCCGCATTACCGTCTAGGGCAGCGAGCGGAAGGAAGTGGGGAAAGGGGAGGGGAAATCATGACTTCATACATGCTCAGTGGAGCTCAGAATCTAAGATTGCCGAGAGGGGAGGCCCCGGCTGGGCTAGGTTTTGTGGGTTCCTCCTTCCACGGGAGGTGCCTGCCCAAGCTGAGGATGGACTTTGCGCCTTTGGGTGGAAACCAGAAGGCCAGAATTGTGGCGCCCAGATGCAGCGTCTCCTCTTCGAGGCCTGCTTCCCAGCCGAGGTTCATTCAGCACAAGAAGGAGGCTTTTTGGTTCTACAGGTTCCTCTCCATAGTCTACGACCACGTTATTAACCCTGGACACTGGACTGAGGACATGAGGGACGACGCCCTCGAGCCGGCCGATCTCTATGACCGGCGGCTGAAGGTGGTAGACGTCGGCGGCGGAACGGGTTTCACCACGCTGGGCATCATCAAGCACGTTGACCCTGAGAATGTCACCCTTCTGGACCAGTCTCCTCACCAGCTTGCCAAGGCTAAGGAGAAGGAACCCTTGAAGAAGTGCACCATTATCGAGGGTGACGCTGAAGATCTCCCCTTTCCTACTGACACTTTCGACCGATATGTGTCTGCGGGAAGGTAACCGACAATCATTTCATGCCTTTAATTGATAAATATTTCATGCTTGAACTTCCTCCATCAGAGCCCATCGAGTTCCGAATTTCGTTTTAAGTTCATCTCCGTTCTGATAATGGCAATTCTACTAATAGCCGATACCTAGAAGTTTTGAGGACCCCGGAAACCATGGATGCGTTGTGACCACAGCTTTCATTTGCAGCATTGAGTACTGGCCTGACCCCCAGCGGGGCATCAAGGAAGCCTACAGGGTTTTGAGGCTCGGAGGAAGAGCTTGCCTGATTGGCCCTGTATACCCGACCTTCTGGTTGTCCCGCTTCTTTGCAGACATGTGGATGCTCTTTCCCAAGGAAGAGGAATACATCGACTGGTTCAAGAAGGCTGGATTTAATGATGTCAAGCTGAAGAGAATCGGACCCAAATGGTACCGTGGGGTGCGCCGCCATGGTCTGATTATGGGATGCTCTGTGTCAGGCGTGAAAAGAGAAAGCGGGGATTCTCCCCTTCAGGTAACAACTAGCTATAGATCTGATAAGGCACGAATAATCTCCATTCAGTGACTAATCTTTGCTGCTCCCAGTGCACAGTTAGGATCAGTTATAGGTTAGTTCTTCCCATTTTTATAATATCATGTGACGGATCCCGCACAGCAAAAGAATTCCATGCGGTTGCTAAATTGCTAGACCTGCTGCCTCCTATAATCTCAATCTGTGACATCAGTAGGGATGTGTTTGGCATGGATCCCAAACCTATGTTATTCATGTGCATACATCTTCATCAGAATTCTTGACATCCACTCATTGCGTTTGGTGAGGTAATTTTAAAAATTTCGGGGCTGTGTACCAAGTTATTGCGTAGAGTCCCCTTGTGTTTCTCTATCTACCTAGAATTTCTTGGAGTGTCCAGCGATCACCATCCTGATTCGGATTGTGATGTTTTCATCGCAATGCATGGGTGCATGTGCCCTCTCTCTGTGGCGGGATATCATGATTTCATTATCCTTCAAAATTTCTCTCGAGGTTCGGTGCTGCCATCTCTTGTGATGTCTGGCGGCCATATCGAGGAGAAGGGAAGAAGCTGACTTCTATCCCCGTACATTGCTCCAGAAGATATCTCTTTGGAAAAAATTAGGCTAGGATCTCTTTTTCATCTAATGGTTCAGGATACTCCCTATGAAGGGTTTATGGCATCTCCTCTGAAGAAAAGAGAGAAGGCTGAGATTCAGATAAAAGGGGCTGCTCACAATCTCCTGCATTCTTGGACTGCTGTCGTATGATGTGCGATTCTTGGGAAGCCAGCAGGAAAATCATTTCACCAGATAATTTAGGTGGTGACAAAAAACGCTTTTCATACTGGGGAAGCAAACGGTTTATGGGTCTTCTGATCTGAGTTCCCCGGTTGACATTTTCTTCATATAGATTGACTTTTTTTCTTTTCTTAATGACTACTGCCGGAGTAAGAATCCCCAGATTTTGGCTTGAGAAGAGAAGCTTTGATAGAGGGGCGGTAGTCCAGTGATTTTCTGCAAAAGGGCTAGTGAAGAGAAAAACGATGATAAGGGTTTTGGATCTATTGATCTTAAAGCAATGATACATCGACCCAATGTTCACGCCCTCCTTCATACCTCATAATAAAGGGATTCATGCTTGAATACGTGTGAATATTTCCTACTTGAGGTCGCTGTGAGTAACATTGATGATTTATTTCTCATGTGCCATTCATGTGGGATTTTCCTGTTGCTGCTCTTGCTGTTATCCCCAGTCTGACGAGTCTGGTTGGGTATCGGTGCTGCAGCTTGGGCCGAAGGCTGAGGATGTGAGCAAGCCCGTGAATCCGCTTTCCTTCTTCCTGCGCTTCCTCATCGGCACCATAGCCGCGGCGTACTACGTGCTGGTACCCATCTACATGTGGCTCAAGGACCAGATCATCCCCAAAGGCATGCCCATATGAATCCCGTCGTCTGTCTCTCTGTGCTTGTTGAGAGAAAGAGAGAAAGAGAGAGAGAGAGAGGGGTACAGCTACAAGTTTCGCTGCCAAAGATGGTGCTTTCGTTGTATCTTGCTTTACTATAACTCAGGTATGTGCTGTATTGGTGTTCTTCCATGTTTTCCATCGTCAGAGATTGGTTGAATCCGTTGTATTCTTGAACTGTCCATATATCCGGGCCGAGTAGGGCCAGGAGGGAAGGCCGGGAAATGGCGTCTGGGCCGAACCTCTGCTGAAAACGAGAGGGAGGGCTTTCCAGATTCGGCTGGGCAATTCAGGCAGAATTTGGGAGACACCCAGCTAGTTCGAGAAAACCCCACGCTCATTTCTCCCTTAATCGAAAGCGTTTTCTTCGCGGCTGCTGCCCCCTGCCCTGGTTAGCCGTGTTGATTGAATGATGAAATTCGGGGCCAAGCTACGTTTGACCACATACTGGGCCGTTATCTTATCTCTCTCATGTTGGGCCCAGCATCTCTCTCTCTCTGTTGATGTCTTCTGTCCCCTCCCCTGGTTGACTACATATTGGGGCGCTTACTTCGTCCTCCGTTCGTACGTTGTAATCTCTCTCTCTCTCTCTTGGTCTTCTACCCCCTCCCCTGGTTGACCACATATTGGGCCACTTGACCGTACGTACGTTGTAATCTCTCTCTCTTTCTCTGTCTCTCTCCCTTCCCTCTTAGATTTGGCAGTTTACTCTGGCGTCGTTAGTTCGAAAGTTACGATCTCTCGCTAGCTCTCTCTCGTCGATGCGTTTCAATCGGCAGCCTAGTGAAGGAGGCCCGCCAGCCGCGTGAGGTCCCCATCGGATCGCACGTGCACGCGTTTCCTTGACTCGTCTGTCCTATACATCTGACGTGTCTGAAGGCCAGCGTACTCAACGCGGAGAGCTACGCAGGCTACGCGTCTTTCCTGCGACAGGTGAGATGTGACCTATAGGCCAAGCCCCCCCCGCCCCCCCCCCATATCTCTCTCTCTCTCTCTCTCGCCCTCAGTCTCTCTCGCTCTCTCGCGCTCTCTATCGGCGTTTCGCTCACTCAGCAAACATTGGCGTAAATCTCCATCAGGGAAGACGACTCGGAATCTTACTGCTTGGATGGAGCGGCCAACTTCGGTTAGTTCAACTGCGGTAGGAGCCATCTCCTCGCCAGCACTGCACCATCTCCATCACCAACCATGCGGGAATCCCCGGTTGAATGCGACATCTCACCGACTCATCTCTCCCAATTTCTGATACAACTTTACTTCATCTAGACATATATACACATAAAGAGAGAGACAGAGAGAGAGAGATGACTGATAAACCAACCTACAAACACTTAAGAGAAGTGAGTCACGGTAAAATAACACCATGAGTTGACTTCTGTCACCGCTACCATCGAAGAAGAATAATTTAATGAGTAAAAGTGGAATATACACCTAATATAGCCTAGCTCCGAAGAAAAACAAACGAGTAGTGTTATCTAAATCTTGAGTTCATAATCTCAGCATACTTGCCCCCTTAAGACATTCAACTTCCAAAATTATCTTGTTATCTAAGACACTTCCTCTATATTATGGTGTAGCTTAAAGGCATTTTAGTAAATATTGTATATGGTTCGCACTCTATATGATGTGTGTTACTTGGCAATGAAAAAAGGAGTAGTTTCTTCCGCCGTTCTTCCCCTCTATCTTTTAAGATAGAGGAAACTCCATCCCTCTTTCTCCCTCCTCTTATGCAAGTCATAATACTCTAGAAATGCATATATAAGATTTTACATATTAATGAGTGTTCATAGGATACTAGAGCATACTTTATTGATGCCCCATCTACACTGTTTATTGATATGCTTTCACACAATTCAAAATTTGAGATAGAATATTCCCACCAATGTCACATGCAAATGTGTTACTTTCATATATGAAGGGCACCATAACTCCTCATGGTATTATTCATTAATATGTTGTCCTCATGCCAACAAGCAAAAAAAATTATAGGGTTCATGCTTTAGCTTTCTGCCTCTCTCATTTCTATGTTGTCCTCATGGTATTATTCATTAATTGAATGAAAAAATAAAAAAACCCATTTCTCAAAGATCACTAACTTCTACTTCAGCTTTCTGCGTCTCTCATTTCTATAGGGTTCATGCACCAAAGCTGAGGTTACCCTCTTTATTGTCACTGCATCTTCCGCCAACAATTATGAAAATCAAGACAGCAATTCTATTAGGACTTTCATCGAAATTTTACTGATTAGTTCTTCATTTTTTATTCTCATGAGTATGGAAATCTCTTTTTCTATTATTTTAAGCATGGTTTGGTTATATATTTCATCCCACAATGGCAATCAATGATATACACATCACTACTCTCACGTGGTTTTATCTTTTTCGTATTTTTCACTATGCTAAAAAGCACCCATTTCCAGCCCAAATCATAATAATCATATCTCCTTTCTCAATCCAAGACACATTAGCCTGATCTCAATTCTACTTGATGCCAAAACAACTCTAAAAATTACCCATGGGTGAAACTTCTCTCCAAATATGTCCATTCTTTAGAAATATCCAGTTTTAGCCATTGTAACCTTTGAATGCCGCAATAATTTTGATCATTCTGCTAGTTGATCGTAAAATTTGATTTGGAAAAATCCTATTTCCTGTTACAACAAGAGGCAGTAGGCCATTCAGATGCCCTAGCATTGAGGTAACCAGCACTACTGCATAGTTGTGGATGAAAAAGTTGAAGCTAAATCTATGGATCCGTCACTTACTAGATGACAAAGTGTGTTTTCTTTCATAATGTACATGTTTACTTTGATAAACCCCACTTTATTATATGGATAGCACGATGGCATGGATTTTGCTGCAACACACTGTTGTATAATGCTTTAAACGGACCCTTCATTATGATTTCCAGCAAAGTCTAAGCTTTGCATTATGTTCAACAGTTTATTTCCAAGCTTTTCAAATTTAGATATCGTAGAGTTTAGAGAAATGTTATTATGGTAGTCGAGATAAATAATTTTTGATTTAATAAATGCACTTATGCATATTATGGGCGCATTGTTGGCAACATTAAAAATCTAAATTTCCAGTTTTTTGTGGTTTCTAATCAGTCCACACATGGGATATTAATTAGGGTTAGTTACATGTTTTAGGGCTGGATAGTAACTAAATACATGTTTCATTTCATGCATGAATGCTATCAAGAGGATTTTGGCTTTTGACTAGATCAAAGCTGGGCCACCCGTAGTTCACGTTTGTGGGAACGAGTCAAAGTTGACTTTTTCTTCCTATTTCCTTCTGATACTAAAGACTAAAGAAAACGTCACTATGTATGGTGCTCTTCTCAATTTCTTCAATTAGCTTCTCAATTTCCACACAGAAGAAACATGTCCTAGTTGTTTTAGTCAAAGCGAGCTGTGAAAACCATGTGAGAGAAATCATGATCAACATGTACCTCACAGAAATGAGAAATAGTCAACGAACAGCTACTGTTTCCAGGCGAGGCAATTTAATTTATTAAATTATTTGAAAAGAGTAAAAGTTCGGGCTTTAGTTACCATTTTTAGTTTAATTATGAAGATGGTTCAAGTAATGTTTCAAATTCATCTTCGGCATGTGTTTCGAAATGGGATGTAAACTGACGACCTAAGGCGGACTGTGAACTCCGACAGTTACCAGACAGGCGTATTAACTTGGGTTAAAGCAGTTTAATCACCGCAGACAGGCGGACCTCTGACTTTGGGGGAGCCTTCGATGACCCCCCTCAGAACGTCTCGAGGTCAATTCGGAAGTGTGAACGGGGCCCGCTGTTTCCCATGAGAAAAGAAGTGGTTAGTGCGCCATTCATTTGATTCATCTCACCCCACAGCTTGGACCTTTCAGACGGGGATGCAGAGGGAGAAGGATTATAGAGAGAGAGAGAGAGAGAGCGTGTGGCTCAAGTCGAGAAAAACCGTCTTCGACGCGGAATCTTCCGTTCAAGAGCCCGAGAAACCTTGAAAAATATTCCTGAAGTGCTCCCGTTGTTGCGGCTTCGCTCCGCTGAGGTCTTGGCAACATTGCTTCATGTAAATTTTATATAAAACCTATAAAATATTTCAAATCTTTGCTCACTCGTATATTTTAACTAGTCACAGAAAAGGGTGCAAGTACAAACACATTTTTCAATAGGGTTCGAAAGGGAAAAAAAATTCTCTTGTCGCGGCCTGCTCCCCCCCCTATTCCCCCCCCCCCCCCCCAGCTCTACAAATTCCCGGCGGAAGGCAGCCTCAGCCTTAGAAACTCCCCCTCCTACCTCCTCCTTGGCTTGGAAAACCTTCCGGCCTTTTTCCCTCTCGGCGGCTTGTCCCTAGCTGGCGATTAAACTGTAGCCCTCTTCATGGATTTGCTCTCAGAAGATCAGATATCCGAGTTTCAGGAAGCTTTCTGCCTCTTCGATAAGGATGGAGATGGTTAGTTCTTCCTTCCCTCCTCTATAAGTGGTAGGACTTTGGGTTCTTTTATCGCTCAATGTGGCCCCTCAAGTCTTCGGGTATTCTGTTTTTCTTGCCTCCATGGATGGAAGTTTTCTCATCTGTTCGCTGGTTTGGGTGTGTTTTCACGGCGGGGATTGTTTGATAGGTTGGCTTTTGCGGGGTTCATGGGGGAAGGGATATGTGCTTCGATGAGTGTCACTGCGCGCTCATGTAGACTGCACGAGGGCTTGAACTGCGCCAACCCCCCCTCCTTTGATGATTTCTTTCCTCGTGTATATACGCCTTACTCCTCTTTGGATTAATGAATAGAAAAGCCTGGTCGCTTGTGAAACCGAAAACTAGGGCTTGAAGAAGGAAGGGGACGAGGGCTCTCTCAATCGATTCTTCATACTATTGGGGGGTTATTTGGGATTCTGGTAGCCCAGGATCTACTATATAGCACTGTAGACCTTGTTCAGGAGTTCGAATTTCCGTCCAGATGCAAGAAATATCAGAGAATCGATCAAAACGCTCCGATGAGAGGAAAACGGTTCCTGAATCCGACTGAAGCTGTGCCATCTGACTCCCATTCGAACTCCGCACGAGGACTTGTGATTGGGGTCAAAGTCCGCCCGCAATGTTTGACAGACCTATTTATTTTAATAAAATCCTTTCCTGGAGCAAGTTGCAGGATGATTCTCCGCCATAGATTGAGGGTGGGGATGTCCACTGATGGGGGGGTCGGTCGTCCGATCGCTAGACTTGGGAAGGTCGTATTTGTGATGTCAAATATTTATGCTCTCATTATTTTATCCTCCCTACGATTTTGTTTGATTGCTAAGACCGCGATCGGCAGACGACCCATCGGTTTCCCAGCCCAAAGATCTGAAATTTCCCAATGAGCACGAATTTTCTATCGTCCCAGCTTTGACTTGATTGTCGTTCTCATAGGCTGCATCACGCTTGAAGAGCTCGGCACCGTCATCCGCTCGTTGGGTCAGACCCCGACCGAAGAAGAGCTGCAGGACATGATCCGAGAAGTCGACGTGGACGGAAACGGGACCATCGAATTCGGGGAATTTCTTAACCTCATGGCGAGGAAGATGAAGGTAATTGCTTTATACGCCCTCGGCAAGGAACGCAGTGGGATGCGCTACTGTAACTTTATGTCCATGGTCTGCACTGGTTTTTTCAGGAGACAGACGCCGAGGAAGAGTTGAAGGAGGCCTTCAAGGTGTTCGACAAGGACCAGAATGGTTTCATCTCGGCCAGCGAGGTAAGACCGATCCTCGGTCCGGTCGGCTATGTGCCATTGCACCGAGCCCGAGTTCCTACCGATTATCCTGGAGAAGAAGCTCCATAGGCAAGCTTTAACAAGGCTTCCTTGACTGCAGCTGAGGAATGTGATGATCAATCTCGGGGAGAAGCTGACCGATGAGGAGGTGGAGCAGATGATACGGGAGGCCGACATGGACGGAGATGGCCAGGTGAACTTCGAGGAGTTCGTCAGGATGATGATGGCCGGCTGATCTGGTCTCCCCTCCCCACCAGCTCTTCCCCTCCGGTATACTCCGCAGCTCCCAGTCTATCGTTCTTCATTTCAGTGGGGTCGAGAAATTCCTCTGCCATCGCTCTGCTCCTTCGTCTTCCCCAGTCCGAGGTTTTTCGGCTGTCAAAACTTGAAAAGTGCAGTGTAGTCAAGTGTAGTGTTTATTCGGTGTGCCGGAGGTGTACGTCTGTTCTTCCGCCTCCGGTGTCCGTAGGAAGAAGCAATAAATGTTGTGCGAATTTAATGGGTCCCTCCACTTCTCTTTACCCAAAGAGGAAGCGCTCCGCCCCGACAGGAAAGAGAAGCGACGTGGTGTAAAGGGTAAGGAGGACCTGTCTGTCTGTCTGTCTTTATGTAAGAGTACATGGATGTACGTACGGACCTGGTCCAATCTTCTCGCGAGTCTATAGATGTACGTACTGACCCGGTCCAATCTTTTCGCAAGTCTATGCATGGATGTACGTACGGACCCGGTCTAATCGTATGCCCGGATATACATACTGCCATTATGATGTCGCTCGTGTGACCCTTCTTCTGTATTGTGGAAGTAGGACGCTCTATGGCGTAGACGGCACCTCGGAAGTTGGTTTGCTCACCGCTTGATGACGGCAATTGGGATGGGTTTAGGGTTTTTACTTCTGGGCTCTATTGGGCATCTGCACAGTTATCCCGAATGTCAATAAGGGGTCGTCCCTATCGGTGAGACTGTTCTCGCCATTTAGGTCTAAGCGTAGGAAAGTAATTGGTGAACATTGATTTTAACCCCATGTCAATAGGCTTCAATCCCTGGATTCAAACTAGTTGATCTTCCTACTCAACACGAGGGCAGTCTTGTTAATATAATTGTGTATATGACAACCCAACTATGTAAGCACATCCCTCTTTAACATTTCTCCTTGAGGAATTGTCCAAGGGATTTTCCTTATCCAAGTTTACTCTTTGTAAAAGATTATTTAAATTTCTTTGGGAGAAGATGAATGTCATCATCTCCACTCTGAGTATCTTCAAGTCATGATGATAATGCCTTGAGATCAATGAATCTCTTTCTCTTTGACTCATTACTTTCTTTAGAATTTATAACCCATCATATTTCCCATTGCATTATTTTAAGGGAGAATCCTAAGAAATAAAAGTAGCAGTCTTGATTTGTAAGTACACACTTTATAGTATTTAAAATGACATACTGTTTCAAAAATGATTGCATCTTTTATGAGCATAGTCCTTGGCCTTAGAACATCCAATATTACCTTTTCTAGTTTCGAATTGGTTCATCAAATCTGAAGATCCTATCCACTTTTCTTTCATCATATGTAAGTTCTTACTTCCTCCACATCCCCCATGCAATCTTAAAGCATAGATAGTTGACTAAACATGTTGCCATTTTAAGTATACAATAGAATGTCATCACTTTAGCATCAAGAGAGAGTAAGCTTTCATCTATACAATTGTTTCCTCAGAAGGCACATATAGTCTATCTTCAACTACACTTCAAATTTCATCCTAATTTTATAATCTCATAGTTTACTTTGTTGAGTAAAGCAAGTTTGAAAAAAACGTGGCCATCATTGAAATGGCTTCTCTAATGCATACCATGGCTATACTATAAACTTTCAAGTCCATTCTAGAAACAAGTTACAAGACTAGTTAAAAGTTGAATGACATATCAGAGTGTAGTAAGAGGAGACAATTATAATTCTAAAGTGGATATGAGAATAAAATGAGCAATTAAAAACAGTTACAAATTAGCACAAAAAAATTATACTTTTTTGGTTAGTTATTGACTTACTCCTTAGCAGGTCTTCACTTCATGGTTTGACTAAGTATCAATGAACATATTATATTTGGTGACCTTATAGGTTTCTATCAAATATTTTCTATTCATAGGCCTTGTTTAGTACAAGCTTGTTTCAATAAAGAGAGAGCATCAAAAGTAAGGACATACATTACCCTTTAATTATGAATGAGATCTAGTGAATCAATTGAAGGTTCAGCTCAAATAAGAAATCTCCTTGTAACTTGCATGTGAGATGCTTGTTACAATTGCAACTTTTAATTTCTAGTTCTTTTTTGATTTGAAGGATTTGGGGACATCTAATGTAGTCCATATGAGAGTAAATAAACTTAATTGTGTTTATCACTAAATAATGATTTTAATTTGATGGGGTGGAATCTTCATGATTAAACCTTTTAATAGAAAAAAATAATAATATATTCTTGAATTATGAATTTTTCTAGTGGAATTAAAACAAAATTGACTAATTCCTTATAAACTATTCACTATGGCGTAGAAAAAATATTTAAGTGATTTGAAATAAAATATCAAATACATTAAATAATCGTACATAAATTTTAGAATGGTTTAGCCTTCCACCTACTCCATTATCACAAGAAAAACTCTTCTTAGGTTTCAACCAATTATCGTTGAATATTACATCTAGGTATTCATGTCCCTAGGAATAGATAGAACTTTGGGCTATCAATCAATATATTGCTCATAAAGTTAACAATGACATGACTTTCACATAAATCACTCAACTACTGACTTTACTAATGTAGGGTCCTTAGTATGATAGCAATTATATTAAGAGGGGGTTGAATCAATTTTATGAGATGTTTTATCATTTTTAGATGTTTTTAAGTTATTTCTGTGATTTTCAATTGTGTGGACAACACAGAATATTGATGTTGAAACAAATTCCTATGGGTCGACATAGTTTTCCACTAAGTTGAAAAACTATGTTCTAATATGTATTAAACATAAGGATTTAAAATGGTTCTTACTTTTCATAGGCATAAATTCACTTTCCAATGGTATGTACTCTTCATTTTCACTATTCTTCCTCGAAAAATTACAAAAACATTTCATGGGACTATTAATCTATGTTTACATAACATATTTATTTGGACTATCACCCCATGCTAAACATTAATGCACTACCTTGTCTATCTTCTCATGTTGCCATCATTTGCAAATGTTGTGGTCTTTTGAAGTGTCTATTAATCTCATAAGTTTTTGTAAGTGTTTATAATGCACTACATTATAAACACTTACAAAAACTTAAAGAAACTGAACAAAATGCTTCCTTGATGATGAAGATTAGGTCAACAAAGGCTAAACTGTGTTTTCATAAGAGTTTGCACCAAGCTCTTATGAGATTTGAACTCATGAGTATTTGGAGGATGAATGGATGAGATGTTTCAAAGTTGACGCATTGCTTGAAACCTCATCTAAAGGGGTTCTAATAGTGCCCAAAATCTCAACTAGTGGAGTTCAAATAAGTGAGATTTGATTGATAAAAGATTTTCTATGCTGACACATGGTCAAGCTGGTCAAGATTGATGACTTGACCAACATTTGACCATGTCAAATGTGTTAGTCCATGAACCTTTGAAAATGTTGTGGTTTTTTGATGTGTCAATATGAGGTCTTCTGATGCATTGTGATCATTTGACATGTTAGTTCATAATCTTTTGATGCATTAGAATTCTTTATCATCATAAATACGGCTGCCATAGACAATATATTATAGTGTCATTAATTTACCATGTGTCAAGTCAAAAAATTGACTTTGTCACATGCCATTAAGCAATGACACATTATTTTGATTTGAACTTTTCTTATGATGATTTTGTGTTTGATGTTTTCTATACATTATTCAACTTTTTACTAGATGTAGTGTCCTATCACTAAGTAGTGCCACATGTCATGTTGACTTTCAAAATGTACTTAAATCAGTTAGATTTGCTACATGTCTAGATGTAATTACCTAGTTAGATTTGAAACATATTCAGATTAAATTATTTGAGTCATATTTTTTTGTGTACAAATATAATTTTCTCATCAATAGTTTATCATTCTCTCTTTTGGATGAGAATTGACGCATTAAGTAAATGCAAGAGGTCAACACATGAGTCAACACACATTTTGGCCCACTTTCTCTCTCCTCTAGCTTTGCTCTAAAATAACTTACTTTGATTTAGTTTGGCTTATACATGTATGACTTTTGATGTATATTCTCCTCTAGACCTGAAAAACATAACATTTAAACATATCAATTTGGAGGTCATTACATTTCAACATATTTGATGACAAGTTTTCATACTTAACACCAAAATATGTGATCAATTTGTTAACATCAACATTATTTTAGTCAACTAGCTCCAATCCACTAAATAACAATCAAGGAATTGTTGCACCATTGGTTTTACTATATCTAGCAAACCAAATAATAAGAATTATCAAGCTTCTATGAGGCTTACTTTTGGATCCAATCTCAAGCCACCAAATAACTCTCAGGCCATTCTCAAGCTTCCATTAATTTTAGTAGCACTAGTGCACCAAAGAGTTCAAAGTGATGTTCAACCCAAGTGAAATGTATTTCAAATTTAATCTCCACAACACCATTAATTGGTATAGTTTCTAATTTACAAAGATAAGTATGTAAGCATTGATAACAATTTGATAGTGTGATACTAGATTGTTTTGATTTGAATAGGTATTATTCATGGTGCTATCTGTTGGATGTTGCTAGGATAACTCCTAATGTTGATCATAATCATTCTCTTATAATGTCTTGAATAACGATTTGTGTTCTTCTCTTTTAGAATGCTTAATTCACTATTAAGCTCATAATACAAAAAGGTTATATATATTTATATATATCTCACTATAATTTTAATGTATCAATATTGGTCACATCACCCTTTTTTTTCCATTTATGTCTAAGAATACTTTTATTAACTTTCCTTTCATTCACACAAAAAGATCACCACGTATTATCACAAAAATTGATTTTTACATGTTAAAAATGAATTTATTTAGTTCCACAACTCAAAATTATAATCAAACTTTAGCACTTATAAGTTAGTTTGAAAGTTAATAAATCAAGAGTCATGTTTACTATCCCTCTTCCATATTTTGTAAGACATTTTTGATATTTTTATTTTATGTACTATTCCTCAATTAAAATTTATAAAATGATGTAATGATAAAAAAATTATGATTTTGGCCTTCTAAAAAAAATTAACATCAAACTATTGATAATTTACTATTTTCTAGCTTGCATAATGGAACAAGAAAAATAACTCAAACTATTAGGAAAATCTTCATTTAACAATTTGTATTAGCTTGCTCTTAGCATGTCTCAACACTATAAAATATATCAGATTTTCACATTTTCCACTGATTGTGAATTCTTATGGCGAATTTGCAGCCAATGATTCCTTTCTAGGACTTGCATTTCAATAATCAATATTGAATAGAATAGTATACAGACTACTAATACTATAGGAGTTAAATTTGCCAAAGATCATTAAACCAATTGGCAGCCCTTCCTAAAAGATTCAACTGGACATGAAAACTTTGAATCTATTATTTTTCAGGCCTTTGATTCAAACTTCAGATTTTCCAAAACTTTAAGAAATTTTAAAGGTCTTAACATCTGCAAAAGTATCCATGCACGTTAAATAGACAAGATCTTTTTTTCTCAATTAAATTCTGAAGTTATGAGCAGGTTATATTTTGCATTGATGACATTTTACTTGGCTATAACATATTCACGTTATAAGGCAAAAGAAAACTTTGATCAAAGCTAATGATTTTGACTTTAATATCCCAGATGACTATGACTTGTGGCAAGGAAGAAAGCATATATGAAGAGGTATTAAACATTTTGTGAGCTGACCTAGTTTATGATCAATCATGTTAGTATTTATGTGTTCCTCACCAATAAAATACACACTACATTGACTTCCATTTATTGTGAACTTGAATTAATATAATAATGTATAATAGAAGAATATTAAATGAAAAATAAAATTAATTGAAATAAATTAGTGGTCTTAAATTATTTTAAAAATTATGTATCCTTAAAGTTTTCTCCCTAAGTTAACATGTGTTACCATGCCTGACCGAAATGGACACAATGCAGTTTGAAAGTCTTAATATTTCTGCCCCACATTTAATGAAGATAAAGACAATCTAAAGTGTATTAAATTAAATAATGGACGTAAATTTCTGAACAAAAATAGGTGGTAAAGCTGGTAAGTTATGAATCAAGGCAAAAAAAAGAAAGGTAAATGTATTTACTTTGAGAAAGGCATAAATAAAAACTATAATAACTTTAAAAAAATGTATTTACAGTTATCCTACTAAAAAATGGGGCACAATAAGGAATGAAGATACAAGGCAGTGAATCAGTTCCCTTAGGTTCTATTACACCTTACTTGAGAGTTGAAAGGCAAGGGGAGTTCACTCACCAACATGTAGGAAAGAACAAACAAACAGCGTTAGGTTTTTTACAGGTCGTTGAAATGCGAGCACGATAGAGATTGACCCCTCAATAAGCATCCTAATAAAACGCAAGATATTTGTAATGGTTTGACGCGTAGCCTTTTCCAATGACTCGATAAGTTTGGGTTTTACAACCCGTGAATGCGCATGCCAACTGGGCTTAAGTTTCCGGACTCACCATTCCTTCAGTTTCTGTAGTATTAGTCCACCAACTACAAGATCCATAGCCATAACCGTACCATGTTGAACCACTATTTTCATGGATTATCCAGCACTCCACGAGGGTTATTTCATGAAGCTCCGAGAGGCTATCGTAGTAAAAAGAAATGAACAAGCTTGGAAAGGATGACCTTTCCACAGATTAATACGTGGAAAAATTAATCCTCCCATCTAACTGTATCAAATGACTCAAATTTCTTGAGGTGAATAGTCGTAGTATGTGCTATTATTTCAGAGCTGAAAATACCCCCCTTTAATGACCTTAAATAGTCAGCAAAAGCTAATTTTATTTTCTCTTCTGTTTTGTTATTTTCCACGGGAGGATCAGGAAAATGGAAGAAAAAATTATGTAACATGGAATGCTTCCCCCCGTACAAAATATAGAAACCTTATCTCAATTGGTTGGCGGTTGCTGCCAACGGACGAGAATGGCATATATTCAATATAATTTCATTTAAAAAAGAATTTTAATAATTTCAGATATTAATAAGCAATAATAATTAAGGCAGAGTAATCGGATGAAAGAATCCAGAAAGAGTTTCGGCTGGACCGCAGAAAAGGGAGAATGCTGGTCACTTATGAGAAAATCCAGCAAAAATACTTTCTTCGTATTTCAGTCACCTGGCAAGATGAAGCATCGGTAACTGAACTCCGGGATTAATTAAGCGGTCATCGCATTCCGGGTTAGGTCGAAGTGATATAGAAGAAGGACAACGGCAGCTGTGGCCGTCGGTAACCGGCGTAAGACACTGTTTACCCCTTCATTATTGGCCAGGAGGAGGTCTTGTTCGGAGTACAGCGGGCCATGTTGACGTCAGAGAAGCCGACGACAGAACACGGGGGTGGTGGGCCTCATTAATGAATGAGCAGGACATGCTGAAGATGGAGGGGCCAGCGACAAAACACGGGAGATGCGCGGATGAACCTCTTAAAAGAAGACCCTGCTGGTGTCGGTACAAGGGGAAGACACTGGAGGGAGCGATACCAATAGATAAATCACTTCATTGCGTTTTTTAAAAGTGGCCAAGGCCGAGAATATGGAATCGTATTACGACAATCTGAAGCGAGTACAACGAAACAAGAGTATCAGAGAAGAATATAGGAGAGCATACACACAGACCCATTGACAAGGAATACCATACGATCAGACTGGCAGCGTTCATGCAGAACGTGCACAAACAATATCTGCCTTTATTCGAGCAGTAGCTTTCCAACGTCCAGGGAAGCTCTTGTTATTTCTGATCCCATGGCTTCCGCAAGGGAGAGAGTAAACTCAACCCGGTTGTGGCATTCCGGGCAGTTTGGGCGAGCCGGAACCTTTGCAGTGCATACGGCAGACTCCCCAGCACACCCTTTGGTTGATCCTTGGCTCTACCTTCTTCAACATCATGCAGTTGGGCATGCACCGGCGGATGCACCGCCGTAGAGGCGTTCCACGAGCGTCGGCCGTGGCTGCCACCGCAAACAGCGCGAGCAGGACCAGCGCCACGACCTGTCTACTGGACGCCATCTCCTCCTCCCCAACCTTGTGGAGTTTGATGGGGAGAAGAAGACCGAGAGGAAGAGGAGGTGGAGCCGGCGATGAGGCGTGGGGATGGATACTACTGGATTTATAAGCCCTGTCGATATCAGATGGTCGAGATGGGGAAGGTTGCTGAACGGGTGCCTAGTAACGATGCCAGTTCAGCGATTACCTTGCGCCTCTCGTTCTCAACGAGCATGCGAGGCATCTTCCCAAAAGAGCTTTCGGTTTGCCCGGAAAGGGAGGTTGAAGCGAGGGGACAGTTTTTTCTATGAGTGCTATTTAGAGCATCATTCGGTTCGAGTGTTCCTGGTGTACATCTCAACAGTTTGCATGATTATAAATGAGCAGCCTTCGCATGATAGGCGAATGGTTCTGGGAAGTATTTGGGTTCTACAAGATTCTTGGAAGATGATTACATCCAGAATTTCGCACTGTTATTAAATGGAATTCGGCTGAGCTTCCAACATGGCGCACCATAAACGCCCCCTATCCTGGGCTCTCTCTCTCTCTCTGTCTCTCTCTTTCTCTCTCTTCCCTCTCTGTGAATATCATCTCTTTTTCCTCACTCTGGAGATTTTCTCTCCCTCTAACGCTCTTTCAAAATGAACCATTCCTCCGTACTACAAAAAATTCTGCATGGGAAACAGCAAGAGGGGGAAAAAAAATGAAAGAAACCAAGTATTCGTCAATTCTCTCACTAACTACGCATGAACCCGCTCACGTTCATATCAACGTCGCATGGATAGCCAGCTGTCTGCGGATTTACAGTCCCTGGCGGATACGTGCTCTCTTTAGAGCTGGAGTTTGGATGTTGCCCCCAATGTCAAACCTTAGTCCCGAACCCAACCCAGCCCAAGCCTTCTCAGATTCATATCAACGTCGCGTTCAAAGGCAATGATAACATACTAGAAGCTCGGGCAGCTTCACCCAAGCGATAGCGTGACTCCACATGTTCCATCTTGACCAGTCCCCCGGATCAAGAACCTCTACAAGTTGTTCTTACATCGCTCCAGCCATCTTCTGTGGGGCATGAAGGCATGAAGCCCGAGAAGACTGGTCGGCTGATTATGAGTTCTCCTGAGAAAGCCATGGCCCTCGTGCCTGTCGAGGCGTATCTGGAGAGTACACTCCTATCATCGTTTTCTCTCTCTCTCTCTCTCTCTCATGCTTTCAATAGCGTGGAGATTCTGCTGAATAGAGGAGACAAACCAATGCTCTGGTTGACAAATCTTACCTGCCAGAGAGGTTTTATAGGTAATCTGTTCGTCGATATCATTGCTTTGAAACGGACTGAGGTTCAAGAACGAAATGCAGCAAATTACGACGCCAATGAAATACTGCAGTAATTTTTCGATTAGGTGTACAATGCAAGACCCAAGAGCACAGGAATTTCTGACTCGGGGGAAATTGTGGCTTGGGGCAGTGACTGCGACTGCGGCGATGAAAAAACGAAGGGTTAACCCGAGTGTCCAGACCGGGTTTCTCATGGAATTACTTGCCCTACTATTCTTGGAGAACTCCAGTGAAGTTTTTGCTTACTCTAGAATCTGTCTACCACAAATAGAAAACTTTTTGACGGGTCAAACTTTGGGTTTTTCCGATTTTCAGATGGACCAGCACTGAGTGAACCCCGTTTCAGATCATAGCGTTGATTTTAGACTAAATCAGGATCGAACTCGCTCATTAAGAACCCTGCAGACAGAGTTGCAACAGCATGGACGTAGCAGTCTCTGCTACTCTCTTTTGTATAGCTTATCATGAATAGATTCGGACCACAAGACGAAGAAGAATGCAAAGCAAAAAGCTAGCTGATGTTCACACCTGGTTTTGCCAACAAGTTGAGAATAATTTCGATATAAATCAAGCCTCGCTGTCACATGCTGTGATGAAGAATGAGTTATTCTACACAAACTGCTCTTCCGATGAAATCTGCCACTTGAATCGAAGTCAGAGGATCCAACATCTGCAGCTTTGGGATTCTTGGGGTCCTTCAAACCATCGCTCCCATGATTGGTTTACTGGTCCATTGGTTCTGCAAAATGAGCTTCGGTGAGAATATTGCAGGCCCCGTCAATCAATGGCGTTGGATTCAGATTTCCTTACACTGGTAGCAGCGGATCTGGCCTGCTTTCCACATTCTGGATCAGCCTGGTGGAGCACAATGCATACAGTTCAGGGTTTCACGCTAGCTCCAGATAAATCATAAAATAATAAAAGAATCAATACTTACTGCTGACATGCAGTGGAGACATGATCCGTCTTCTCCAGCTTTTCCAGTTCCTCCTGCATGCACAAGCACGTTAAGGAACAGAGAACAGGACTCTGGGTTAGTGAAACGTGCGAGCATTCATGGCACAGATTTACAACGAGGGCGAACGAAATTAAGAACTGTGATTTTCGTTTTCTATACAGAGGATTGTCAACAAGCAAAGCTTTCAACGGTTGGATTGGCACAAGTCTGAGTCTATCCTGCAGCTATGGAACATGAGACTGCTAAGAGAAAAACGATTGCAACACTAGAACAACGACAGACGCCGACATAACGCAGCATCTGTTGACAATCGTACTCCTGAAATATGATATTAGCCGCCATTTCACTTAAATTTGAAGGCATTAACAACGGCTCTCTGGTTCAACCAACATGAACCCAAAACGAGTATAAGGCCTATTTTTTATGATGCGGCAGCCCAACTCATCCACTCGGGCTTCCAACCAAATTTTTCTCTCCAGAATTGAATCATCTCCTGCTCTCAACCTAAGCATAGTTCGTATCATCTCAAGAACTTTATCATCTCTTGCCCTGCCCAAAATTTTTCTCTCCTGCTCACATTGTTTAGTTTATAAGTGAAATACATGCCCACTAATCTGCAACAGAAAATCCAGAGTCATATTATCCTCGCAACCAACTGGGATCATTATTTATCAGGTGGGTATTCAACTATATAAAATTGTGTACAAACTGGAATTGGAATGCAACATTCTAGCATACGTGTGGTACAGATTTAGGTGTTATACTCGGCATTGCATGGAACTCCTTTTATAGAGTTTACCTATCAATTAGGTTTTCATAATCAAGAGCGATGTCAACTTCCCCAAAAAGCTGAAACACCTTCATTAAAAGCTCCACCGATATCAACATAAAACATATTCTATTCACTTAGTCATTTACTGGAGACAAAACCTTCAGGGTATGCATTATTAATAGACAGGGCAGCATATTCTGAAAAAAGACATTTTTCTTTAGAAAAATACATATATTCAAAGCTATTAGCTAACATTCTACGTAATATCCTGTATGTTTGACCATAAATAAATATTTCCATTTTCTAAATGACACTTTTGTTAAAACGATACGACATGGAATCTAAAAGAAACATTTTGCGCACTACTTCCCATCATGCCTAAGCCCGACTGATAGGTCAATCATTCTAGGGTTTTCGAAGTTGCTTAGTTTTTGCACAATATGAGAGTAAGGAGCTATTCCTAGCAAGATTGATTAATATTCAACTAAGCATCCCAATCAAGAAATGAGCAAGACAAGAGGAGAAAAGTAAAACCTGAGCTTAGTTGTTGCATTAACAAAAGCAAACAAGAAAGAGAGCACGAGAGAGCCAAAATAAACAATCTGAAGAAAGACCCAACAACAGGAGTTCGCTCTGTGCCGGCTTGCAACAGAAGCTTCACGCTCTAGGCACTCATGCCACAATCAGATTTTATCTTTCTTATTGCAAGGTTATTTCTCCATCCCATAGGCATAAGGATGCGGAGTAATACAAAGGCCCCAAAAAAAATAAAAATGATGGAGAGTAATATGGGGGGAAAGAAATAAGCAGCAGAAGAAGACAGTGTATAAACGACAGAGGAAAGCAGGGGAGTGGTGTGTGTCAGAGAGAGGGAGTGATAAAAGCATGGGAAACTTGGTGGGGATGGAAAGAGAACTGAAGAGATAGTAACAATTTTGTGAGGCAGACTGGAGATGGGAGGCAGAATGGACAGTGACAAAAGAGAGAATCAAAGGCAGACTGGAGACAAAAAGAAACGAATAAGGACAAAAAAGAGAATCGAAGGAAGGTGGAGGGTGAGGAAGAGAAACAAAAGAAAGAGAGCATACCAGGAAAGACGGCAATGAGGAGAAATTGCAGGAGATGTGAGAGAATGATATAAAATGATGCGGCATAGGGAGGTAGACTAAGAGTGAGTGTGAGAGTAATGATGAGGAGACCGACAGATAGACAGCGACCCAGAAAGAGATTATGAAAACGGAAAAGATCAAGGAGAGACAGATAAAGAGTGAAGGAGACAGCGTCAATGCAAACAAAACTGAGGGCAATCTGAGGTATACGGGATCTCCATTATCAAGATGAATCATTTCAGTTTTTTCTTTTGTTTCTCTGCAAATTTCAGATTTTTGGTGGATGCCAGTCTTCCTAATAGGCGATAAGATTAGTAGTACCATGAATCTAGAAACTACAAATCAATAAATCTGGTTAGTAGGCACAGAAGGTGACAGAAATAACTGAAGAATTCCAACTTCTGAGTGATTGCACGCCAGGCATCCCCTAAAACTATGCACATTTCCAAGTGGTCTCAAGAGCCATGCAACCAGTTTTCAAAAGTCCAGAACTTCCCCCCCTTCCAACAAGTCATTTAGTTTAACACATTTACATGGAAACACCTCCAACTATATGTAGAAGCGATAAGAAATGCCAAACAACTATGCATTTTTCACACTATATTAGAAATTAGTAGACCAGACTGATGAAACCTTAATTCTAATATCGGATTGCTTTATCTCATATGCTCCCAAGAAAGAAAGACAGACATACGCAAACTTCTGACAAATCAAGACCAAGGTTTCCTTCATGATAAGGCTCAGAAAGGTCAAATGCTGGGAGGTGAAAATTCATGGGGTTAGATAGGACCATATATGGTCCTATCTAACCCCATGGATAGAATATCCTCTTCTGCCATGTTGAAAATTTCCTCTTCTGGGTGGAATTATGCCAGTCTACAACAAGTTTGTACCTTTGAGTCATTGATGGAATATCGGCGCAAGAAGCGCAGGTCCATGGTGAACGAGCAATATACTGTGTATCCAAGATATATATAAATGATGCCTTGCGATGCCAGTTGTAGGAGAGGATGTGCCTTTAAATCGTGAACAGCAAAGAAACAAGCAAATGGAATACTTTCCTGTTCAATAAATTTTGGATGATTTGTCCTCAGATTCTTATCGCGTACAGTAGATCATTATGATCGGCACACTAAGTCCACTGAGAACGTACAAAAATCTGATCATGAAACACATTTATAAGCTGTGGGTCGCCTTGTTAGTCCCCTACCTCCTATGGAAAAAAGATGGTTAATCATAAACCTCGAGAAAAAAATTTGCCCTCAGATTGTTTCTACTTTCAATGGAAGGTAGGAAAAAACCCTAGCTCTCCTCTGCCCTAGAGAAAAAAACCAGAATTCTGGAAGCATTTAGCGGGCATCGGGGAATGTACGCCAAGGATAATGTGGAATAAAAAAAATGAGAGAGGTTGAGACAGATTACCCAAGGAAAAGAAATAAATGAGGAGAAGGTGGAGACCAACCTCTAAGAACTTGGTCTCCTGCTCGAACCGCTTCAATTCAGCAACGATCCGGTGCTTCCCTTTGACCTCCGACGCCAGCGCTCTGCCATCGCCCGACGCATCATTCTGCAGATTGATGGACGGCGGCAGCGACAGATTATTCTGCTCTCCGTCTGTCTGCATCCTTCTTCCCGCAGAAACGCCACAGAAACCCAACCCCTCGCCGATCCGTCCTCCCACCGCCTCTCTCCAACCCTCTCCTCTCCAAATCCGTCTCAAATTACTCCTCCCAACGATCACCCAAAGTCTACCCACCTGGTGGCTGTGCCCAGTAGGGCGACCGCTACCAGCAGCAGCCGCAGCAGCAACGACGAGGAGGAGGAAGAAGACATCCAAGACGGGTCAAACAGGGAACCCCCCTTCTCATCGCGCCTGTGCTTCTCATCAAGAAGGAGCCGACACCCTCCCTCCGAAGTCAACCCTCAACCATTTCCCGAAGAGAAAGACGTACAGAGAAGAAGCCTCTGTTTTGCCTGTGCTGCACATCTTCCTTTAGAACCTCCACAATCCATATTATTTTTAAAAAGCCTATAAATATTATTATTTGAATTTTACCCTCATGTAGATGCAATTTAACACTTGACAGCGTTAATAAAAAATAAACGTGAAATGCGTGGAGCGACCTAACGGGCTGGGCCTGGGCCGAGATCTGGTCTCCCGCCCGGCCCACTGGTCCAAAGGAGTTCAAATACCGAAGATCGGCTGTGGGGGTGACCTAGAAGGCGGGACTGAGCTGGAGAAGGTGCGGGTCTGGAGGGCAGGTAGGTTCACCTCCATTGATCTTTTGCCGTCATCTACCGCAGGAGAGCTTTTGTTATAGCTGAGATCTTCTTTACCGTGTGATTTTCGCTCGATCGTCTCCGATAAGCATCTGCATGGGTTTTCTGTGCAAAAGGGTTCCTCCAATGATGATGTTCATCTGCCATATTTCTATGGTTCGTTCCAATTGCTGAATGCCGTTGTGATGAGTTGAAGCACCTGAGGAGCAACCTTTTTGGAGCCCCCTCCAGTCGCGAGATCATTTGGGCGAGAGAGCCTGTTTGATGACTGTGAATGGAGGCGTCCTTCGGATCCTTGGTATCATTTTATTTCCCCAAGGACATTACAAGGCCAAATATTGTTTCATCTATCCTGTAAATGTGTGGCCCTTTTTTCTGCGCGTTCATAGAAGATATCATTGCATTTCAGCTAGATTGTGACCATTCCTCCGGTCATCTTTGCTCGAAGAGAAGGCGTTTTTTCCCCTCGGTTGTAGTTAGTGTGTGATCCTCAGCCGGCCACTATGTGCTAGAACGACTGTTGATTCTGCTATTTAGTGGGCTACACTGCTTACTGTGGTTCTCTTCTATGAATAAGGTAGTCTGCTCGGGAGTTGTTGTTTCCATGGTTGTTTTTATTTACTTCATATGAACGGCAAGTACTGAAAGAAATTTACCAATGATTTATAGACTGATAAAAATTACTGCACACATGGCAATGTAGAGGTCGTGTGTTTGACACGGGACATTTGGTTGGAAGACATAAACCTAGAGAATAATTCACTGAATAATTCACTGTTAAGTGTTCAGAACAGTATCGAGGGGAACAAATCTTGTCACCAAGAAGGTTACAAAGGTGGAACATTGACCACTATGACGTCAACCTTCATAAGGGTGATAGTCGATAGCTCTTATTTCTTCATTTAATAAGCTCAACAATATTACCGCACTACTGCCCATGTAGCAATATCGTCAATAATATTTGGACGAAGATATTTGCATTTTATCTTTTGAGTTAAGATTATGTTTAACATTGGTCATTAAAATAGTAGCGATAAACGTATACTGGAATATTAATAATTACTGAATTATTGTATACTTACTCCCAGCTAAAGACAGCATCTTAAAACTCTCAAACGGATTTCGAAGGGATGGAGAATAACGTTTCGTAGGGAACTATTATTGATCTTATTGCAATATTCGCCTATTGCCTTGCAAATATGAATCTCACTCACAGCTGGCATGCTGGTCTTCAGCCGTCCTATTCTTTTTTCTAGTCCGTTGTATAAAAATGTGATTTGGGTGTATCCTAACCTAATATGCACAGGTTTTTTGGCTGGTGATGGTAGGGCCTAATTGTACGTTGGTTTGAAGGCTCCTTATTTGCCAAAATAATTTCCCCCTTCCTGTTCATCCGTCTCTTTTCCATTCCCTAGACATGTCTTTGCCATTCCAAATCTGCTTCCTCCCTTTTCCAACTGTCTGCCTCTGACAATTGTGGCTGAGGAAAAATTTACGCAGTTGGTTTATTTTATTTTCTTGGAGCTTTTGTAGAATTATCTCCTTACATGCTGAATATTTCCTTATAAAGAACTGGTCGAATGATGGATTTCTCTAAAGCTACTGATCTACTATATCGTTTAAATGAGGTTCACATTTCGTCTTCTGTTTTCTATCTTTATGGCTGAACTGAAGGTGTCCCCTGGGAATTATTACAGAGAAATTCTTATGCTTTCTATTACATGAAAATTCTGACTGAGGAAGGTCATTCTGATTGTTAATGTCTATCTCCTGGGAAATTTCCATTGCAGTAGCTAAATCTCTGTTCAAGGAGTAAAGAAAGTGAGAAGAATGGCAATGTCCCCTGCAGTCCAGCCTTTGAAAGTGAATTTAAAGGTTAGTATTCCCTTTACTTTTAAGAAGTTCGTGGGTTTACATCGGCCATTATTTTCCTTCTAAATGGGGCAAATCAATAGGGTTCTGGGGGGGCACAGGGATGTTCCGTTGTGCTTTCTTTGTGTAAATGCCTTGGACATCACTATGCCGAGCCAAATTCATTGTTAATTAATTTTGAACCAGACTTACACTGTGATTCATGACAACCAGGGTTTTCCAAGAAGCTTTATATTTTTCATGTAACTATCTAGTATTTTTCATTTCATTATCTAATAAATTTTTTTCAGGCAATAAATGATCAATGGTTTATAACCTGGACCAGCCTAGCAATCAGCCTGGCTTGATGTCAAATTCATGTAAACATGCTATATTTAATGTCATTAATGTCATAACCTTGGTGGAAACAAAATGACTAAGCAGCCTATTCACAACTCTTTTCATCTCTTCATTTCATCATCGTATGTACTACGTTAGGTTTACTGTAATACATGCATCGATTGAAGCTCCTAGAAGCCTTGAGAACAAGCCTTCGTTTGTATTGTTGCGATTTTGTTATTTTTTTAATCATTTGATTCTTTTTTGTAGTTTGTTCTATAGCTCAAGTCACAACTCCATCTGCAGATCTACAATGTTTTTTTTTTTTGATATTTTTTTCACTGTCTGCACAACCACTTAATTCAGAAGGCGCTTGCTGGCCTGAGAAGAATCAACTTAGATGGTCTGAGATGGCGAGTGTTTGACGCCAAAGGCCAGGTCTGAACTCGCCGCCCCTGTGGACAACTTGCCCATGGAAGGGATCTTCCCACTGAAACTGCGACATTGCTTTCTCCCAGATTCTCGGAAGATTAGCCTCACAGATAGCCACCGTCGTTCAAGGAAAGGACAAACCAACATACACTCCATACCGTGAAGATGGAGACATGTGTATTGTAATAAACGCAAAGGACGTTTGTTTCACCGGAAGGAAGCTGACCGATAAGTTCTATCGCTGGCATACCGGGCAAGTCCTCGTACTTACTACTTATAGAAACATTCGTATTATGAACATTATTTTCTTCTTCGAGTGTTCATTTATCTTTGAATATTTATAGGTATGTTGGGCATCTTAAGGAGAGGAGCTTGAAGGACCAGCTGGAAAAGGATCCTACAGAAGTGATTCGCAAAGCTGTCTTGCGGATGCTTCCTAGAAATAAACTGCGTGATGTGAGTCTACTAAACAGCTTTATTACTGCTATTTATAGTAAGCTATCTCCTAGGCGCAGCTTGCATGCATCAAGCTAATTCGGACCGAGATTTATAGTAAGCTATCTCCATGGCTGCAGATCATGGGTTGCTCAGTGAGTATTGTCACTAATTTCTGCAGGACCGAGACAGGAAGCTCAGAATCTTCGCCGGAAGCGAGCACCCATTTGGCGACCGACCTGTGGAGCCGTACCAGATGCCGCCCCGCAGTGTTAGGGAGATGCGGCCTCGCGCCAGGCGGGCGCTTATTCGGGCGCAGAAGAAGTCGGAGCAGACCGTCGCCTCGGAGGCCGCGAGGAAGAAGAACAAGGACAAGGCGGAGACCGCCGAGTAGGATGCCATTTTTACCTTGAATGGAAAGCTCTGGGCTCCTGATTATAGTCAGCTGGGTCAGTCTCTTCTGACCCATGATCCTTTTGGGTGTGTTCTTGATGGCGACTGGCGTGCTCAAATCGGGGAAGGCAATGCGGGCAGCTACCCGCTTTTGGCCGTGGTATTTGTCTTAATCTAGAAACCATGCCCATGGATTAATGTTGTGGATAATGTCACGGATCATGTTGTGGGAAGAATGTGAACAGGGATGGATAACTGGAGACGATACCCATGTCTTTGTCCTGATTTTTCTCCTACTTTCTTGGAAGTTACAAGGGAAGGAGACGAAGAGGGTGAGCAGCTTCTCTCTTCTTACAAGGGTGAGAGGTGAGAGAAAGAGGACCTGTCTGGGATAAAAATCCTGAAACCTGTCAGGTCTCCGAGATTCCTGGAAAGCGATTTGGAGGGGTTTTCCAAACATGGAAAAATCCTAATATGCGTCGGTTGAATTTTCCAAATGTGGAAAAGTCCTAATAATCGTTGCATAAGAAAATCCTAATGTGATCTACAACTGTCTCATGACTTTGGCAGCACCTGAAACCCCTTTGTTATTGCAAAAAAACCCCTCCTTCACCGGCCATTTTTTTCCTACCCCCAACTTCAATTTAATGGTAAGTGATGTCTTCAAAAGGAAATTGTAGGGGTATTAATAACATTTTTAGTTAAAAAATGTTTTTTATGAATTAAGTTATTATTAGTAAGGGTCCATAGATAAAGTCCCTTACTATTTATTAGACGAGTTCGGGGGGTAGAAGGCGCTCTTCAGGCTACTGCAATCGCGGACGCGATTTCTGTTCGGCGAAAGGTGGGCGGAAAAACCCTAATTTTGGTGGCGCTGTCCTTCGAGTTGCTCCCGATCTGTTTGAGGGTTTCTTGGGTTTCTTGGGTTTCTTCGCTCGCCGACCTTCTGTTTTCTCTGTAGTTGGGAAGTTGTGCAAGAGCGCGGCAGCATGGGAAGTAAGGAGGAGATACGAATATTCGTTGGTGGCCTGTCGTGGGAAACGACGGATCGGGACCTGGAAGACGCGTTCAGCCGCTTTGGCAAGGTTACTGATGCTCAGGTAAGTGTGTCGTCGTCTCTCCTTCGTTATTCCTCTACTGTATCGTCGGGTTGTGATCAAATGGGACGATTTGAGTCCAGGATTTCCCCTTTTTTGTTTCGTCCTTAGTATACGTTTGTTTTCCGATACGGCCCGTTTTTTCGGTTGTGGTAATGCTTTCTTTGTGGTGGCTGGGGGTGATTGTGTCCTGTTTAAAAAGTCGCATCTATTTTTGTCGAATGTGATCCCTCTGGTTCAGTTATCGATGAATCCTGTGTCTTCGTAGTCTAGCAGATATTGCCCAATCAATGTTTTTGGTCATTATTGTGCGAGGGTCGAAATATGCTCCATTATGAGCGTTCCATTTTTTATTTCTTGGTCAGATTACTCTTTCTTGTCGTTTTCGTGAAGATTTTTTTTTTTGTGCAGACTACTGATCATCTATCTGTTTCCTTTTTCTTCCTTTCTCTTGGTGCGGGTAACTTTGGTTTAAGTTTGATGGATTGTTCTTTGGCATGCTTGGTCAGCCGGAAGGAAACTCATTCTCGGACAATGTTCATTACTATCTCCGTTTTATGATGTGTTAGGCTGTAGCAAACATGTGTCTGCGATTGCTGTTTGGTGAGATAAAGCTGTTCAATTGTTTGGCACCTGATAAAAGTTGAAGTTGTCTGTTTGCCAGTTCATAGTGTTGGGAGAACTTCTTGCACCTCATGATTGCATCAATCTGGGGGCCAGATCTTAGGTCCCTTTTCAGTTGGGGAAGTTAAACTCATTGCTTGTGCTTTGTCGAGAAGGAATTTCTTTGATAAGGTAAGCCTTGAGGACATGTTCCAGCTTTATGGCAACACGTCTTCTGTTTCTGTATTCCTCTAGAGCAAGAGAGAACTCTTGTGCGTGAGGTCAATTTTCTGTACAAGTTCCAGGACTGATTGCTGTGCACAGGAACAGTTTATGGTGCTTGCAGATAATCCCGATTACTTAAACTGGACAACACAGTTTTCGAGTGTTGTGCTACTCATATCTCAGATATTAAACTTTTACTATAGAATCTTCCATGTCTACTGATATGCAGCCCATCCTCACGGTTCCAAACAGCTCAGTCCATCTTTGGAATAGAAAGTGTTCCGTGGCAGGGTTAGTTGGATGACTTGTATCTGTGAATGGGAATTATCACGGTTATTATTGCTTGCCCAGAGCCAATTTCGTCAACCAAAACTTTGGAAGCTTTTAATTCTTCACCTCGCATCACGGTGTGCATGTAAAGATATCAACCGCTACTGTGTCATTTTTTTCTATCTCCTCCGCACTGACTCCTATGAAGATTATGCAGCACACTACGGTTAACAGCACTTAATTTGTCTTTCGATCCATTCAGGCAACTTTCTTGTCATGCTCTGAAATTGTGTGAGAAATTTCTGAACGGAAAGAATCAATTGGTTGATGGCTATTGGCAGAGATAATATTATGGCTCAGTACTATGTATTTTGGATTCTGTGCATCATGAGTTTCTGGGACCTTAGCTTACTTAAGCAACGTCTAAGGAAATCTGGAAAAGGTGGAGTATGGCCACCAAAATTGTCATGGGACAGTTCATTGACATCATGGATTCCGTGAACCTGAAGTTCAACTCTCCATATCGGGATTTGTTGGTTACATGTGACTTCACTTGTGGTACAAACTTTCAATGGTCTGGTTACACAAGCAGTTCTGTCATTGCTATAGCATGATGCTCTCTATGCATTAGGCTTCTCGTGCAGTTTGTCGACTTGCAGTTCGAAAGTGTTCTTGATGTTCTGTTGGAAAATGTTCAGCGATGTTGACATTCTCTTTGGGAAGAAAAATATAATTACGGGTACATACAGTGTTGTTGTAGGCATATTTTTTAATGATTACGGTTGATATGCTGGTGGAGGTTTGATGGTAATTCAAAGCGTTTTTCAATTTGATGGTGCTGTTGTTGCTGTGATGGTGACATCCCTGCTGTGCATTCTTGCTCTCTTGTTTCTGTGCTGGCAGATCTTGATCGGATTTTTCCACCGATTTGAGCTTCATATCTGATTGCCATTAGTTTTTAAGAAAGTTCGGTTCGTCTTTATTTGCTGTCTATTCTCTCGGGTGCTGCATCATTGATCTTGAAGACAATGGAAATTGAAAGGAAGCTTGTTCTTTGGATGTGGTGTTGATTTAGGCAATTTACTTCGTTACCTCATATTTTTTTCTCAATGCTCTCGACTTCTTTCATTCTTCTAGCCTAGTTACATATGATTGATAGAGAAAAAACAAGGATTAAAAGTACTGGATGCTTCGTGATTGTTGTTGTGTAAGTTTTTTCTGTTTAAAAGAGGAATTTTGATGGTGCTGCTAGTGTTGGAGGATGAATGGTGGATTCATTGGAGAAGATAGTTTTAGATGAATGACCTCACCTAGTAGGAGAGTGGAATCATGGGTTTGATTCTACCATCGACCCCATCATCGTTTTTCATCTTGGTGAATCCGATGATAGTATCTTTTTGAAGTTGATAACCGGGATAGTCAACTAGAAAGTAAGATATTTGATTTTCCATGTCAGAAGCAATCTGGAATGTCTCTGCAAATCAGATTTGAAGGCAGTTAGAATAGTTGCTTCCCCAAGTCAGAAGTATTTTGGAATGTCTCTGCAAATCAGATTTGAAGGCAGTTAGACATAATGAAGTCCACACAACAATGCAATTTTGGCATCTTGTTAATTCTTCTTGCCCTGATATATTGACATAATGAGGTCCACGCTACAATGCAAGTAATCTAGGTACTTTTATTTCTCATTTTTTGGCCTTCTCTTTTCTGTTTCAGTGTCTGCGTTAAGAGTATTATACGACCTGCTATATGTTTGTCCTCTACTTTTCTGGTGTTTTGATTGTATTTTTCATCGACTTTTCTGTCATCATTATGTGCTCACGACTAGGAGAAGGGAATTCTTGGTTGATACATACTGTTCGGTTTTCCTGCTAAATTTGTATAAAGTATGATTTACTCGTATGATTCTCTCTTAAGTGTTTAATTTATGGTGTAATCGTGTTCATACTTTTAGTAATTTTAATTATCAATAACTCCTTTAGCTATAAATGGCTATCTTTTTCCCCTTTTGATACTGATCTTTTGTTGACTGATCTTTTCCCCTCTTCATGGAAATGAGCCTCCTTTTCTTGTCTTGAGAAATCCTTTACAGTTATTTTCACAAGGGACGGCTTAAAATGCTGTGTTTTTCCTTCTCTATTTCCAAATTTTTGTATGTTTTCTGTGCATGAATTAACAGATAGTTCCAGATATTAACATAGCAACTCTGTAATTTGTGGCCAGACTTTCTATATTGAATCTACTATTTAGATTAGGTGAAGAAATAGAAATTTCGTGCAGCGCGTATGAATGTTACAATGTTCTCTTTCGCATATAGGAGGATAGACTCACAGGTGAATGCGCCCATATCATTTATCCGCGCGCATTGTGATTTGGATTTCTTGGGGACATTGAAGAATGTTTCAATTCATCATTGAGTAATCAGTGGCAGGTGCTAGAAATCATCAAGAGTTTATCACTTCGGATTTTTGTTCTCAGGGAGGAAGATCTTTCTTTTTCCATCATCCAGTCTGTGTAGGCACTCAGGTGGCAACGTATGTGCATCTGAGAGGCTATTGATGCAACACGTTTAGGGTTTTGGTTCTCTCTGTAGACATTTTCAGTATAACGTACACAAGCTACATTGTTGCAAACCTTACTCCATAAGCCGTTGAAGCCATATCTGGTCATGTGAATTTACTCAGCAGGGTTTCCCTATGTTTTCCTTACTCTTGATGGGCGACATGTTCTTATATTATCCTTGTTGTGGGCGTAAGATTCAATCTCATTCTGTGATTCAGGTGATGTTAGACAGAGACACTGGTCGCTCTCGAGGGTTTGGCTTTGTGACATTTGCTGATCAAAGGGCAATGGAGAGTGCAATAAGTGAGATGCACGGACGAGAATTAGGCGGGCGGGTCATCTCAGTGAACAAGGCAGAGCCCAAGTTGGGAGGATCCGATGGACCCGGCGGCTATGGTTACCGTGGCGGCGGGGGTGGCGGCAGGGGGGGCTACCGAGGTGGTGGCGGGGACAGGTTCTCTTCTCGCCCAAGGTTTGGTGGACCTGGTGGTGGCGGCAGCCGTGGAGACCGATTTGGTGGGTCAGATCGCTATGAGGACCGTTATGTGGACCGTTATGTGGAGGACCGTTATGACGGAGGCCGCTATGGGGACCGTGATGGTCGGGAGGATCGGTATGGTGGCGGCGGCGGTGGTGGCGGTGGCCGTGACCATTACAGTCATGACCGATACCCACCTAGTGGCGACCGCTATCAAGGAGACAGGTATGGGCAATCTGATTATCCTCAGAATGGGTATGGCAAGGAGAGGGGCTATGACCGAGATGGCGGCCCGTTGGCGGGTGGAAGTGAGAGGTATGTTGGTGGCGCCGGCGGTCGCTATGATGGAGGTGGTGGTGGTGGTGGCGGCGGATACAGAGAGAGGCCGGGCTCTTATGGTGGCCGTCCGGGCAGAGGCGGTGGCAGTTTCAAGGAGAGGTCAGGCCCTTATGATCGCCCCAGCAGAGGTATGCGCCCTTCAGCTTATGATGATCGTTACTGATAGATAGAGAAGGGAGTTGAAGGAGTCTCAGTCGTTGCCTCTGTCTTGTTTGCTTTTAAGACCTGGGACCAGAGAGACCTATATCTGTTGAGCTTGCTATGTTATACTATTGTGGTGAACTCGCTCTGGACCAACCAGTTGGATCTCTGCCCCTTTGCCCTCCCCCCTCCCCCCCTCCCCTTTGATGGTTCCCCACCCCCTCTCTCTCTCTCTCTCTCTCTCTCTCTCTCTCTTCCTCTCTCTCTCTCTCTCTCTCTCTCTCTCTGTTTCTCTCTCTCCCCCCTCTCTCTCCTAATTCGAGATGGGGATGTGTGTTTCTTGGATTGGAGAGTAATCGGTTTCTTTGGTTTTTTCGACCATCAAAGATGATGTGGTTGACTGCAATTATCAAAGTATCTGGTTGACTGCTATCATTTCCCCGGGTTACTTGGTAATAATAGCGTTGAGAAAGAAGAAATACCAGAGATTGAGTGGGAAACTGTTCACCGAGAGATTGTTGAATCTCCATCTCATGCTGTTCTCTGACAGCGAGGATTAATTTAATGGTCTGTGGATGATCTCCTCTGTAGATATGCGTTAAAGCTAGATCGATCGAGCTGGTGACGTCAATGATAATATGGGCAATGATAATGTGGGCTGGATCCCATGCCGCCATACTTTGAAAAAAGCTGTTTGTTGCTTCTCCCTAAGACGAGTGACATCGCCGGAGAGAAGAAAGCTCAGAAACCCAGTGATGATGGGTTCTCAGTATGCTCTAGAAAACAAGCCACTTGATGGCGGGCTCTGCTCACTTCACTCGCCGCCATGAGATTGACCACTTTACCCTAAATGGAAAGGTGAAGCTTTGTACACTTATTTGGGTGGTCGGTAGAAAAGAGCTTAGAACACTGCCGTATAGCTCTGATCTCTCCTTCATTTGGAAAATATTTGCTATGTTGTTGAGCTGTTCAAAAGGATTCCCAGTTCAGAAATCATTGTGGGCTGTAAAATGAGAACTATTGCCTGACTATTTAAAAAATTTATATGATTGAAAATTATAATAATATGTGAAATTAATTTGGAGTGATTTTTATCCACAAGAACCCATTGCAGAGTCCCAAGTATATGCAATAATTGTCACCGCAGTTTGAGTTGAGGCGTATCAAAAGTGATAGAACCCATACCGAGAGTAATTACAAGTTAATTAACCTCTGATGAAAAGAAAAATAAAGGAAGTAGATAAGACCACTGTTAAATGCAACCAAAATTATTAATATTTTCCATTTCTTATTAATATTTTCTTATCAGGATTATGAAGATTATGAAGGTTTAATATGATTATATCATTCAATCTATGCTGGATTAGGAAGGAGTGGGGAGTAGAGGAAGCGTCTCCCCTAATTTGCTTCCAGAGTGTAGCAGATCTCCTTGAAGATGGGCATCCTTTCCCGAAGGAGAGGGACTAGCACGTCCACGCCGCAGTCCCCAGCTGCAGAAGGGAGCAGCACCAGGAATCCTTCATACGGCGACCACGTAGGGGTGAATAAGTCCGGCCCCCCGCTCCCGAAGTCAACGTCGTAGAATGGGAATCTCAACCAGCTATCCACCTCCAGATGCGGGCTGAGGACCCGGTTCTCCATCTCCGCCGTGGGAGTCGACCTTTCTCCCGGCGGGGCCGCCTTCATCTGCTCGGAGAAGTCGATAAACGACCGGAAATAGCGGTCGTCGACCCTTGCCACCGCCTCGCGGATGAGCGCCGCCGCGTGGTGCAGCGGCCGGCGGAGGAGCTCCCCCGCCGTCGCCGCGGGGAATGCCCAGAGAACCAGGTTGCCGAGGTACTCATCAGGGACTGGCGGATTCATCCTTCTCCGCCCATTGACGGAGATCCTCAGGTGGGTTTCCACCTCCTCTTCCACTCCCCTGGCCTTCGTCACCGTCCTCCACAGGTGCGCTACCAAGGTTTCAAAGGTGCTGTGGGGACGCTGCAAGTCCGGGAAGGAAGCTTCCGCTCTCAGCTTCCTCAGAAACTCCACAGGGAAGTGCACCTTCTCTAGCACGATGTCGTCGATCACTCCTTCCCACTGGACAGCAGTCGCCGTCGCCGGCGCCGGAGGAGTTGCGCTGTACTCGACCCCTCGGTGCTCGAACTCGACCCTCGGTGGGCTCCTAACCGGAAAGATTCCCCGGCCAAGGACGGCCCGCGGCGGCACCGCCAGTCCCCGGGCGGCGCGTCCCCAGGTGATCCAGAACGAGCAGGCGGCGCAGCCGTCGGCGACGATGTGGCTCGCCGTCAGGCCAACGGCGAGCCCACCGCAGGAGAACCGCGTCAGCTGGACGTGCAGAAGCGGGCGGTCGTCATCCTGCTCGGCGGCGCCGCCGTACGCTCGAGCTCCGTGGAGGTGGAGCAGGTCGGGGGTCGGCACGCGCGGCACGGCGAAGCTCAGTGGGGCGTCGCAGGCGGCCTCGACGAGCCGCACGCCGCCGTCGTTGAGGAGGATGGTGGCGACCCCGCCGGGGGCCATGCGGCCGGCCCATTCCGGGTACTCGGCGAGGGCAAGCCGCAGGCCAAGTTCTATGGCGCGGTTGCAGACGGAAGGCGCTCGGAAGGTGAAGATGATGGGGAAGAAGGTGTTGTAGGTCACCGTGTCGAAGACACTGAGCTGCACCTGTTCCCCTACCGGCCTCCTCCCCTTCTCTTCGCTCGACTTCACCAGCTTTTCGCTCTCTATCCTCAGCTTGATCGTCATGCTCTCTCTCTCTCTCTCGCTCTCTCTCTCTCTCTTCGGACAGGGAGAGTTTTCATCACATTCGCATAATTCTCAGGTGCAGTAGATCTTCTTCTTCTCTTTGAGAGAATATATAGAGGGTGACTGGCGATTGAAAGGAAGGATGAGATGAGGATGGGGAAGTGGGTCGACACCAGTTGCGTCATCATGCATAAAGAGAAAGCCTGGAGAGCCACGTACGGCCATGCATCTAGAAGGGTTGACCAGCGGTGGTCGGTAACCGCCTTCAGCTGGGCTGGTGCCCGCCGTCAAATCTCTTCTCTTCCCCGGCCATGAATGAGGTTAAGGTGGTGTCATGGGGATGGATAAAAGGCGTACACTTTTGCTTACCAACTTTTATGGCTGGGTTTGGACAAGTGGAAGCAGTGGAAGCAGTGGAAGCTGCATGGTACGGCACGTCGCCTGCGTCGTCTCGGTATTGAGGGCCGGCCAGAAACGGGTACTAGGGGCTGGTTGACGAATGAATAGAAGCAAAGAAAAAGCGAGGATAGCAGTAGTGTGAACAGAACAAGCCGAGAGAAGAGAGAAAAGGGCGGAAGTAATGGATTAAGGGAGGAAGAAGGGGGAAGGGAAGCATCATCTGCGAACATCCTTTTTTCATTTTCAGGTTATTTATTATCTCGTCATATAAATCTTTTTATAAAGACGAGGGGTTTTTTGTGCTCGGTGAAATTTTTGTATATTAAATTAGAACGTAAAGGACTGAGAGAGAGTTAGAATAGAAGATGATGGTTAGTGGGCCAGAATATGAATTGAGAAATGTGATGAATTATGAGTTTTTGGCTCAATAGTTCCATTTTTTTTCTAAAAATAGAATTCAATGGGAGAGTTCACCATCAAAAGTCAAAACTACCCAAGACTTTTACAATGCTTAAGCCCTTGTTGATGTACAAATTTACCAACTACAAAATTCTTTGCAAATAAATTGAAGCAAAACAATCTTACAATCAATGAAGATTGCAAGCGAATTGAGCCTGCTTTCAATCTGAAGTGAGAAAAACGAAAGTACTACAGAAATTAGGAAATCAGTAATTACACTCACTGAAAGAGAAGATCTTCATGTGATACTACATTATTGTCTTTTATGTGTCATCTCTTTTGGCTTTTGAGGTGGACCTTTCGTTAGATCTTACCTCATTTTTTCAGTTCCAAAGAGATTGAATAGAGAGGAGAAGGATGAACTGGTCTTCTTGATGTCTATTCTAATCTTTCTTTTGAGATTTAGATCCTATAATTTTTCATTTTTTGGCCCCACTTGGCCTCAATGATCCTATCCACCAAGTACACAAGGCCAAAATATGTACTTGATTTATTAGCTCTAGAGAACCGAAGAATATATCAAGAAGAAATAAATGCTCTAACATCCATCCTTATAGCTTTTTTGCTTGACTTCCTTCATTAGAATATGTGGAAGTATCTAATACATGATCCAGATCCTCCACGTTTTGGAGAACTTGAGCCCTCAGCATATTAGCTCGAGAGCTCACTAGGGATTTCGCACAGAGCGGCCAACGTGTGGGTGCCTGCGTGTGGCTGTCTCTCCCACTTTTATTTTCACTACATTGAACTCTATAAAGTGCAATGATTAAATAATTTAATCCATGACTAGTAAAGTATTCAAAGATCAATTAATTAAATAAGGTAAACTTTGAAATGTTGTCATCATTCAAACCAAGATTCTAGTGCTCACAAGGAGTGCAAAAAAGATGCTTTGAACAATCAAAGAATAGACAAAAGAAGGTTGATTGGAGTAGATATCTCTACTTATTGTTACATTTTGACTTGCCAGATTTCACCCCTCTCACCCTTTATTGTCTTGTTTTTGGGGCTTTCACATTTTGACCTTCCACCAAGAGGCACCTTTTAGTCCTTTTTTCACCTTTGATTTCATTCAAATGTGCTGGTTTATTTCTTGAGTTTTCAATGTACTTATGAATAGAGAGAAAGCTCGATTCCCTTGAATGATTTTAGTTGTTTGGCCTTGGATCCTTGGAAATGATTTAAAATGTTTTGTCTCTAAACATAATAGACTAATTGAATACTTGTACCAATAGTTCCTGCAACTAACTCTTGGAATAACCCAAAAGAAATTGTAGTTTGGTTTCAAATGATTTTTTTTATCTTTAATTTATAGTAGCTGACTTACCCATTTGAAGTGGTCACAACATAATAAAATGTAAAAACAAAATTATTGTGGCACTAAGAGCAAGATATGGGCAGTAATAGGGTATCATTCTTGAGCTCCAATAAATTTAGATCTTTGTCAATTAAAATTTATTTTAGACATTAGAAAAGTATATCTACTTTCACAAAAAAATTATATCCTAGAAGAAACCACCAGGGAAGAAAAGTGATGAGAAAATGCTTATGCTTCATCATTCCAATCCTAAGTTTTGAGCCCCAAGTAAGCATACCATTCTAGAGTGTAAGATCTATTAGATTTCCATCACATCTAAGATTTACCATGCTTATGCTTCATCATTACATTTCAAACCAAAGTGCTCTTGTGATAGAGCATTATTCCTTTTGTAATGAGTCAACACATGTTAGTTTTACAACCCTACACAGATGATGGCAAGCTAGTGCAATGTATAGTGGAGAGCCAATTAGAAGGTGAATCTATGATGCCAAGGAGTGGAGATATAATTGCATTTAGTACTTTCACCTAGTGAAACTAATTGGAGCTTAAAGATTGTACACTTAGAAAAGTTGATTAAGCTTTGAATTGAACCACTACAAAGTGTGTTTTCTTTTTTAAGAAATGGTGTTTGAGTCACATAACCTATACTTAAGTAAAGACCTATACTTGAACTTAGTTATGCCCAATTGTGAATCCTATGGCAAGACATCACCCCCACCAACTGTTGACTTCCTTTCTATTTTTACCCAGTTCTAACCAGTACGTATAAATAGCTCACTAGTAAGACTAGTAAGTAAACTTTTACCAAGATAACTATAATAGTATGCACCTGTAGTTTAGCAGAGTAACACAAGCTTATACGTCTCCACACAACCTTGCAAGATTATTATGACAACTTTAGGCAATTGATATAAGTTTAAGGAATAGCTGAAACAAAGTAATAGAAGTTAATATTTATTCAACTTTATATGGTTGGAATTAAGACTAAAACTTTGGTATCCAAATTTAATATGGAATGAAAAAAAATTCAAAATCAATGGGAATGTATTGAAAAAAATCTAAGATAAAAGTGAATCCTTTATCTTCCCTCCAAATTGAATTGGCTGATAAATGAATTATAACAATGAATGTCGCTTGATACTTTGATGGGAAAATTCACGTTTTATTATTAGTTGTAACCATAAAGACTTGCATCTTTGGTTTCAATTTTTCGGCAATTATTTAAAATATTAAGAGTTTTTGAATTCATTGAAAACAACCATTATCTAGTTTTTGTTGTTCAAGAAAATGGATGAAATGGAAATATAGTCCGGATAATCAGAAACTTTGCCTAGTCTTTAGTTGCCATCTGACGGAACAATTTATGAAATATACCAAAGATAAAATGGTGAATATCATTTCAAATATTATTATATCCGAACCGTCTAGACCACCGTAGTTATTTATCGGGTTTTGGTTTCTTTATCGGTTACCAGAGGTCATTCGTCTGCGTAACCATTAAACCCGATAAGGTGTTCTCCTAATTTGGCAAGCGATGAAAATAGCGAACGACGGTTACAAAGAAACAACAATAAAATAATAATATTCTCCGTTCCTAAACGTGTTCCTTCTCCCATGATTTCATGTTGTTCATTAACAGCCGTTCGTTTTCTACTGATCATCAAATGGACGGTAGAATTTTCAGTACAAGAAATGTTTCGAAAGAGTACGTCCACAGTGAGACTAACGGTCGCAACGCCACGAGTCTCTCTCTTGCCCGGAGTCGTCGTCCCCCTCAAGAAGCCCCCGCGCCCCATGCAGATCCACAGATCCTCCTGTTCTTCCTCCTCCGTCATGCTCCTCTCCTTCCGGTCCTTACCCACCCAAGAAAGGAAGAGATCTAAGTAACCCAGGTCCCCAAGTTCTCCCCTTCTCCCTTTCCCTCAGAACCCACCCACCTAATTCGGCGGCTCTGTAACCTTCGCTGCTGGCGGCTCCAATGCCAGTCCATGAGGCCGAATTAGCCGCCGAAGCTCCCCCTCCGCCTGCCGGTGGTGATCCCACTGTTGCAGGCCATGCGCCACCGTCGTCTCCGACGTCTCTGTACGTAGGAGACCTTCAGCTGGACGTGACGGAGGACCAACTGTTGGCGATGTTTGCCCGGATCGGTGTCATCGCATCCATCCGCATCTGCCGCGACGCCGTCACAGGGGCCTCGCTTGGTTACGCCTACGTGAACTTCGTTTCTTCCGAAGATGGTGGGCGATTATAATTATTCTTGGCCATTTTCTGCTTGCGCGCACACCTTTTGTTTGGTAATCGTTTGCCGTCGAATGTTTCTTTCCTGTCACGCTTCTTCTAGGGCCCCATTTCGGATGATTTCGTGGGCACATTCTCGATATCCAACCTTCTCTCCTTATTTCCTTGTTCTCTTCTTGACGATACTTCCTCGTTTGTTTATGTATTCTTCTTGTTCCGTTTAAGTTCCTATTCAACCTCTTAGCCCGTCCTTGTACGATCCTTTTCCCTGTTTATTTACTGATCACGTGGTAGCAGCTCCTCCCATTTTTGACGCCTTTATTTATTTCTTTTTTTCTGCTCATCTTCTTCACCATTGTTCTCTAGGATTTATTTCTTTATTTATTTTTGTTTCTTGATGTATAATTTTTCGTTCAGTTAAACGTGAACATCTACCCACTTCTCTGGAATAACTCGGCTGTCTTTTTTCATAGCCATCTGTGCTCTGGAGGCTCTGAACCACACCGCGGTGAATGGGAAGCCAATAAGGATTATGTGGTCGCATCGAGACTCAGATGTGAGGAAAAGTGGAATCGGAAATCTTTTTGTTAAGGTATCAAAAATCAACAAGAAAAAGAAAACAAAATTCTTGATTTGTTATCGCTGCAGAAATGAACGAGTTTCAGATTTCTTTCTCCCTTTCACCTTTTGCCTTGCAGAACTTAGCGGAATCGATCGACAGTATAAAGCTCCAGGAGATATTTTCGAGGTTTGGGAAGATTTTATCTTGCAAAGTTGCTACCTCCCCAGGAGGGAAGAGCAAATGCCATGGTTATGTTCAGTTTGATACTCAAGAATCAGCCAATGCTGCTCTCCAGGAACTTCATGAAGCCTGCATTGAGGGAAAGAAAATGTGAGTTGAGTTGGTTCATCAGAATTTATCTTCTCTTTGTTCTTGTGGAGCAGATACAATTCCAAAACCCAAATAGGTTTCAGCCATTGTACTTCTTGTGGAGCAGATACGTCACCAATTTCATAAAAAGGAGTGAACGCGTAGTACCCAGTTCAGATGCAAACTACACGAATCTGTACGTGAAGAATCTTGATCAGGACATCACTGAGGAGCTTCTCCACCTGAAGTTTTCCGAGTTTGGCAAGATTACTAGCGTGGCCATCGCCGTAGACTCCACTGGAAGCTCCAGAGGATTTGGATTTGTGAATTATGAGAGCCCCGGCAGCGCTAAAACTGCAGTGGAAACGATGAATGGAATGCAACTCGGTAGGACTGTTTGCTATTGAGTAAGCTGGTTTTCGGTTGCTTTAGAAATGCATTGGGTCAGTGACTCTTCTGGGGTTCCTAATCCCGTTTTTTATGCTTTATACGGTGTAGGCTCCAAGGCATTATATGTTGCCAGAGCCCAGAAAAAAGCAGAGCGCGAAAAAATTTTAGGCCGTTTGTATGGAGCAAGCCATAATGATTCCGCAAAGAACATGGTATTTGAATCATTTGCTATGGTTTTCTTCGCTTGATTTGGGCCCCAACTTCTCTTCTCTTGCAGTTGACTGACCGATCGTCATCTCTTTTCAGGCTTCAAATGTATATGTCAAGAACATCTATGATTCTGTCAGTGATGACGATCTTCGGGAGCATTTCAGTGCATGTGGGACAATCACTTCTGCCAGAGTGATGCGTGATGACAAAGGAGTGAGCAAGGGGTTTGGATTTGTGTGCTTTAGCAGCGCCGACGAGGCAAAGAGGGCCGTGGGCTCTCTTCACGGTAGTCAAACAACCTGGTCTTGAGTCCACTGAAAGTTCTCTCTTCTCAATGTTTTCCAAACTGTTGCCTTTAGGGTTTATGTTCCACGGCAAGCCGCTGTACGTTGCAATCGCGCAGAGGAAGCAGGAAAGGCAGACCCACTTGCGGCTTCGGTATGCCCAGATGATGTCTGGATTTGCTGCGCCATCCTCTGGTGTCATTCATGCTGGGTATCCTCCGATTTACTACCCTCCTCCTGGTCCCAATCTTATGTACCAACCAGTGCCAACCAGACCTGGATGGATGATACCAAATGGGTTTGTTCCCCCAACAAAATTAGGTTTCCAAGCACCGTCTCCACCAATGGTAAGTTTCTTTCTCCCGGTTTCCTGGTTTCTCGTCTTTGTATAGAGCATCGTCTCCACCTGTAAGGCCTTCTTTCTGCAGAATTCAAATGTTCTTAGACATCACTGGCGAGGTGGAGGACAGATAAATGGAAATGTGCCTTGGATGACCGGCCCACCTTCCTCTTATGTTCCACAAGTGCGACCAAGCAGTCTGCAGGTCTGTTTACTCCTTGTAGATCATACATCGCATTTTTCTTGGTAAAATTTCAACTCCCATTACTTCTGATGCATACATCAACATAGCTAGCAATTCCAGGCTGTGAAATGATTTTTTTTTTTTTTTTTTACCACAATATTTGTACCCGTCAATGAAAGACCCATCTTTAAAATCTATTTCTTTTTTTGGAAAAAAACAAAGCCGAGGTTTAACTAGAAAATAGGGATTAATACTTGGATTTCTTGAATACTGCCAACAAATTTGACTTCATAGAGAGAGGACCAATGAGACAAAAATGATTTTTACTCCTGATTACCTCTTGTTTATTTATTTTGATTCAATGCATTCTCCTTCAATGAATTATTTCTACATTATTCATTTAAATATGAGTGAGGCCATTTTCTGCTTTTTCCTGTTCCTTGTTGACAAGCTAAGGGAAATATACAGCTCTCCACAGAAATGATGGCTGGCCGAATGAGGCGACAACTTATTTCCAAAGGAGATTCTGGATAAAATGTACGGCAGCAAAGTACCTGATGAACTAAAATGAAATGAACGTCACCACTTCTCTGCTTTTCGTGTAGATGAGTTCCATAATTGTTCCTCTTTTCTGGAAGCTAGTCCCTGTGTACTCATCAAAAGAGATAATAAAAGCTTGAACCCATATAGGAAACAAACATAGCCGTACGAGAACGAGAGATCTCTGACATGGAAGGTATAGCCAGAGAGGTAAACGGGAGAACAAACAAGATGGTATAAAACATACCAAAGTTCGTCCTCAAATCAGCGCTACTTTCCCAACGGGATTTCCACTCTGTGACGCTCTTCACTGAGTGAGATCGACAGAGCTGCTCGATTTTGATCCAAATGCAAGAGTGGCAGCTCTTTTAATATGATGTCAATAAGAAAAATGAAGATCTCTATTCTTTCCCTTGATGTGAAGGATTCTTTTCTGTGGCTTATCCATTTCGCACACATAACTTTGGTCAAAGGCATCCAAGCCACCTCAATTTTCCACAATCAAGCCGCAAAATAAAACCCATTGTCAGGTTCCCATTTTTTCGAAGGCTGTTCTGGAGACTATCTGTTTTCCTCCTGATAGAGAGAGCCTTGGATTTTATACCTCATTATCCTAAGACTGATGGCCTCATGTGCAGCTATTATCCTAATATTTGACCTGCTGGGTATTAGGCCAAGTTAAAAATTCTTTGAAAGGAAAGGAAGCGTTAGAACTAGACCACAGAGGTTTAAGGTTGATGCACTCAGTGTTAAGACCAGTCCTTGTGTTAGGTGGTAAATTCGGACTCAGTTGCTGTTCGTATGCGATTTGAGCCCTACTGGCTTGGTCAACCATAGTTGCGAGATTAACCAATGCCATGCACTCCTGAAATCATTAGGTGCTTGTGTAGAGTCCACTTCGGTTATCAATTGAGCATCGGTTTTCAGTTCCTTATTTATGATAGATGAGTCTGCAAGTAGAAGGGCACTTTCTTAGAGTTTTTTGATGTTTCTGCAAGAACACTGTCTGGGTTTTGTTCAGATCTTCTCATCTGGAATATATCGAGTACTTTGACGAATTATTTAAAGGAGGTGCTGACTGTCGATTAGTGTCATGCCCAACAATTAGGGCTATCCTTTTACAGTCCTACTGTTTCAGGCAGATGGATTCTTCTAATCTCCATTGCCTTAGTAGGAAAAACTTGATGATTCTTTCCAATTATAATCTCGATTCCAACCCCGTATGCCTTCATTATTTCCTCTGGATCAAATGGTGGAATATCTGTTGTATTGTTTAACCATCGTGAATCTATGAATCTGTATGGCTAGGAGCAGCTCCTAGTTGTAAAAAAACAAATTCATTAGAAATGGGGCGTTCAGGGTATCTTTTTTCAAAGATTAGCAACGCATTAATCAACGAGTTTTAAATTAGCGTAGGGAGTTTAGTACATTTTCCTAATGTGCTCTGGTCATCTATTGAAGTGGGGTAGCGAGGGAGATAATGTGCCTATCCATCAAATGCACGATTTGGCCGACGGATTAGCAGTTTCTGCTTATGCTGCATCAAAATCCCAAGGCGTGGACGTACTACGCACCATGCTAGCATCTGCCTCTCCACAGCAACAGAAGCAGATGCTTGGCGAGCATCTTTTTCCCCTTGTTCATAAACAACAGGTGTGCTTTCTCACTCTCTTGTTTCTGCCCAAACTTGGCATGAAATCAAAGATTTCCATATGGTTTTAATCTCCTCTGAACAGTCTCATCTTGCGGCCAAGATCACCGGGATGCTCTTGGAGATGGATAACTGGGAACTGCTTCTTCTTCTCGAGTCGCCACATTCATTGGCTGCTAAAGTTGACGAAGCAGCACAGGTGCTCAAGATCTCAAAGGCTAAATCAGGCAGAAGATGATCTTGAGCAGCCCAGGTGCTCAAGATGATCCTGTGAATCCTGTGTCGATTGACAATGTAGTTTTTTTTTTTTTTCTGAAGATCATTACCTTTCAGCATTTTCCTTCTTAAGGGGATTCATCTTGGTTTTTTTCTATGCGAGTTTGTTTGATGAATCTATTCACACAAGCATGTGAGGTGAATAAATGAAAGAAAAGTTTAAATGAATGATTTTCTGGCGATCTCAATTGGTAGCTGAAATGTGTGTGCAGGTGCTATGCCACGCCACCACAAAATCTCATCTCATTGGTGGAGGGTGCTATTCTGGAAAGTCAGGCGATTAGAATCTCCGTTGAAAACTCTGAATTTTCTTAGAATGGAATAAGAATTCCATCATTATAAGCATTCGGTAGGCTGCTAATGGCAAATGGAAACAGCTGAGAGTTGATTCATTGATTGGAAAACCATGCCAGGGATAAAAGTCATGACAATGTTTTTGTGCCTACTGTGTTTCAACATTCCTGCAAGTACTAAATCTATAAAGTCAATAAAAAATCGGTCTGTTCATAGGTGGGGCCAGGGCTGAGCTGCCTTGTTCCTGTGAACTACTCAATATGGGTAGAATAAAAACATCTTTTTAAAATAAATAAAATGAGAGAAAAGGGGCGAAGAATTCAAAGCGCAAGATAATAAGCGTACTGTATGTCGTCACAGCTCTAGATTCAACGAGAAGAGCTCTGCATAGTCTGAACACTTGATGATGACCAGGCAATGCATCAGACGTGTTTTTATGAAAATATAAAAGAAAAGAGGTGATTTTCCTCCCCTCCCTTCACCCATCTCATGAAGATAGTGATATCTGAAACTTTATCTCTCGTATAAAAATGCGAAAATAATTGAGCAATGCCAAGAACAGCGGATACATTGGGAGATATGATATGCCCAGTAAGAAATTTCGAAATAAACGAAGGCAGTCAGAGATTGCATGGAAGCCCAGGACAAATGACTGATCTACCTTGCCCAAGTACACAGAAGGCACACAAATACATAAGGTAACCCGTTAGAATAATGTTCTTGTGCAATGCTCGTTTGGGACAAAACGTGCGTTAGAAGCTAGTTCCATCTTCTATACAAGAAGAGATTTATGCAGTTTCAGAAGATTAGGTAGACATAATGGACACATATCACGCCATTTGATGTTCATTACCTTGGTGAGCATGTCACTTGGGTCATATAATTGAACTCCCTGCACACCTCCGTGCCTTCAAACAGATAGACGCTCTCTCTAACACAATCCTATGAACAAGCCGATCTCAGTGATGTGGAGCCAAGCTCAGACCCACATATCTCAACAGAAGCTACCTTCATGCTCACTCCTATGTAACAATATCAAACCCCTGAAAAAATCCCATTTATCCCGTGGAATTGTATCTTTACAATGTTTCCTGTGGATGAATTTTGGGGGGTATAAATAGCAGAGACATAAATAAAAGAATAGAAGATAGAGCAAGGTGAGGTACCCTGCTTGGGATAAGAACTCCGTTCCAGCTTGGTGACTGGAATTGTCTCTACGTTAGATGGCAAATGCTTATGATATCGATGAAGATGATGATGATGATGATGATGATGGAGATGATCCCAAGGTGATGACCATCTGTATCAAGATCACAGGCCCTCGTCTTTATCAAGAACAATTTTTCATACACAATTCTTTAGCAACAGTGAAGACCTCAAGAGGCATTTCCTATCCATTCCTTTCATCATCAACCCATATCCACTGAAGAACAATGAAGAACCCTATTGGTGTCTGCATTCTTAACTAATGTTCTCTGATCATTTAGCTAATTATCAATCAGCACAAACATTATCCTACAGACCTGAAATCAGCTTAAGCTCTCATCCTCTAACCCTGAGACATGAACAGAATGGAATGCAATATTCAGCCGGTAAAAGACGAACTTGTCAATATTTCCACCACACTGGCGCAAAACTCTGTTGAGTGTATGCATTATTAATCAGAAAGGGAGATTCCCAATACTTCAGAATTCACAGAAAATTACTTCCAGTGCCCTCAAAAAAGCGAGCCTAGCTGTTTCTTCACAAGTAAAAGAAAGCAATGACTGGACCGGGCATCACCAATAATTTTTGCAAGAGCAAGAACCATCCCGGAAATGATGAAAACGAGTCGCATCTCTAACTATGATCTCTCTTCCAACGACTTTGGAGATGAATTTGATCGCAGAGTGGCAGTCATTACAGACTCTAAGGTTCTTCATGATTCTCAACGTTGTTTTCTCTGGTGTACTAATCAAACCATATGCAATCGCAAGTTTCTCACTGTGCCGACTCAGTAGCTGTTCCTTCAACTCGTCGTCGATATCATGCAAGACAGAATCGACATCTGGAACGAAACCAGCTTTCTTAATTTCCTTCCAGATCTTTGCTGCCATCTCATATATTGCTTCTCGTTGTGGATGCAGACCATCATCAGCCCCGAAGATGTGAACCTTGTTCTTGATATGAATCCAACTGAACCCTTGGAGTTTCTTCACTCCCCTTTCCCTCATCAGCTTCCAGACACTAGCAGCATCTTCCCACCTCCCACACGTTGAATACACATTGGCCAGAGCAGAATAGGCACCACTGTTATCCGGATTAATAGCCAGTAATCTATCTGCAGCCAGTTTTGCAAGCTCTGGATTTTTGTGAACCTTACAGGCAGATAGAAGTGAACCCCAGGCTATATCATCTGGTTGTACAGGCATCTTCTCGATGAAGTCTTGGGCTTCCTGAAGTAACCCTGCACGAGCAAATAGATCAATCATGCAGGCATAATGACTTGCAGTAGGCCTGATCTTGTGGGCATTTTGCATCTGCATGAAGTAGTTCTTGCCTTCTTCCACCAGCCCAACATGCGTACATGCAGAAAAGACACCAACAAAGGTTATATGATCCGGTTCGATCCCTGCAAGGAGCATCTGGTCAAACAAAGCAATCGCTTCCTCTCCCAATCCATGCTGCGCGAGCGCTATAATCATGGAAGTCCAAGAAACTGTTTCCCTGCTCCAACAAATCTGGTCAAAAACTCTCCTTGACCAGACAATGCTGCCTGCTTTCGAATACATCATGATGAGTGCATTATTGACAGAGACAGAGTCAACCTGTCCTGATCTAATGGCTCTTGAATGGAGTTGCTTCCCATGATTGAGTAGCGCTAAGGTAGAAAAAACACTCAACATTGCTGCGAGAGTGTAATTATTTGGCTTGGGACCATCCTCCAGCATCAGCCTAAAGAGCTCAATAGCATCACTATTGAAGCCATTCTGCACATACCCAACGATCATGGCCGTCCAAGCAACCACATCGCGGTGCTTCATCGAATCGAATATCTGCCTTGCAGGCTGCAGGTCCCCTAGCTTACTGTACCCCTCAACAAGTGAGGTAAACGTTATGACGCCGACATTGGAAGATGCTGAATGCTCCACTAGCTTACGAGCATTGTCAACCTTGCCACATTTGGCATACATTGAGATTAAGGAATTTTCAAGCGGGCCACAGGACAGTCCTTGGGATCTGACCATGCTCGCATGGACCTGTGTGCCTGGCCTCAGCATCTCAAGATTGCCACAGGCCGACAGAACACTGGTGAATGTGAAACTATCTGGACTGACAGAAGGATCTTTCAGCATCATCCGGAAGAAATGCAGGGCCTCCACGTCGTGACCGTTCTGATTGCAGCCTGCAATGATGGCATTCCATGAGACGACACTTCGTTCTGTCATCTCTGCAAACTGGGCTCGAGCCAGATCGAGTCGTCCGGTCTGAGCATGCAGAGTGATCATAGCATTCCAGCTCGAGACGCTCCTGAGGCTCATCCTTTCAAAGATCATCTTCGCCGTCCCCACATCTCCAGATTTGTAGTACATATTGACGAGAGAGTTTGCCACCGCCACACACCCAGTCATCCCCAGTTTAACTATAAAAGTGTGTACTTTCCTCCCCACACCGATAGCTCCCCCAGCAGCACATGAAGACAACAAGTTGGTGAAACTGAACTCGGTTGGGGAGAACCTCTCCCGAATCATCTCCATGAACATTCTTGTAGCTTCCCTATGGTTGCCCTTCCGGCTATAGCCTGCGATGACGATGGTCCAAGATACGGAGTCTCGCTTAGGCATTCTATCAAACATCCTCATGGCGGCATCTAATCCACTTTTCTTCGCTTCAGCAGCAAGTATAGTGTTCCAGGAGAAGATGTTCTTGACGGGCATCTCCCGGAAGAGGCGACCAGCGTCCGCTGCTGAATCGGAACGCGAGTAGAAGTTGATGAGGTTGTTCATGAGGTACACACTCCATAGCCCAGATTTGATCACACCGGCGTGGACTGATCTTCCGGTTGCTTGAGCGGCGGCGGAAAGGGCCCCTTCTCTCCCGTCGCCACTCTTCAAGCATGATTGAAGGATGAGGGCGTAGAATTCAGAGGGCGAAGCACTGGCAACGAGAGACGGTGTCTGTCCCTGCGGGGGCGGCATTGCCCGCAGCAATTATCGCGAAGAGGGAAGGGTGGCGCCGCATGCATGCATGCTTGGAGGCTCGGTGGGTTTGACTTCGCCCCCCTATCGGTAATAGAAGGAGATACACCTACCTTTTGTTAGAAAAAAAATCGTTTTTGGCAACGCGGGTCAACTATCCAGGTTCGACAACCCATGCCCGTCCTCCCAGCCATGCCAAAACTTTCAGACAAAAGCTTGGAAAATTGATACTTCGCATGGGGATAAATGCTAGGTTTAGACTAGTATGGAGAAGAAAACCTTGTATACTGCTACATAAACCCTATTTAGCCCTCTTGCCCCTAGCTCCATAACATCATTACTCTCGTGGCCCTCCAATTGCACCATAGATGGCACTCTTGCAATCGTTCTTGCCCCCACCTTCGTACCTCTTATGCATTCTGTCAACAGTTACCACTATTTTAGTATTGGATTATCATCATCATCCATGTATAAGAACATCTCCAAGCATCACCTATGCATTGTTATCATTGAGCGTTCATGTGACATCAATGAATGAACAATAATTATGTGTTTTTTTTTATCTAATATCCTACATTTATTTAGCTTATGTTCAAGAAACATGATTCTTAGATTCAAAATAAGTTACAATCTACTTCTTTCTATTGTAAGCGTCAAATATGATATACGAATGAATATATTCATCAAGTAAACACAAACAAGATTTAATCTACACAATTCAGGAATTGTAATTTACACTAGCACCTCCTAAGCTTCTTAACTTGGAAATCAAGGTTATGGTTATATTGGCTAAATGCACATTGTTCTAACTCAAGTATTTTAATTAGATGGTATAAACATTACCACCGTGGAAAGCATCAAAGAATACGTTTTCTATTTACTATATTAGTAGAAAAAATATTTAAACTAAAAATTGATCCGTGAAACCATTGGTGACTTTGTCAAATTAGTGAAATCAGCTTGTGCTAAGCTTTTAACTAGCCAACCACTATTTAGATGTAGAACAAGATTTTTTAAATCTAGGAAAGGCTGAGAAGGCATAGTCTGAAGCCCTGCATAGTGGAAGGGAAAGAGAGGATGGGAAGAGGAAAATGATAAGATGATCAAGGACTCTTGCCCTAGATGCAAGCCTGTTATTCTGACTCTCCCCATGCCAATGGGAGATGTCAAGCTCAAATGAGCAATCTCATTTATTAACCCTAAGTGTGAAGATTGAGGACCTTGGGTGTTCTTGACTTGCAGTGGGCATGACGGCACCAATGTGTGGCTTCACACCTCCAAGTGAAAGAGTTAGGACCTTGCATGTGGTTGTCGCCGAAGGACGTGCTACCTAATTGATTCTATTATAATTATATCCTTGTCTCAAAGGTTAAGTATGAACTAATTTAGGTTGTGAAATTATGAATGACTCATTTAATCAGTTATAGTTTGTTCGATGGTACCTACCACTCAAATAATTGTAGTAATCTTCTAGAGCTAGTACATACATCAAACCTTGACTTATAAAAAGAATGCATTTATTAGATAAAATAGTCATCGTTCTTAAATAGCCCATACATGACATAATTAGGAGTTTACACCTACCAATAAGGGTAAAAAAGACTAAACTGATGTTTATGATAGGAAAACGACCAATGCTAAAGAATTATAAACTATTGAGCAAGATGTAGACAGTTTTGTAGCTCCCCCAGTGGTAGGGTTGTTGTGATGGCTCCTCCTTGATGTTGACGCTCCTAATGATCCCACTATTGGAGACTTGGTTTTGCTAATGACATCAACTAAAACTCAGGCTTATCAAAATAAAGTAGTTGTTCATCTTTGGATAAATCAACTCAACATTGTGTTCTCAATTATTCAAGTAATTCTTGATTTTTTCTTACTAAAGGTTGCGAACTAGACTTCTTTCTAGCAAGATGGATTACTACCTCCTCCCCCACCTTGGGGTGACAAATAAATATCAAAATAACTTGAGATCCATTGATATTTAGATAAATTTCTTGATAGTAGATTGAAATTTTTAATTGCTAGACTTTACCAAGTTTATGTCGCCACATATGATTAAAACTTTTAATTACCAGACTTTAAATCATACTTTCATCGCCAATTCCAATGATACTTTCACTGCTCTCTCCGACTTTCTTCGCCACTCTCTATTTGTGTCTGTCTCTCTAGGTTGCTTTCTATCTGCCTCTCCATCCTCTTCCCTTCTCCCCGCATTTCACGGCTCATAACACCTTCATTTAATCTCAGTGAAAGTGACATTTATCGGACAACTCTGTCCCTTCTTCTCTCTCTCTCTCTCTCTCCACTCCCCTCCCCCTCGCTCTCGCCTGTTTCCTTCCCATTGGTCCCACTGTATTTCTGTACATAGGCTCTAGTATGACGAGCAGTACGTTGATTATCTACACTGAAAGAGAGTTCCAGACCTCTTACAAAAAAAACTGTGCGCAATATTGATAAAAGGTTCTGAAATATGGGACAGACTCAAAGACTCAGTTTCAGAATCTTCACAGAACATGCACCGTATTTGTCACCACCTGTTTCCATATACGACCAGGAAGCAAGGAACAGCAATCTAGAAACCAAAGGTTACACACGGCGGCCGTCCTTCGTAATCGGGACGTCTCCTCTTATTCCACTGGCTGCGTTACATCTTACACTTGTTCCTCTCGGACATGGGTATGAGCAAGGCGTGTACCGTTTTCATGGCTGGCCGGAGCCCCAGCCACCTAGCTGATGCATCGGCGACATAAACGAAAGTACCCATAGATGCACTGGGAGCAACAGGAAGGGGGGCCGCCCGATACTATCCACGAAAATGGACAGCAACCCTGGCATGTATTATTGATGCTGCTGATCGAGCAGCAACGAGAACAGCATCGCCCAGTTGATACGTTGCCCTGGAACTCGGCCACATAGCGGAACACTGGAAAGAAGCGAGCGGTATAAGAGATTGTGCGTAGAAGAACTGAATAGTTGTCAACTGCGCAAGGCTCACCTGGGGGGAAGAAGAAGAAGAAGAACTTTTTGTCTTCCTGCGCAGCTGCGGGGGTCAAGTAGAGGGGCGGCACAGTGACGAGGATAACCAGAAGAACAGCAAGAGACTTGGAAGCCATCTTCTTATCGCTCTCTCTCTCTCTCTCTCTCTCTCTTCCTTCTTAAGAGGGAGCTGCTGCTCAGGCTGATGCTAGGCAGACTCAGAAGCTAGTGGATACTGGAAACGCCGTGCCTTGTGATCCCTGCATATATAGGCCTAGCACAGCGACTCTTCTCTACATTTTATGAACCACCCACCGATTTGGTACGTGGATATTTTTGCTCTAAATCAACTGAGAGCTAAACAAGGGATTACTAGGTGTTTCTAAAAATACGTTCATATTTTCTCATATGGTTAGTGCATTCACTGACCCTGGTTGGCTGGTATTATTGCACCGTGCCCAACAGATTATTGCCCGCCTCTGTTCTTATCGCTGTACGTGCTGAAGATCCTTTTCAGGGAATAAAGGATGTCGATTCCGTTGACATGTTATGATCTCCGCTTATTGATTACTTCTATTTAACATGCATTCAATATTCGGCAGCGGTTAGTTGGGGGTTAACACTTGACCATATTTATAACATGCATTCAATGTTGTGCTCTTGTGAACAGCTTAAGGACATGTCTTTCATGAAATAACCCTTCACCAAAAAACTTTGGTGCTCTAAATACTATAAGGATAAGATTTTACTAGAACAAAACAACAATGTTGCAAAACATTTCCAAAAGAGGAAAGAAAAAAATATTTGGTCAACGCAAGCTGAAATGGCAAGTCATTAAAGATGTAGTAGTATAAGAGGGATCCATGAGCTTCCATGAATCCAAAACGTGCCCGGCTTCTAACTTTAGCAGCTAAACCACTTAGCTAGTCAACCGCTTCCAACTCAGACAGTGGGCTGAGTAAATAGTATCACTTCCCAGTCAATGGGCTGCTTGCTCCCTCACTTGAGCAATTCAAGATTTATTGTGCAAATGAAGGAACAAACTATGCAAAAAAAAAAAAGAGGGTAAGGAATGAAGAATATAGAAAAAAAGAGAGAGAAGAAACTAAAATTAGGGCAAAAGGATCATAGAAAGGTTTCAAGAATTCAAAACACAACAAAGGCTTGAGAGAGTTAAATAAAAAATAAAATAAAATAAAATTAGTGGTACCTTGGGAAAGTCAACCTAGTAGATAAAAGTCATGAAAAACAGCAATAAAAGTCAACTATGCCATTGTGTGCTTGGTTTGTCCATTTGCTTCCTATTATGGGCTTGACAAGTAGGACAGTTCAAAACCACCCTTCTCTCTACCCACTTATACCAAACTTAAAGCCGCCATATTATATTCCACCACCCTCTATATAATAGTCTAATAGCTATTCCACTCATTAAAAAAATATATCTTAGTAATTTCCTCAATTCCATTTCGGAGAAGAAATTACTTGATTTCACATATGTATCAAAATATATTTTAGTAATATATTATACTATATATCTATGTATCCTCTATATAGCAATTTAATAGCTATTCCACTCATTCAAAAATTATATCTTTGTAATTTATTCAAATTCCCTTTAGGGGAAGAAATTACTTGATTTCACGTATGTATCAAAATATATTTTAGTACTATATTAAAAAATACTTGATATACTATATATCTATTTATCCTCTATCTGCTAGTCTAATAGCTATTCCACTCATTAAAAAATATATCTTAGTAATTTCTTCAAATTCCCTTTAGGATAAGAAATTACTTGATTTCACAGTCTATATCAAAATATATTTTACTGCTATATTAAAAAATACTTGATATACTATATATCTATGTATCCTCTATATAGCAGTTTAATAGCTATTCCACTCATTAAAAAAATATATCTTAGTAATTTCTCCAAATTCCCTTTAGGAGAAGAAATTACTTGATTTCACAGACTGTATCAAAATATTTTTTAGTAATATATTAAAAAATTACTTGAGATACTAGACATCTATGCGTCCTCTATATAACAATCTAATAGCTATTTCACTCATTAAAAATATATATATCTTAGTGATTTCTTCATTTCCATAGAGGAGAAGGAATTACTCGATTTCACAGACCGTATCAAATAATAAATTAATACTATATTAAAAAAATACGTGATATAGTATATATCATAAAGAGGCCCATTTATTTAAAATTTCCCCTATACGAGATCGACAAAAGAGCTGTTGGACCACAGTACAGGTGTCACTACCCGGCTTCTCGCAACCACACGTGGCGGTTCTCATAAAATATATTTTAGTAATATATTTCAGGACAACTACTAAAATATATTTTCGTAATTTATCGGAAAATTACTTCCTATAGTATATAATATCAAGTGCCCCATTCATTTAAAATTTTCGCATGAGATCAACAGAGAGTGATTGGAGCACAGTGGCATTATCCGCATTCTCGAGGCCACACGTGGCGGATCTCATCCATCACTTTTCGTCGCCCAGGGGAATTAAGTCCCCAACCAGACATGGCACTTTCTCTCTCTCTCTCTCTTACGGCTTCCTTTCTTCCGCCATCGCCAGGAAGCCTCGTTGTTCGCTCGCTGCTGTGGAACAGTGCGTGAGATCGGGGGAATGGATCGCCGGTGAGATCGCAGTCTCGACATTAGCAGGCGTGTTCTCACCACCACAGCGAGCTTGCTCGAGCCTGCATAGTTTCGCCGGTAGGAACAGACGCTGCTCCGCCTGGCCTCGGATGGGGGGGGCAGATCTTCTCGCCTGGTCGCCGTGTGGGTTACGCTGGACGATCTTACCTCGCCGCTTGCGAGGCGGAGCCCGTGGCCGCCACCTCTCCTCCTCGGGCTTCAGGTTTTCTCCTTCTTCGGCTTCGTCATCTGCCAACAATGGAGAGTCTAGCTCCTACCTCGAAATGTGGAAGAAGGCCATGGAGAGAGAAAGGAGTTCTCAGGAACTTATCTGGATAGCCACGAGGCCCTCGAATGACGGATGGGGCCGACAAGAAGAGGGAGGGGACAGGAAGAGTTCGGTTGATCGTATGACGGATCAGTTTAACAGGATTCTGGAGGTTCCGAAGGAGGAGAGGGACCGCGTCCAACGGCTTCAGGTGATCGATCGTGCTGCCGCTGCAATCGCTGCTGCCCGTGCCCTCATCAAGGAGCCGCCTCCATCGAAGCAACCTTCCACTTCTAGCCTGAGTTCGGATGGCTCCCACGCTTCTGCGGAGTATAGCGGTAGCGGGTTGCTTGCTCCAGAAGGTACGGAAGAAATTATAGGAGCGGCTTAAGCTGATATCCCATCGTTTCACTTCCCTTCAGTCATACATTCATCGTACTTCCCCTTCCTTCTGGCTTCACATTGTTCAGATGGATTATAACCACCAACAGAGTCGTACTGCGATTTTACGCGATTGGGGGCATTTAGTGCTCCTACAAGAAAACCTTCAATATTTGTACTCCATTTTTTGTTAGTCAGTCATTGTATGAATAACATGAACTTCATTCGAAAATTATGACATTTTTAAGAATCATGAATAGAACGATATGCTTATTTCCATGCAGTCGAAAAAGGCATTTAAAATTTCTATGTTCAGGTAACCGATTTTTAGTCGAATTCTTATTTATCATTTTTTTTTAAAAAAAATCGGTAGAATGTATCCTTCAATATTCTGAGGCATTGTAAGTAATGTTAGTGATTCTTCTTTCTAGATGATGAGTATTGCTTCAGGGATACAAGCCCACCGTCATAACTAAAGCGAAGGAGTACTTGTAGCCTTCCATCATAGTCTAGCTGCTTTCTTTCTTCATCACTTCTTACACATAAAATACTTGCGTAGTTCAACTATCTCCTCTTGTATTTGCTATTGAAAGTGATGTAAACACTGCCATTGCGAAAAACTTTTTGACTTTTAATGTTTACATCCGGAGCAAGCAAAATGGTCCTTGGACTATATTTCTCCATTCTACTTTTTATCATCATCATCATTATCATCATCATCACTATTACCTGGATAACCATCTATCCTTCATTCTAGCATAGACTTCCAGCATTGAATCTGCGTCACAAGCATGCCAGCATGTGATTGAAGGCTGGAGTTTTGTATCGTGTTAGAAGCCAGTAGATGAGTATGACACACGGCATTATTATTTATCATTATTTGACTCTGAAAACGGGAACAGTAGCCTTTGTCTTGCTTAAGGCCTCAATCGTCCAGCTGGGGAAGAAAAGATTTACCCCATGAAAATCTGGGTAACGAATGTAACACTTTCTATTCTTGGAATGCAAATTGGAGGGTAAATCATTGTTTTAAATGTTATGAGAAACGAGTCTTTTAGTGAGTCCTCATTGAACAGGATATTTCTGTCGTATCCTTATTAGAAGGATACTATCTTGGAAAGCTTTCATCAGTTTAGGTACTATCTAAAGACAGGCACAATGGCCTTGATAAACCTACTCCACACTGGGATGGTGGCCTTGAAATCCACTGAGGACTTTAATCGGAACCTACATTTGTGAGTTGCATTTGGCTCCCATGTTGTGTTACCTGGCTTATGAGTCATTTGGTGCTCGTTAACAAGACTCCTACACCCTTGAAAACATGAAAATGGAAAGAAAAGGAATGTAAATATACATCATAAATAAGGAGAGGAAGGATTATCGCTGGTTTAGAATTGATTCCACAAGAGACACTGTGCATTCACATGTATTTGATGTATCAAGGATGAGATCATCTTTGTTATGTTTCAGCTCTGCTTTTTCTCGCCAGGATTGTGCCGTTGTATGCCTTGACACACTAATAGAAAAGATGGTTACTCCTTTGAGCCTTAGTTTGCCTTTTAGTCAGTATATGCATGGTATACGCTGGCTTGTCCTTGCCAAAAGAAACATGTTATAGCTTGGTCATCCGCAAGCATATGATGGATTAAGCCATGTTGTAAAAGTTTAACTGTTCTACTTACATATCTGCTATCATAGTGGTCACTACTTATGAATTTCTTCTATCATCATATGAAAATTTGGTTATTTTATCATATATTTGCTTCTAAATGGGTCAGTGTTTTTCATTTGGATGAGGGAATGAGAACACATCGCTTTCAGCAAGGTGGGTTAGTGAATGTGCTTGAGAAGACTTAGAGATTGCGACTCAAATAAATGATGAGCAAATAGGAAAAATCTTTCAGGGATACCTGATGAAAAAGCATGTCGTTGCAATGCTATTTTCTGATGGTTCTTCAAAAGTTTTGCTTTTAGGTTTGGAGAAAACACATTAAGTAACTAATAATGAGGGAATTGATATAATCAACGCCTCAAATCAGTGGGAGACGCTTAATCAAGAACCTCTTTATTTGAGGCAAAACCTTCCCCAATCCATCGCGGAATAAATATTATAGCACTAAATAAATATTAAGTGCTTCGCCTATACGTGTATTGAAAAACTCCTTGGCAAAACCTTCCCCAATCCATCGCGGAATAAATATTATAGCACTAAATAAATATTAAGTGCTTCGCCTATACGTGTATAGAAAAACTCCTTGGCGTAGTATGAAAATCTAGATAATTGAGTGACAACTATTAATAACAAGCGCATGGCCTAGTGAGAAATTCGAACGTCATTAAGATTTTTTTTTTATAACTATTATATCTTTATTTTTCCTGATTACATGCAACATTATTATCTGGACGTGTGTATTGTAAAATTTCCTCAGACAGTTTTGTGGAGTTTTATGTTTCATTATAAAATGAGTGAAGAGAATTTCTTTCTTTAGCTAAAATGAGATGTGAAAATTTGTGTATAAAATTGCTATTCGGGCTAAAGTGTTTAGATATCAAATCACATTGATAAAAGTATAATGCACGTGGTATTTTTAGCATTTGGCTTTTAGGAAAATACGAAATATTGTCCATAAATATTGTGCATCATTTGGACAACCATTGGACTGATCTACTAATTTGGGCTTTTGCTTTTGATTTTTTTAGCCCATCCTTTGTTGAAGATGGATCCGTTCTAATACATGGAGTGTGATACTAACCTATGGTCTATCATCAAAGTAAGCAAGTAAATCTGTGAAAATTGACAAGAACTCTTCAAGGAAAGAATACGGTTTAGTCAACTAGAATTTTTAAATTTGAACAATTTTGATTTTAAGTCATTATTTGGGAACTTTCTTTAATGTTTCTGGGTTTATAATGAAGTTGCTTTAGTGCTTCATTGGCCTTATATTGTCATCTGAATAATGCTTATTTATGAAAATGCATGTTATGACGACATGAGGTTTATCCAATTTTCTATGATAGGTAAAGCATTTCCTGTACGGGAAAATAAACCAGAAACAGTTTTTCTCCTGCGCCACATCTGCACCTTTTGGTGGGGATCATGCTTAACGAAATTTCGCATGTTATCAATAAAAGGAAATTTATCACCAAATCACTATTAGATATGAGCTGTACTATTTGTTGCGCCTAGTAAATAATTCATGACTTTATTGTTGACAATGTCACTTGCATCTGTCAGTCGCATCCCTTAAGTTCTCTTATGCGACCTGTATGCTGAATGCTCTTCTGGTTGTCATTCATTATTTGTACAGGGGAGAAGATGGAAAACGCATCAATTGAATCAGGAAGCTTATCACATATTGCACCTGGTCCTGACTTTTGGTCTTGGTCTCCACCAGAAAACATACACAGTCTGAATAATGCTCAATTACAGCCACTGAGCAAAGCGAGTTCCTTTCCGAAGCCAACAATCTCAGTGATGGAAAAGGAAAATTCTGAAGAAATTTTATCCATCCCATTTCAGAGTACCTTGCCTCAGAGTAAACATGCCCCTCTTCCACCTCTGCAATCACTTGTGGAAGTTGAAGCTGAAATAGTGGATTATCCTCTTTCCACTTCAGAACCACTCCCATCAACAGAGAAAAAAGAGCATGATGAACTGTCTTCTAGAAATGCTTTGGAGGCAGCTGAAGCTCTAGCTGCCACAGTTGAAACTTCATCGCAAGGTGTGAATCCTGATGGCTCAAAGTGGTGGAAAGAATCTGGTGTTGAGGAAAGACAGAATGGGGTAGTTTGTAAGTGGACATTGACTCGAGGAGTTAGTGCAGATGGAGCTGTTGAGTGGGAGGACAAATTTTGGGAAGCAGCAGATGAGTTCGACCATAAAGAGCTTGGATCTGAGAAGTCTGGACGTGATTCAGCTGGAAATGTTTGGCGTGAATATTGGAAGGAAACAATTTCGCAGGTAAACTCAACCTTCATGTTATTTATTTAGAAATGACGTATATTCTCTTAGATGAATTATTAGATCGTAATAATTTAGGGTCCCTGCTTCCTGAGAACGATCATAATATGATGAAAGGACACAAATCTTAAGCTGTATTTAAAAACAACGACAAAATAAAAAGCATCTGACTTCATTGAAGAATAATAAATAGAGATTATCGACCTTCAAAAATATTTCGACTCCGTTGCCTTTAATGTCCTATGGAGAACAATGCACAATCAAAAGTACAGGGAAGGCTGATCGAAGTTAGAACTGAAAGGTTTCTGAATATCAGATAATATCTGAGAGGTTAACTGGTTTCAAGACAAGTGATAATTACTCAATAACTCTTTTCTTTATCTTACTGGTTATGAAACCATCCGGATACAATTGAATAATAAGTACCCCAATAAATCCACTAGCTTGAGATGTTTCTATAGAAGTTTTTTCCATTCAAAACTTTTTTTCCATTGCAGTTGATGTGATATAAATATAGCACCTAATCAGATATAATTTATAAACCGTTGGTTGCTAAACTTTTGCAGGATCTCAGCTGTGGCGCTTTCCATATTGAGAAAACTGCAGACAAGTGGGGGAAAAATGGGGCAGGAGATGAATGGCATGAGAAATGGTGGGAGCATTACGATGCTACAGGCCAGACTGAGAAATGGGCCCACAAGTGGTGTTCCATAGACCCAACGACGCCCCTAGACGCTGGCCACGCTCATGTTTGGCACGAGAGGTAAAGGATTTTCCCATCTCTTGGCTTTGTTGCTGGACAGAAATGAAACCTCTTCAAAGGGTAACTATGAATTATGAGGCATGATAGCGTTTCTGCATTACTACGTGTTAGATAGGTTGAAAAGTGAAATACGGACTTTTCCGATTCTCATTTCTATGAATTTGTTAACCATATAGTGATAGTTACCCTAGTAAATGTACGATTGAAATCTTACATGGAAGGGTAAGTTTTAATTTCTCAAAGGAAACGTTCCGGGGACGAATATGCTTTTTTGATTCTCCGATGCATCATCAGTAGTTATTATTCCTTTAATTGTGCTACTCTCAAGTGCAAGCTCAATTAGTAATCTATAAATAGAATATAATTAAATTTATTTTTGGCTATATACGGAAAAAAATATCATAGTTTGTACGGGATTCTCCTGGTTCTGCCATTAAAGGATGCATAAAAGCTTTTCTGATAGTACTCCCCACAGTGGTTCACCATTTGAGCTTTTGCAGGTGGGGTGAGAAGTATGATGGAGATGGTGGGAGCTCAAAGTATACAGACAAATGGGCTGAGCGGTCAGTTGGTGATGGTTGGGCGAAATGGGGAGACAAATGGGATGAAGATTTCGACAAGTATGGGAATGGAGTCAAACAAGGTGAGACATGGTGGGCTGGGGAGTATGGGCATAGGTGGAACCGCACTTGGGGTGAGCATCACAATGGGTCTGGATGGATTCACAAATATGGAAAGAGTAGCAGCGGTGAGCATTGGGACACACATGTCAAGCAAGATACATGGTATGAGAAGTATCCCCACTATGGGTTCTCCCACTGCCTCAGAAACTCTGTGCAACTCCTGGCAGTTCGGAAATCAACACCTCCAACACCCTAGACCCACATTTCTCAAACGCGTTGACCAGGGGTCTTCCTCCGCTTGGGTATGAAACTCCCCCTAGAACCCACTCCATTCTGTCGATGGTGCTTTGCCGACTTGATATAGTTTGCATAATGATACATCGGTTGTGAATAATGTCTCTCATCATCGTTATATTTCTTCCTTTTCCAGTACATAACGTTTCTACCACTTAAAAATCATCTTCTGGACTAGTGCTACTGTTGTTTGCAAGGGTTTGTAATAATCAGTTGTATTACCGATTGAACTTTACTGTTTCTTTCATGGAGAAGTTATGCCTAAAAGTTCAAAAGTCTTAGACATTCGACAAATCAGTGCAACCTCCCAAATTACATTGAGATTCCTCAATTTTCGTGTGTGGTGTGGAAACCAAGAGATGGCTCAAGGTAGATGAGTGAGGGAGAGATGAAGTTATTATTAGGAATAGGGAATGTTGGATCCATGCTCAGACAAGACCTAAATGTAAGACCATGACAAGATAGCTTAAGGTACATAGACATGGTAGAGGTTATTGTACAATATAGTTTAATGTATATAGACATGTACGCTGACTTCACAGGATGACTTTTTTTTATTGATTGTAGTAATGAAAATGCATTCTCATAAAATTGGATTAGATTAAAAGGGAGTTTTGAAACAAATGCAACAAAAATTGGACTCTTGGGTTGTTGATGAGATAGTGTAGCATGATATTCCCATCAATATTACATTATTGTAATAGATATGTTGTTATTTATGTTCATGATATGTTTTATTATCACAGTGCATAAACATTGGTATTTACTCATACTATATTATGCTATCAAATCAAGCCATATATAAAATAATTCATAATATACCTTGTTATCATAATGTATATATGATGTTATTTATTTTTACAATGGACTACATTAGTATAATGCATATATGTTGTTATTGTGGAAACTTGAGGATAGCTAATGTCTAATGTGAGGGTGGATAGACTTAGTTATGATTACTATCAAATATTGATTCCTTATGCACCTGGTTGTAATTGTTAGGATTAAGACCCTCAATTCTATTGATTATGAATCCAGTGATCTTTTCTAAACTTTGTTCAAAGATGCAACAAAATTATAATGAACTCATCATAGTCAATTGCCTGGACCACTACGCACAAAATTTTAATCAGGAATCTAATTGAGAAAATTAGTTAACTATATTTATTTTTGAAATAGTTTTCAGTTTTTTATTCAAACCTTATTCTATTATCTTTTTCTTGAGGATCCTTTTCACAATTTTGTGCATGAGAAACATAATAAAAAAACAAATGGAGTTAGATCTAATGATTTAAAAATTTATCAAGAATAAGCAGAATATTAATATTTTATGATTAATTATATTTTTATATTTTATGGTTGTTTGTAAACAACAAAAAATATTTTGGAGAATATTTTATTATATATTCTAACAAAAAGAATGTATGGTTTTGAGAATAGTTTGGAGAAATACGTAGATCAACAAGCACAATATGTAATTTGGAGAATATATATGTTTGCCATTAATGTAAAAACCTAGGGTCAATTATAAAAAATGATCTGCCTGAATTTGCCATCGAGAAAAATAAGTTTATGTTGATGATAAATTGATAAGACATTTCAAAAAGGGATTAATAACATCAATGAGAATATTATTGAGAGAATATGCTTGTATAGAACCTCTTCAAGTATATTTCCAACATGATCAAATACTAGCTATCTAACGTTTTAGTAGAAGACTTCTCTAATGGTTTCTAGCAAGCAAGATATTAACATAAGATTCTAGATCGATATTGTCTATGAATAGAGCGAGACCATTGGGATTTCTTTTTACCCAAGGGAGATTAATTAAATTAGACATAGGAAAGTTAAAGACCAAAAACATGTAGCCCAAAATTCCCAAATAAGTAAAGCCTGCTAGCCTTAGGTTGCACAAATAATCCAAAATATGTTATAGTGTCGTGTGATATGTAATTATGCTATTTTCTCTAGGAAATGTTATTTTTAATATATTTTATCACATTTAGAGGTTTAAAGCTACTGTTTACCAATTTAAAGTGGTATTCACTATAAGATGGACATTTTTTCTAGAATAAAAAAAATATTTCTATCTCTCTCAATGATTTAAGCTGTATTTCAGTCTTTTGATCTCCATAGTTAAGACACATGCCAATATTACATTCTTTAAACTTTAGTGTTTCTCAATCTAGACACACATTAAACTTGTACATATTATCTCCAGATCTATATAATTTATCTCAACTAGTAGGGGGGAAATAGTGACATGTTCCTGTTGTAAATCTTGGTGGTACATTGGTTGCATCAAGCCCCATGACCCCAATATAGAACCAAATGAAAGGAAGGCCCAACAAACACAACCCAAATATATTCATGTTATGTCAACTGAATCCTATATTTTGCACAATTTAGCTTGTCTTTCCTAATTTTTAATACAGGTTAATCTTTTAAAATAGTTTTCTGAAAGATAGTTTTCTGACCAAAACATATTTTCAGCAATTTTCTTCTTGTAAATTCCAGGAATAATCTTGTTCTCATCACTTGTAAATTCAAGGATATGTTAAATTCCATTGAAATTTCCAAGAAGGACTCAAAATGTACAAACCTAGAACAAAAGAAAAACATAACATGTGGAAAACGAAAATGGAATCATATAGGTGGCGGAAGCATCTTCTACCCTACAAGGTGCCCCTCATTAAATAGGCGTAGTGTAGTTCAAAATCTCATAGCTGATAGAATTTAATAAGAAAATATGTTTATAAATAACATAATGATAATGTTTAGGGCCTTAAGGTCCACGTAGGTAGCTCTATTTGGGCTTTCAAAGTTTTACCATTTTCAGGCTTTTTAGGCTCACTATTCAACCATGTTTCCTATGAATCTATTACACATTAGTCCTTCACACTTGAAAATATCTTCAACTCAATCAGTCATGGGTAGGTAGATAGCATGGACTCAAAGTACTCATTTTCTATCATCTTGATAGAGGCATCATTAGACAAGTCTTCTAGTATGCAAATAATATATATGAGGCTTGTATTAAGATTAGTAATATAGTTAACAATGCCTTTCTGAACTATTATTCTCATTAGTCTCATCAACATTTTTTGAAAACTCTCTTTTAGGTAGTAAGTTCTAGATGATCATCTGTTTAAAACTCAAGATATTTTTTCTATTTCTTTATGAAAATTATTTATATTTTCTCTACCATGATAAATTGGATCAACACAAAGCTTTCATGACATTCCCCAAATAATATTTTACATGCTTTTTTCAACTGCACATTGAATGCTATTTTAATCTACCCAACTTTATGAAGTGGTGTTTTTATATACATACATTCCTAGTTTTTCAGCCAGAATATAAGAAATCATTTTTATATAAATCTATTACTAATAATCACATTACATATAATCTTACTATGTAAATATTGAGGTGTTGTGTGTTGATGTGACTTAGTCATTATTTATTAAATAATGTAAATTTAAAATTTATAAAACTGAAAATATTAATTTTTAGAATTTTAAAATTATTTTAAACATTATATCAATTATAATATGATAAAATCTCTAAAAATAATAAAAAAATTCCAGATCAATCATAGGATGTAAAATAATATCATGTAAAATTTCAATTTTTTTTTCAAAGAATATGATTTTCTATGATTTTTAGACAAAAAGATTGTAATAAAATTCTTTTAAAAATTAGGTAGTAAAAGAAAAATTTAGGTGTTGATGTCAACACCCAAAGAATGATAATTTAGATAAAAATAGAGTTCCGTCCAATAATTATTGCATAAATGATTATAGACAATTTGATTGATGAAATCAAAATCTATAAACATCAAATTAATTGTAATAGCTTAAAAAAGAGTTTTGAAACTTAAATTCAAGTAAATTATCATTAATCTAAAGATTAAATGAGTTTAAACAAAGAAAAATAAAATTCTAACATTGTAACAATGCTGTTTATAGAATCTTTTTTAATGATTACAATTAACAAAGAAAAAATAATCTTTTTTAAAGTTGATCTTCATCATTGATCCGTGAATACTTTAATCTTTTTCTTAAAATTCTAATGTTGTAATGATGATTAATTGTAACGATGATTTGTGAATATCATTGATGATGATTCTATTGATGATCAATTGCTTCTATCGACTTAATCATTGATCGAAATTCTTCTTTTAACATAGGAGTATTTTCAATATTATCTTTCCAATGTGTTATGCCTCTATTTTGGTTTGCACATTAGTTTTATCTAGAAGTTTGAGATGAATATAAGTCTAAACCTCATTCCTTATTCGAGTTTCCTATCACACAAACAAAATGACTAAGGCCAGCTAAGGAGAGCATCCCATGAAATCAAGGGGTCTACCCCACATACACAAGTGTGACAAGATCATACCTTTCCCTATGCTTGGTTGGCCCCTAATGACATGGAAGATGAATGATGCACACATGTTCTATGTTGGTTCCTTAACCACTCAAGCCCAACTTATAGCTTCCTAGACTATGCTTTCCACTTGCGTGCAGCACCATTCAAGTTAGCTGTAGAGTGTTAGTTGACTAACATGTTCCTCCTTTTACATATATTTGTATATATTTCTCCATTTTAACTCAAAAGTCTGCGTATAAAAATCATATAAAATCACATAATCAACCACAAATTCACATTACCTCACATAAAAATCATTTTTTTCTATTTAACACAAATATGTGTATATTTATTATGAGTTAATTCATAACACTAATACTTTAAACCATTAATAACTCATGACAGTAAACATTTAACAGGTATATTCAAAAGGTTCTATTGTGTTAACCATTATGAACATATGAGTTTTGTACCTATCTACCTTACTTAGACTATGGTGTTGTGGCAAATCTTGTTACTATGTTTATTAGAGGTTGCAAGGTGGCTTGTGCAAACCTTATGGCTACTATATTTTCATTTTTTGTACAGAAGATCACATCATAATCAAACTACTAGATTAGGGTCTTTGCCATACAATAATAGTAATTTGGTGTCTTTTGATTCCATTAGCTTATCACTAAGTTTTAAAAAATGTTGTAAGGTTAATCTCTCCTAAATTTTGTATATTTCATCACTGCTAAAAAGAGAAATCATATGAGTTTTGATTATGATAAATTAATGAGAGATAATATTATATAAATTATTCATATATTGTGGAATAAATCCATTACTTTTTTTCAATTTTAATATTTCTGGTACAAGATCACTAATTATGTTTTTGTTTATTCATAGTCTTCAAATGTTGAGTGCACATTGGTAATCACTCACACCATGTAAATTGTATTACCCTTCAAAGCTATATGCTAAAAAATTACCTATTTTCCTTCTTTAATTTCTATAATTTAAAAAGCTTTTCCCTATGAGCTAGTAGAGAAGTGCTATGCTGAAAGATAATAAAAACTAGGTATATAAACCTTCATTCAATGTTCTTTTAAATTCTCATTGTCAAATCTACAAATACAACATGATTATTTGGAAATTTTCTTTTCTCTTTATTATCAATTACTTCCTTGCCTACATTGTGTAATGACTACAAATGTCACTCTCATGTTAGAGTTTGCTTGAAACACATGGTGCATGATATAATATAGATCAAAGATATTTTGATTTGGACTGATTTACAACTTTAAAATAACCTAATGTAACTAAAGCTAGGATGAAATGGCAAAATAGTGTGAGTCCTCAAGATGTGTGAAAGTATATTTTTAGCTCTTGTACAAGTCATCTAAAACACATGGGAAAGTATGTTTCCTTCTTTTATACACGACTTACATAGGCAAGAACTGAGATCAAATAAAGAGTATACTATCGTGCAAGAGTTCTCATATAAGAGGCAATGGTTACTCAATTCATGAATAAAAAAATTAGTTGGGGCCCTCTTAGAAGATTCAAGTTGGGACTGACTTCACCCTCCTAGGCCTTCTTAGACAATTCCTTCATTGCGAATTCTATGTTATGTTAGATATCTTTATTTTAGATGACTTCTTATGACTAATTGGGTTAATTAGGATGCAGTTGTTGAGTTTAAGGTTGCATTTAGATCAAGAAAAGGGGATTGAATTAATCAATTTCTAATCCTTAAATCATATTATGTTTTGTTGAATGTATTACCCTTCTCAAAAATCTTATGTCATATAATCTTCCTAGGATAATAGGTGTAAGACTAAGGGGTTTTAAAATGATTGAAGCCAATGCCTATGCTCATTCTTCAAGAAAAATCTTTCTTAGGTTTCATTAATATTAATCATTATTATAAGAACCGTTGATTGTTGAGTAAAACTTTCTTAGAATTTCACTCAAAAATATTAAGGAAGCAAAATAATTAATACCAAAAATTTCAACGACATATTTTATTGCAAGCACCTCTTATTAAGGCATTGTATTGTCTTCTATTCTTCATACTCAACCTTTGAAACCTCAAGATGCCTAGCCCACTATTTTCAGGTTGTCTCTATTGAAAATTTCTTTTGCCCTTCCTTTCATTAAATTTGACACCATATATCAATCTCCCCTACTGGAAAAAGAATTTTCCTTTGAGGTTGAGTTTGATTATGGGTCCCCTTTTTGGGATTCTTCAAAAAATTTCTATGGGGGGTTGCTCTTGTGCTCATAATTAGTGTTTTTAAATGACTTTGAACCATGATACATCTTCATGTGAAAAAAATTGAAAATATCAAAAGTTGTTGAACTTTTGTATAATTAAAATTTCGATCCAAAAACATTGGTAAAGGATTGGAAGTTTTGGCTTGAAATGTATAAGACACTAAATAATTGTTCAGGAATCAAAATTGGACCTTGAATTCACAACACATGAATTTCTCTCAATCCTTGAACGGACAAAGATTAATCACGACAATCTTTGAATCACAAGGATCATGAAATTCCTCATATATCAAGAAACCCTTCAACATTGTTTTAATATTTATTGATGAAGTAAAAATTCTAGAGAGGATAAAAATTTAAGACTCAAAATATAGAATTAGAGAAAGAGGAAATAAGCAAGGAAGATATAGCGTAGTTAATCCACAAGATGAGGAAAAATTAAACCCGAATCTACAAAGATTAGAATTTTTAACCCTTGAATCAACAAAGATATCTATCCTAAATCAATGAGGGATCTACTTATATCTACAAGCAAAAGTGTCAAAAAGGGAAGGAAGTTGATTAATGCATAAAACTAAATGAGGAATATGATGTTCAAGCCCATTCATAGGCTAAAAGGAGAAGGTAGCACCACCTAGGACTTTTCTACTTGAGCTAACATGTTTTTGGCTGATTTTGGTTAACCCAATTTTGATTATACTGGGCCGATTTAAATAAAACTATTTAAGTTAATTTGGTCTCGTTACTTAAAACCTCTATAGGGTTTGGATCCTCTTTATTAGGCTTGGGCCTTCATAAATGGCATGACTTCAAGTCAACGCTCAAAAGAGCCCTCACAAAGATAATGGTTGACGAGGTTTAAGTCTTTGATTCATAATCTCATGCTAATCACAATAGGGAGCAAGGTCAAACCTTTAATTTACAAGCAACCAAATATAGATCATTGAATTTATTGGGAATGAATGGGGTGAACCATGAATCCGAAAGGATTGGTAAATAATGTTTTAATTGAGTCTAAAAACAGAAAAATATTTTAAAATTATAAACGAGTATTTCCTTTTCAAAATAAAAATTGAAAATTTTCAAATACTTCTGTCCCAAAGGAGTGTCACATCAAGAAAATAGGGTGCGATTTTTTAAATACGAAAATATTATAATTAAATGTACGTTAGATTTATAATCTGTCTAAAAATAATATTTTTTTGTGTGAGTTACTGTTTTAAACATTTATTAAAAGGATACAGGCACGAAGGATACGCGAGCTGTAGGCCGAAGTCCGCAGTCTCTCATATTGGGGAAGGGGCAGAGAGATATACACAGGGAAAGTTGCCCTTTTCTCCATCTTGCTCGAAAATCTCGTCAAACTCCTGTTTCTACCGTCTACACGGCCGCCCATCGAAACAACGAACGGCGTCCATCTCCCGCCTGCCAGCGGAAGGATGACCAGCACATCCTCCCCATCCACTAAGGTGAGTATTATCTTCATCCTGCAATAAATCTTCACCCGGTTCATTTCCCCAGGTCGTTTCCTGCGCTCCTGCCGTTGTGTTTCGCGGTTCCGCCAGTGATTCATACTTTCCCCTGTTACATGTTGACGGTCTTTTTGTTTTCTTCTGATAGGCCTTGAGCAAAATTGCGTGCAATCGGCTGCAGAAGGAGCTCGCGGAATGGCAGGTCAACCCCCCTTTCGGCTTCAAGCACAAGATCAGCGATAATCTCCAGAGGTTGTGTCAGGGATTTCTTCCATAGCCGTGTCGATGTTTATTTTCTCTCCTGGGTTCTTTCCTTTTCTCCTTTATCCTGTAATATGTTTAATATTTTAGAGCGTGCGTTGAATTTTGTTTTACAACGGGTACAGGTGGATAATCGAAGTGGCAGGAGCACCGGGGACTCTGTATGTAAGCGAGACATACCAGCTGCAAGTTGACTTCCCCGAGCATTACCCAATGGAAGCCCCCCAGGTGAACCAAAGGATCAAATTCTCTCTCCATGTCCTTTACTATGTGAAGAATCAGATTCGTTTATTTATTCTGAGTTATCCACTTGTCGTTTTCCTTTCATCGCCTTTTGCTTTTTCTTTCAATTGGTCAGCACTTTCTGTGGCTAACGCTTAGTTGGATCAGGTTATTTTTCTCCAACCTGCTCCCCTACATCCTCATATTTACAGCAATGGGCATATATGTTTAGGTGAGCATTCTGTTCTCGTTTCCACCGAAGTAGCTCAGACTACGTTGTTTTCTCTTTTTAACAAAGTTTCTGGAAGTGTTATGTTGCTTCAAGTCTGCTTAATTTATTTTTCTTCATTTTGTTCTCTCAAATATTGCTTCAACTTTTTTTTCCTTGAGCTTTTAAGCATCATTTGTGTCTATTGAATGTTTGGAGTCTCAATTTTTGAATGTGCTGCAAAGTTCCATATACTTTGCTTGATGTGCCACAAACATGTTCTGAAGCTATCCACGGCCAGACACACACAAGGCAACTTTGCAGTTGGGTGGCTTCTCAAACAATGATCCATGTGAGCCAGGGTACTATTTAGATCTGAAGTAGGGAAATTTACATTTAGTTAGTTTATAGGAAGAGGGTCGGTGTATCTAGTTCTGCTGAAACATTAGGTATCTCTGCCTCCCATTAAAGCCCAGCGAATTCCTTTATTTTACCACATTTAGAGGTGATAGAAACTTTTAGTATTCTTTGTTGTGCTTTTTTCTGCTTGAAATTACTTGTCTTGATCGGATTATGGTATATATGACTTCATGACTAGCAACATGACCAGAAAGGGTTGGGGGCTGAGCATCGGCTAAGTGGTTTGTCTAATAAATTGGTATCTATTCATAGACATTTCTCTTGAAATATTTAGTGTTTAAAATTTCGTTTACTAAAAATGGATGCACCCAGACAAAAGAAATTTTCACCATTTATAATGTGAAGCTCACCCATGTGGCCTGGTTGTCATTTTTCACTAAGACTTTGTGTTTGCATAGTTTTTCTGTTTTCTTTTTTGGTGATACTTGAAATGGATTTGACGTTTTGCTGTCATCTTGCCGCCAATAGGGTGCCTGATTTGTTTATTGATTATCCTGTATAAATGATATATTTATCTCTCATTGGTGTCATTCATTCCGATCTAACTGCAGTACGATACAATGAATTGTCTCTCCCGTATAAATGATATATTTATATCTCCTGCTGTGAAGAAGTAATTGTCTTCCATTTTTGGATAAAATCAAATCGTTAGTGTGATGTCCATGTATGTTCATGGCAATGGCATAAGCATGCGCACTTTTTAAAATCAAGATTTGGGCAAAAACCTGTACTGTCTCTTTATGGCAAAATGCGATGTTTACCATAACATCTCGAACACACTTTTGTTAAATTCTTTGTTAAAATTGTTTTGATGATAACCTTTAACCTAAATATCTGTGCGGAGGAAACTCAGAACTGCCAGAATGGTTTGTTTTCTCCTCTGCAGTTAGGATTAGTAGCTTGATTTATATTCCCTTCGATTTGCATCCATGTAAACATGAACTTGCTCTTTTCATTCCGGTCAGATTGTTGGAACATGCTATCACTGAATAATTCATTTGTGTCATTGAATAACATGCACTATGGGCCACTGGAAGAGAAATTTTCAGCTCGTTGGTGTCAGTGTTTTCATAATAAAATTAGATGAAGATCATATCCATTAACACAATGGTTCTCACCTTTTTACATATCCCCTTGCTTGTTATTCATGGACGACCCAGATGTAGGAATGCCCCACGAAACATTTCTTGACTACTAAATTCATCACGCAAATTAGAGAAACTCTTGCCCTGCCTTGCTTTCCTTTAACTGGATCTCTGCTCTCAGAATTAAAATCTCTGTTCTAGGTATGCCGCCACCTGGTGACAAGTCTAAATATTGGTTTAAAATTTGAATTCCTCTGTCATCGTTCTCCTATTCTTTATTATTTGGAGTATATGATGTGTTTTGGGAAGGTTTCTTTTTGAAATTGTGGAGACTAGCATGCATGCCAAACATTTTGGGATCTCCATCATTTTTTACTGTGGGCTGCTGTGCAGACAAGTCAGGCAAAAATCAAGTACCATGTCTTTCTGTCTAATGACTGTGGGTTCTATCTTCAAATGATTTGCTTTTCGCATTAACCAAAAAATATTGGCAGGAAAAAAAATAAATTCATATGATTCAAAAAATCACATTTTCCAACAGTTTCCTTTTAATGCTTTGCAACCACCTCGTTACTGGCTTTTCTTAGTGATTTTTCACGGGGATTTACATTATTATATGGGTAGTCTCTCGTTTCTTTTTCTACACTGAAATGTCCATGCTGGCCTATGTGATGGTTCGATACTATTTCTTATATCAAAAACAGCAGACATTTATTAGATAACTTTTAACATAGATTACCGTGCTCTATCTTCGGACTTGTAACTTATTTTGCACGAAGAGTTGGTTTTTCTTTGGTTTAACTATCTGATAATAATGAAATGATGGTATCTATTATTTATGGTTGATGAATGATTTTTGGTTGCAAGTTCTTCCAAACTGGCTCAGATCATGCTTCTATTCTGGGTTTTGGACCACAAATTAACTGTTTCTATTTAAGAGGTAGTACTGCTTTTGCTATCTCATGAAAGAGATATCTGTCGAAGAAAATCTCTGTAATCCAAGAAAATGGACCAAAAAAATGTAAATTTAAGTACCTTGTGACGCCTAAAAATACATTAATATTCACCAAGCCTTTGAAAACTTTGAAGTGATTTCAACATTAGACAAAAATGAAATTGATGAAAACACTTAGTTACTGAGTTTACTTTGATCATATGGTCCCATCTCATATGGATGAGCTTAGTGTGTTGCCATGAAGATGGAGGATCATTTGAAGTGCAGTTCATGAGGATGGGAGTAGTTTTAGTTCCAGTCTGGTGTTTCCAACAGGATTGTTCAGTCAGACGTATCAGCTTTCCTTCCTTACTGTTTATTATTTGGTCAGTTCCAAGCCCAGAACCGACCAGTCTGCACTGGGACCTGCAATTTTCTATCCATTTCTATGAGGAACTGACCGTTTGGGAAAATTGAGTGGGCATAAAGTTAATTCCCAAGTGAAAGAAGAAAAATGGTCGAAAGCATCAAAGGCATCAAGGCCATATTGCCAACCAGGGTGCCCTAATTAAAGGAAGACGTGTTATAAAAATTTCTTCTTTTATTTTTGAAAATGGTCTCAGCAGTTCAGTGCCCTCTTTTCACACTGAGGGAGCGTCTGGAAAGGCATAGATGCTCCATAGGGAACTCCTTACTGAAGAGGATTATTCGACAATTTCTTAGATTAACTACCTAAGATTTCAGAGAAATACATCAGCATGCCTTGCATACTACATCTAACAGAAAGTGTTTCCCCTGGATTGTTCTGTCCTTTTTAAAGAGTAAAAAATGACCGTTGAATATATTTTCTGATATTTTGGGGCATTCCACATTTAGAACAAGAGGAAATCTACCACATAAAAATATCCATGCACCGTAGAAGAAAGACATCAAGTGGTAGATAATTTCTTTGAAGGAATTTAGTAGTCAGCTAAGGTTTTTGCTCCTGCAATGGACCATCCTTACAAGCCTGCCGAAATGCTACACTGAACTGAGTTAAAACTAACGAATCCGTGTAGAATATTATCCGTGGTGTCAATATTTCATTAAGTTTCTTTGGCCAGAACAATATCGCTTTTTATTTCCTTATAGTTTATTTTATTTGACACAATGTGTTGGTTTCCCATTTTTCATAGCTGAAATGTCACTTAATGTTTCATTTTGAGTTTCCCCAGAAGGTTTTCATTTGATTGAGTTTGGCAGATATACTCTATGATTCCTGGTCTCCGGCCATGACTGTAAGCTCTGTGTGCATCAGCATTCTCTCAATGCTGTCGAGCTCTACTGTGAAGGTTCGGAAACCCATATTGAGCATACCGAGACATCTCACATTTGAATGGAATCTGACGATGCCCATCCATTTTCATGCAGCAACGGCCCCCTGACAATGACCGCTATGTGAGGAACTGCCAGAATGGGAGGTCTCCCAAGGAGACGAGATGGTGGTTCCATGATGACAAAGTGTAAGACATCGAGTCAGGAAGAACCCTGTACATGGCCGCCCCGCCCCAGTGGTGGGAGTGAGGAGGGGCCTTGAATTAAACATTCAACGGTTGCTGTAAAGATTCGAACTTTCGTCTTCATTGCACTGAAACTGCAGAACCCAGCAGCTTTGCGTGGTGGATAACGTGTGATGCTAACTTGTTTTCTCTCGTCTTAAAAGTGTCACCAGACACAGTTCTATATTTTTTCTGTGCATTCGGAGCTTTGATTGGCCGCTTCAGATTGTGGGAATCGTTTGCACGAAGGCTCATTTTCTCACCCTCTCCTTCCCCAGAGCTCCAGTCCCCAGGGCACAGCCAGCTTGAAGCATGGAGTGGAGTCTCAGAATATCATGTCAGACGTAGCCTTTGCGGGTTTATATACTAAGTTGTTCTATTTTTAGGCCTACAAATCAGTTGAACGATATATCATTAATGTGACTTTAATCCATGCTAAAACGCTTTAAAAAGAGGGGATATATCCAGGGTACTTCCATTCCAGCAAAGAGGGTTGAGGCGCAATTTCAGGGCTTAGAGACTAGGAGAAGGGCGGATGGTTGCCAGGGGGAGGGAAGCTGTTTTGAGAGAAGGGCGGAGGGGTACTAGGGAAGAGTTGTGTCAGGCCTGAGGAAGGGCAACCAGAAGAAGATTGATAAGGGTCAATGTGGATATTAGCTTGCTAAAGAAAGTCAGTCTTAAGGTTCTAATTACGTGGAAAACACAAGGTTTAATTCCGGGATGAAGTAATTCAGTCTTATCAATAATATCCCACAAGAGTTTCCTATCTTGTTATTGTCTAAGAGGTAGCTCCTCACCCATTTAAACCATTCATGATGAAGTTTTCTCAAGTTGTTGAGATAATAGACATCTCAATTTGTATCCATATCTGATAACATTTCTCACAATACATATACATACATCATTGTCGCGAGATTAATGTAATGAAATTCTTGAATCCAAGCCCATTAAATAAAAATCATAATTAATATTTAAGAGAAATGGTGTCCAAGAAGCTCAATCATTAATTGCTCAAGAATTTCTTCAAATAGTACAAAAAAATAGGAATGACTGGCTCCTGTTTGATTACAAGAAACTCGCCCAAATATAATTTTTTATTCTCAGGAAATATCTAACAGGGAATTAATGGTCATCTTTTTTAAACTTAAAATGAACTATTATTCAAGGATTTCAGTCCTTGAGAATACATGATTGCAATTTCTTCATATATAGTTGTAAGGCATTGTGATTATCTTGAACCTAATGTACATCTCTAAGAAGAAATTTTTGCAATCTTTTTGAAATGAGTTATTTGATTTTACATCCTCACAAGCCAGTTGACTAATTTGAAGGATGAACTTCAAAAAAAAATATTTAAGAAAGTGACATCTGGACGCCCATTAAATTAATGAGTCTTTTAGTAAAACAATTAAGGTTGATTTGATTCTGAAATAGGATAAATTATGCAAGTCTAGCATAAATAAGTTCATAGTTTTTCCCAGTATTACTTTGTTTACATTTTCCATGGACTGCAAGATCAACTTTTTTATCTAGATCATTGAATTTAAATTATATTTCATCATCTGACTCTTCAAATTACTTTTACTTCAACTTTTTCCCTTTGCTTCTTTGTAAATTGATTAAAATTGTCTTTGAGATCAACCTTAGACTTATCCTAGTTTTTAGCACAACAAAAATTTACTTTGAGAGTTCAACAAGCTTTCATGGTGCTCCATGATAATGTCATAATGTTATGTTGAAAATCTCTCAATTTATTTAATATTTTTATATAGGATTACAAACAAATTCTAGTGAAGTTACAGAAGCAGCCCCCCATGTTGCATGAGAGACTTAGCCTGCAAGTTTGCCAAAAAATTTGATGATTGACATAAACCCATATCTGTTAGTTTAGCTTTACAAATTGACCAGTATAAGATTTCTTTTGGAGCCCAAAACCTTATATTTTTCTGGCAAGTTTATTCAAGTATGCTCACAAGGAAATGTTTGGGACTTATTAAGCCCTTTTTTACTTCTGAACTTATTGATAAAAACATAGAAGATTACTTGGGTGGGTAATCACCTTTACTATGAGACAAGTTAAAATGAAGAATCAAGTTACTTGGGTAAATCCCCTTCATGGTCAGCCAAAAATGATTTCTTGAAGAGGTATTTCCAAAAGGAATCTGCAAAGCTCTCTTTCTTCAAGAGGAAACCATCATTGAATCCCCTCATGAGCTCCCTAGAATTGTACTGAAGAATACACTAAGAAAAAACTAAACAAAGAAATCATATGCAGTGGAGTTTAGTGTGAGAAAGTTGTGAGAATTGATCTAAATTGGTCTGGAAAAAATATAATATATATTACTAAAAATATAAGGTTTTACATATTTTCTGCAATAGAAAATATGAAAATGTCTCTTAATAGGTTTTACAACTATTTCTTGAGCAGCATTATATAGTTTGAATCAAAAATCAAGGAAAGTTTAATCTATCATTTTTTTAATATTTTACCTTTTTGATTTTTGAAATATTAATGTGTTTTGTGCAATTCAATCGAGTGGAAATGTGTTTTAATTATTATACTAATTTCCTCATGAGCTGGAAAAACATTGACAAAAAATATTCTTCTTTTAGTATATGACTGAAATTATAATACCTTGAAAGAAGAATGATAAATCTTATGTGGATGATGCAAATCGATCTCCTTATGTTCATGACAAATGGAGGCACTCTCTTATCAAGGGATTACATTCAAGTTTACTAATTTGCAAAAGTGTGGAGAGTGTAACCACTATTGACTTTTGATTTAATAATGGTTTGACATCCACAAAATATAAAAGGGTGAAATATTCATTCAACATATTCATGCAATGACAATTTTAATTTTCATGCCAGAAAGAAAATTGACCTCTTCAAGAATCCTACAAAAGTAGGAATGATTAGTATTTGGTTTCATCCTTTGTCTACCATAAAGGTAGTAGACTCATGTGACAATATAACATAAAAGACTAAATTGTGAACTAATAGAACATCCTGAATAGTTCCTAATACAAAAAAAGGAATTCCAATGACTTGAGAGTTAAAATGGCTGAAAAAATTACCTCCATTAAAGATGAATGTGAGTGTCCCTAATACAACACATCCATGATAGGTTCCACATCCTTTGAGGAAATCATTGAAACAACTAGCTACACTAAAACTTCTTCCATTCCATCACACATCAAACAAGTACTACATCATTGATATATAAGATTTACCTTATTTTTAGCTAAAAGGGTTTCAATGGTGGATGGTCTCATTAGATATGTGTGTTGGATAAACAAGCTTATTCTAGAGTTGTATAGAAATGATGAGCCCATGTCAAGTGTTTTGTGGTGGAACACCTAGAGTTATGAGTCTACTGAAGAAGAAAATATTATGCTTGATAATATTAGAACTTGAGAAAGCCACCTATAAAAAAATGAATTTCGTCATAAGCTGAATGATGAACATAAGTTTCAGATTCTATCTTCTCTATTTTAGAAAGGAGTCAGGCCAAGAACTCTGTTTACCTAGTTGTAGCAATCACAACTAAATCCAGCTAAACATTTAACAATTCAAAAGAACAGTTTCATGTTGTAGACCACAAGAGCCAATAGATGATCATAGCTTGCTGCATATGAGAACAACATAGCTTTTTTGTTAAACATGCATAGCCTCCTCATGAAAGAGTCCAATCGAAAAATTGTATAGATTCCCTTAACTTGTTTGTGAAACACATGTTTTATCTACAGATCCTCCACAAAGACAACATATATCCGCCCTTAGCTAGAGGCTTAAAGTCAGCGTGATGGTTGGCTCCATGGCTAATTGAATATTCTCAAATATTTTTAAAATATTATTATTTATTTAAAGATGGACTAAAACATATGTCTCTAGATTTACTTCAATTGACTAAAAGTTCAACATTAATACACTTATTGTGAGTAGATGGAAATTAATTTAAATATCATTAGAGCATTAAACTAAGTAAAGATGAATTATAGTGAGATAAAATCAACTAAGATTTGAGTAAGAATCTAATTTAATGACATTTTTCCTAGCTTAATCAAGAAAAATATGAAATCAATTTGAGTAAAAAAAAATATCATGGTAGTTTGTAAAAAATAACCATTATTCAAACAGGAATAAATGATATACAAGCTCATCCGATGGTTTGAAAAAATACTTGAATTTTTTAAATTCTAATTCAAGTTGTTCATGTCATGATGTACATGTGTAGTAGTATTGAGGGGTTAACTAAATATCTGTGCTTTAAGAGTCCATTCAAGGTTCTTAAACATTTGTTACCAAAAAGGTTAAAAACTAAACAAGATTGAAAACTTAGTACACAGCCTTTTCCATTCACTTGCTCCAATACTACACAAACATCATCATCTACTTGGATTTTAGTTTTGCTAGTGATAAGATTCAAGAGTTTAATCAATCTTTGTTAAACAATCTAGGAAATTATTTGATCATCTTTGATGAAAAACTATATCTTATAAAGTCTAATTCAACATATAGATTATTAATTCATAATAATTGGACTTTATAATGGCCAATTTAATTGTGCACATCACATTAGTTCAAATGATGATTTTTAATATTGCATTCATAATGTTTTTACCAATCGTGGTTCAAATGGACTAATAATTAGAGTAATTTGCTGATTTCAATGAGAATACTCAACTAGAATGTTTCAATGGAAAATATTATAATACTTAATTCTAATAAGCCTACATTCAGATAAGTATTGAAATTACCATTGAATATTTCTAAGATATTTTTATGATTAAGATTATCATTACAGTTGTGGGAATTCACTATTGGAGAGTTGAATTGAAAAAAGGTTATGTTACAAAGGGTGAGTGCAAATTTAGCAAGATCTTTCAGATAATTTTAGATCTCAATTTTTGTCACAGGTGGGCTGCATATACTCATTGAGAAGTTATTCTAAAGACGAACATGAAGATGATTTGTCATGCAGAACAGCTGCTTAGATAATAATTATGTCAAATGGATGGATAATTAGAGTTATTATTGTAAACGATGTTAGGTAAAAATTAAATAAAAATGGATATAATTAAACTTGACTGTACATTCGGTAAAACTGAAAACTTTAAATACTTTTCTCTCACACGGAGAGCATTAAAATGGATTCAAGCATGATGTGTTGCACCATAATTGGTGACCTTGAGTGGATTGGAGTCCCTCTCCAGAGCTATTCGAGATATACAACGACGATCACTTCCGTACCGAGCCTCTAGCTCTTAACGAGCCATGCAGGGACCCACCCATCTTGAAACCCATACTGGGCGGGGATTGGAGTCACTCCCCGGCTCTGCCTCCCAACAGGGCGGGCACCTCACCACCCCGCAGAACGGCGGATTGCGAGCCTTGCAATCCTGGCGTCCTCTTGCCGCCTCCGGCTCTTCTATCACTCTCCTCGCCCTCGTCTTCGGCTGGGTCGAATTCTACTTTGCCCTCCATGGACTTCCCTCTCGGCGATGTTCGCCTCATCTGTCTTCTCATCTCTCGGTACCCGAGCAGTATCGTCAGGACGCTGCGATACTGTTGCATCCTCTGCCCCGTTCTCGAAGACTTCCGGCTCTGAGAGCGAAGCGGAGAATCAGGATGCCATGGGGAGCAGTGATGCGTATCATGTACCGGAAGCGGCTTCTACTGAACGGGTTTGTAGACGCTCCGTTCTATTTTCTATTGTAATTCTTGTTTCGTGGTCATTTGGGTCTGCGTCACTATACGGAGTAGCTTGCTGACTTTTCAGACAGCTTGCTCATCGATAGTTTCTATCACGTTTTCTCCCTCAAATGACGATTTGAATGGGCACTTTGTCAACTGTAGAATATCTCCTTGTAGACTTTAAAAGCCCAGCGTGATTTAGGAGATTAGTAGAACCATGTTAACGTGCTAGAGAGTGTCTGATTGCATGAGAAGGGTGTTGTGAATAAAGCTGTGTCAGAGTCCGAGCGAAGAAAACTAAGGATATATCGAGAAAGGTTATTTGCTGAATGAATAAATGAAAATTAACGATATGCTCAATTCTGCTCCTCAGATATGACTCTTCAGTACCCCAGGAATTTTCTATTGAGATATATGTTGTTTGAAGTCTAAATATTTTTGACACCACGCAAAATTGTGGTGAGCAGATGCAACTGTGGTGGACTATTCGTTGTGATGTTGAATCAGGTTTTAGTTTCACTCCATTTGTGTTTATGCATTGAGCTAAAGATGCACGATATAATTTTTTAGTTATTGATGCCCCATGGATTATTTCACTATGAAAACGGACCTTTATGCATCAGATCTCTTTGAGATACTTGGAAAACGTGCAGCTCAGCATCCGAGACTATGAGGGGTTAGCTCATTAAAAAACTCTGTATCTGGGTTGTGCTCTTTTGTTTCCCATCCCTGCAACTACTCATCATCAAGTAATCCACTAGTCTTCGATTATGAAAAATCACATTCCATTATGTAATCTTGACTTGAATCAAAAAGTCTGAACTTCCTCTATTCACATCTGTTATACCCAATGGAGGGTAAAATTTGATCCTTTTTTGGGTAGGACAAAGGTCAGGGGGTGAGTTTAGTTCACTCTATTTTTTCCTGTCTGTAGTTCATTCTGTTAAATTTGTGTTAGTTTGTTTTCATTAAAAATGTAGTGTTTTATGCTTGGATTTGCGTACTGCTCATTAATATGCTGGTTTAAGATATGTAACTTCAAATCCTGCTCACCCAATCTATCTATTATCATGCCATAATTTTCTTGCTTATTTCTTTTTAGTTGATCATGTTATTTTCTTTGAAATATTTCTCGTAATATGATGCTTGACTATTGACAGAAGCAGCTACTTTCTCACTTAACGACCATACATTCTTTCTCAGGGTTGTCTAACACCTGGCTTATATCTTGTGGCAACGCCCATTGGCAACCTTGAAGACATCACACTACGGTATGCTTTTTACATTACATGTCTTTTCGTTGTTGCCAAAATGCATGCATGCCTATTACGTGAAGTTTAGATTCACAATATTCATTACATTATTTTTCGTGCATAGTGCCCAAGGATCCGATATTAATTGAAAATGTTGGGAACTTAGAATAGTCAAACATTTGTCGAAGCAGAATGAGTATGATATGGCTGGAAAATCTGGCATGCCTCTTGAGAAGGAATCTTCACCTGAGATATGTTCATTGGCAAAAGGATTAAACAGCCGTATGGCTTGGCAGAGATAGCGCCCATGTTGGAAACAGTAGAGAGCATTAACGCTTTCGTTTATCTTCTATGAACTCATGTTTGGATGAATGAATAATCAGGTTTCAGCCTTCTTTTTTTATATAGCACCTGTCAATGATCATGACTGGAGCTCCAGATCCTTTAAAAAATATACCTAGGAAACCTCAACTTGTGCTTAAAAGATTCTGGATGAATTTCCTCTCGTAATAGAACAGTGCAGCTCTTCCAGTTATTCCTTTCCAGTGCATAATGGCCGTGAATTAGGAACTTTGAATTGGCAAAGTACTTCATGCCATGGTGAGAAAGGAAATCTGAGTAAAACTTTCATGAGAACTGGTATAGATGATACTAAGATGGAAATTGTGCAAACTCAGTACTTGAGGTTATCTTAGAAAAACGGGAAAGATATCAAGATAAGCGTGTTTTGTTCATATGTCTTACCATTCTGATCATGACTCAAGTGCACTCTAAGTTTGTATGAGGATTGGTTCCTTGGATGATGTACTGATAGCTGATTTTATTGTATACATAACTGGGTCAAGCCTGTGTTTTCTGTCCGATATGAACCGAAACTTAAGACGATGGATCAGTCTCATTAGTCCAATTATGTAGTTTCCTTGTGCAAATTAGTTGGAGGGGACTGTCCCTGTAGGGGTGGGGAGGGGTGGGGTGGGGTGGGGAATACGTGGTGACACTGATATGGTTTTTCATTGTTGACATGACATAGATTTCTTCATTACTAGAGGAGATTTCCTTATCTCTGCACCAGGCATCTTTGCCACTGCTGCTTACCTGACGAGAAGGCATGACAGAAAGCTACAAGGATCCTGGAATGCTTGGAAGGTCAAGCATTCGAGTGATGGCACTGCCCAAGGTAGTTTTCTTAAGGAAATATCCTTTGGCGATGCACAATGGAAAGGGATCGTAAAGTTTCCGGCCCAGTGAGTATCTAATTGCCTTCTCTTGGATCAGATGAATGCATTTGATGTTTAGACTGTGGATATTAAGTAAGGGGTTACAGAAACTTGTTAAACGTAATATGTGTGGAGGGTTGGTCAAGGGGAGCTGTAGTCTAACAGGCACCGGTCTGTTTCAGGAAGGAAAAAGATACAGGTTCATTGCAACAGCTGTGGGAAGGGGAAAAAAAAGGTACTGATCAAGGTCAAGGGTATTTCTTCATTGAGGAAATCTTTTGATGCTAATGTGGAATGCCGGTGTGAATCAGGTTGCCCTTCGTTCTAGAAATCAGTTTCATTAGGGAAAAATATCTATCTGTGTGGTTTATGGACATTGATGATATACATGAGAACGATCTGAAGTTATTTCTGTCGAGCTATTTCTGAAAATTGTTGAGAAAGGAGATACAGTGTATACTGTTGAGAATGAAGAATACTCTTACTCCCTATGGTTTCCTCTTATTTCGGTTTCCTTGCCTTACGGATATTTTGATATCTTGTATGGGTTTTTTTGCTTTTCCTTTTCTACTGGTCAGGTAATTTGTGTGGTTTTTTGTTATCTTATTTCGGTTTCCTTGCCTTCTCTAATAAAATGCAGAGCATTGCGTGTCCTAAAATCTGTGGATGTGATTCTTGCTGAGGACACTAGGCATTCTAGAAAGCTGCTTCAACATTTCTGTATTAATACTCCACTTGTGAGTTTTAGTTTGTAGTTTTCTAGTCATTTGGTGTCTTAATTCGATTCTCTCCCAAGTTTAATTGCTTAACAGTATCTAAACAATTTAGTGCATATTCTTCATGATTTTGAGATTTAGATTTTCAGCTCAGCTTCCACAAATTTAATGAAACTCAGCGGGAAACGAAGATCCTAGCAAGGTTGCGTCAAGGTCATCTTGTTGCCATGATCAGTGATGCTGGAACGCCAGGCATAAGTGATCCAGGCATGGAATTGGTAAGCACATTGCCTTCTACACGTTTTACCTTTGCTCCATTGAAAATCTGGTGGTGTAAAGTTTCCTGGAAAACATATTAGCGGCTAATCTTGGTAAATATCATTTAGTTTAGGTTCTTTGGGAATCTAAAGTTCCTTGTTTTTTATTTTTGTGGTTGCCTTACGTAGTTAGAGGTTTCTCTAGGAGGAAAAGAGAGCATCTTTTTTATATTATGTTTGTTCCAACGCTGGCCTGCTTTAAAATTTGACGTGACTGATGCTAATGCCTATATTTGAAGAACAGAATGAAGTGTATCCTTGAATCTGTTTTCTGGATCGGAGTCTTATTTTTCCTAATGGCCCTCTTCAGCAGAGAACCGTGCAAAGGGCGAGAACTTTATTATGCAACAATGAAATGCCCTTAACTTTATGATCTTCACCTAGTATACGAACTCTCAAGGAAAATGCCACAGGTGACCACCCTACCTCTGAAGAGGACGACAGTTCTGGAGGGTGTGAAGGGTAGAAATCACCTACTGTAGGCAGAAGAATGAAAAGTGCGTCAGTCCCGTGGATCACTATTCTCAACTGATTATGACACCAGACCTACTTCTCCTACTGTGTTTGTGTGTCATAATTTAACCTTGGTCCTCATGTTTCTGTTAGGAAAGAAATATTGGGATGCACAAGGCATGCCATCAAAATATGTTCTCTATTCTCACTTCTTTTTTTTTTCGTACTATTTTTTTCAGTTTACTCTGCTCTTGTCTTCTTGCTGTCACAGTGGACATGCTGCTGGAGAAAGAAATGGCCGGAAGAGTTCACACAATACTGAGGTGCTCTGGCCGCATTTATTCATGTGGCAGCTGGGCAAGTTGCTATTATTTAAGGGAGAGATGACACCAAGGGAGGGCTGTGACAAAGATGTTGCAGAACATGGTGATTGAGAACATCTTAGTTACGAAGGTGGAACCAAATAAGACAATAGGCATTGAGACTCTTGCCAAGAAGAAAATCAATGGTGATTGCTCTATGGTTCGAGGAAAACTAGTTGTATGGTGGCCAAGAAGCCCAACCGCTGATTGCTCAAGAAGGCTGCTTAAGTTTCTCAAAAGCCTACGAGAAGATCATGTCACACGTGAAAATCTAATTTGTCAATGGTTAGGCACCTGTGGTAAACGAAACATTAGTTTCACAAAAGTTGACACTTGATTGAGAACAAAGAATCGCTTAAAAAAAAGTTGGCTCTAGGGTGCATTAGGTTGACACTGCTTATGAAATCTCTACAGTGTACAATGCTCATCCACATTAAGCATTTGGTTTGCAAATGCAACCAGAGTACATCTTGATTTATTCGATTTGAACGGCTAGAAATGGGACCTTAGGAAGGGGTAGGAATTTCAAATTTTGGGTGTTAATCAGCATGTTTACAGTTCCTGGGTATCCATTTGTTTCTTGCAACGATTAAATCTAACGTAAATGTTCTAGACTGCATTGACTTAAAATGACTGTTAGAAGACAAGTTGATGTTGCTCATGAATGCCTTCAGCCTATCTGCTGATCTTTGTATTTTCCCTTAATGGCTAAAAAGGTATTTGAGAGATGCCAGAATATTGTCGCTCTGATGTTTGGAATCTAGTACAGGACGTGATCAAGATGTAATTAAAAAATATATATTGAGAGGAACTCATCTCGTGAGCATTGTAATCTTTGTTTTTCAATGTGCACAGAATTTGTATAAGACCAGTAAATCACCCGAGTTATTTTTGGATTGCTGACACAACGCCCTTCCATTGTTCTAAATGCTCACATCTTGAATCTAGGACTTTGTTCTCTGAGTTGAGCTCTCTGGATCAACCATCTTAGGGCTAGTGCAGATGCCTCTAATTTTCTGAATCGGCAAGAAAGATCTGTTGGTAACAGAGGCCTAGGAATTATGGCTTACTTCCAAATTCTCATGCATGTTAATAGTATGCTGATGATTCATGGGGAGATAGAAGCGTGTGTCCAGCTAAGGTCAAACAGCTGAGGTCTTTCAGCAAAGTTGGATAGAAATGGCATGCTATTCTGTCTTAATGCTAGGGAATCCATCCAAGGGCATGCAACGGAAGTGGGAGTGGCTTTCTTCAAAGTTGTCCTGCAAGTGCTATGAACTAGTGCTGACTAAATATAATTTACTAGGGTAAAAATCAGGCTGTCATCAGAACACCAACTCACGGAGTAGAATTTCACGGAAAATACCGCCATCTTTAGGAGCATATTTTGAAAGTGCCATCACAGCATTGTACTATAGGTCTTTATTTAGCATTAAAAAAATTAAAATGGGAGCTATTGATCTGGATTGCTCCAGTGAGTAGAGGAGAATACGATCTTGGTTGCATTTGGGAGAGCTGGATACACCTGTCAGCTGCTGATATGGCCAGCTTAATTGAATCTAGTATAGGATATGTGATACTAAAAATTAATAGTGTATCGGGAATTATGTATCTGGATGTTATAAGGTTGTTGAACAGAATAGGGCTGAGGTAACCTTCAGTGGCAGCTGCTGCCTGTGTCTACAGATATATTATTGGGCGACTGAACTTACGTTCTGCCAAAATTTACAGAAAAAATGTGAAATTAGTTGAAGTAGGAGGAGAGATCTAAAAGGTATACAGAAGAAGAAAATGTGAAATTTTGTTGTCTCTGGGTATCCTGTTCTTAGGTAGGGTGAAACACAATATAGAATTTTCATTGACAGGACTGCTCGTCTAGTAAGCCATTGGTAATTGTTGCTCTCTCCTGTGCTTACTTCTCGTCAACAGATCATTGACTCACAGCATACAGTTGTTTATTTCCCAGTGTCCTTTATTGTCTGATAATAAGCTGCAATGTTCAGCGTGTTGGCTGGAATACTCAGTGTAGGCACGCTTGTCAAATACAGGTGCATACTGCACACTAGTGTACATTTACACTTCGTAAGTTGTGCTGGCCTTGGTGAAGAAGACATCAAAATCACTTGCGTTGTTTAACGTTATACAATTGCTAATGACTGTATAGTTTGTCGAAATCTTAAACATTTTGGGCCTTATTGCAGGTGAAATCATGTGTTAGTGAAGGCATCCCTGTGGTTCCAATTCCTGGTGCATCTGCCTTGCTTACTGCACTTTCAGCCTCTGGCTTGTCAACTGATGAGTTCACTTTTGGTATTAATGATTGACCATTGTATTCTAGGAGCAGCGTACTTTGTAATATCTTCAAATTTTGATTTCACTTCTTTTGATGCAGTCGGTTTTCTTCCAAAGCATGCGGGATCTAGAAGAGAAAGATTAACAGCTTCTGCTAATGAAAAAGCAACACAAGTGTTCTTTGTTCCTCCTCATAAACTTCATCAGTTTCTTCAGGAAGCATCTTTACTTTTTGGTGATTCAAGGTACATTGTTGGATCTTTGCGTTTTTGTTATCATTTTTGAAAAAACCTTTCAAAGTTTTTTTTCCTTTCTACAGAGTTCACAGGTTAAATTTCTAATAATGCTACATTATGTGTACTTCATAATCACTATGCTCTTGGTCTTTTGTATGGATTATAATGTGCATGTTTGACTTCTTGACTTTTAGAATAATATTATTTTCTTTTCTTATAAGGGCATTTTCGTCTTTGCACTCTCTACCCATGAAATTTTATTCTCCTATATGAAACTGTGTTGCTGAATCTGACATTTTTCCAAAGAACATTAGCCCTGATACGACAAGGGAAATTTTACACAACCTTTTTCTTGAGAAAATCATGCTGAGTTTGGAAGGAATTGAACAGAAAATTAGCCGGATGTCTGACTGATACGTTTTTCTGTTTTTACGATTTTCTTGCAGAAGAATATTCTTATCGTGTGCATAGTTATCAAATGATAAAGGCAATGTTTTATTGGGTATCTTTCTGTCACATTTTTTGGATGCATAATTGAGAAAGCAAAAGAGGTCAAGAATGGATTCATCATATTTACAAATAATGATGATACTGTAACGGAACCAGGGATAATAGTAGGAAAAAATACTGGATAGATAGATGAGAAACCATCTTCTTTCTGTAAAAATACTTTTAGATGAACACTAATTAGAAACATATCGAAATAGAAAACTTTAAAAAGGTAACTGATTTGACATAAATGTGAACGAAGGCACATATTGAAGAAGAAAATTTTCTAAAGGAAGATGAGAACCGCACGAGAAATGAAGCAGCAGCGAATAAGCTTCTAAAAAGTTTTCACCCAATGTGCAGCCACTTGCAATAACTGAATCCATTAGAACATGGAGACCCAATTGGCCTTATTCATGCCATCTCTGTTTGTATATAAATAGGTGAAAGGAGGGGGGACGCATGATTATTATATGATTCTCTCCTACTTCAGTATGGTATTAGAGCTTAGGTTTTATAAATTTTTTTGAGCAATGGCCTCCACCATTGGCACTAGCCTCAAGCCTCTTCTCTTGGGAGGGTGAGAAGGTTAGTATCAGCTCACTCTCACTCGCATAATATGTGGCTCCTCCATGATATTAGCAGTACATTTATGGTTTCACATCATCTTTTCTAAGAATAGTTCCAAATGGAGCCTTGCTTCCTCAAGGTCCACCATCAATGCCAAGAGAAATAAATCTACTATCATCCCTCTTAGAAAATAATGACAATGACATCTGCACTAGCAAAGGATGAATTAAACTTTCTCATATGCTTGCGTATTAACCCTCTTAATCATCTTACAAATGAACATGTAGATTGGTATATAGTAGTGGAATTGAGATCCTTTATGATGCTGTGCGTTAATCTTGTCCACGTGTGTTTATGTTAAAGTTGTGTGCTTACTTGGAAAATTTCTTTCCTTATTATGCTATTCAATAAATATAAGGACATTGTATGCTGTCATTTTCTCTGTATAAAATCAAAAATCGTACACGGTAATGAGAAGTGGCAGTTACCCATTTATTTAGGCTGTAAAGTTGTACATAAGAATTATTGCCATTGGAAAAATTTGCTCCGTTGAGACATGTATGTTGATCCAATAATTAGATCCTTGCCCGCCCACCTTATCGCCCAGAGGCTAATTGTTGATCTAAACAGTAACGAACACGTTTTGAAATCAATGGGTCCTGTTTACTTCCTACATTAAATGCATCATTTTTTTATATTTTATTAAATTCGGCAGTTCATTTCTTTTGCTCAAAAAGATTTTCACGATAAGTCTGGCAGGATCATGACGATATGCTTCTTATGTTGCTGATAGTTCATCTTTAACGCTGGGCTCTTCCTGATGCTTTCCTTCTGAACTTTACAGGTATTGTGTTATAGCACGGGAGATGACTAAAATTCATGAAGAGGTGTATACTTCTGCTTTTTCTCAGTGTTGCTTTCCATTCTGTTTAACATTAGAGTTGGCTGTAAGTCTATGGCTCTAACGTAATGGAATTATATTTTCCTTATGATCAATTTCCTGGTTTCAACATGAGGAAGGCCATCCTTGACCTTGTCCTCATATCATTATGCTAACATCAACGACACAGAATAATTGAGAATAGAAACAATCCTCTCCTATCAGATATCATCTAGGATTTGTCCGTATCTATGATTGAGGTGGTGGCTAGATTCTCTCTGATGTAAACGAGTGCCACATTGTAGTCTACTCTCCGAGAAAGTTGTTTGGCCCATTTAAATGCAACAAGGTGGCATGTCCACATTGTTATTTCAAATGGCATGTGTTGTCACGATCTGATTTCCAAAACTCAGTTTGATTTGTATAACGTTTGGAATTCACAAATCTTGATCCTCATGGTTGGATTAGTCAGCCCATTCATGGTTGATCAGTGCCAGGAAGTGTCTGATTATATGCGAATCTTGGTCTGCAGAATTCGCTGATCCATACTTGGTTTCAAGAGAGGAAGCACAACTTCCTAGGTGGGTGGGTGTGTATACATGTATTAAATATATATGTACGGGACAAAAGTCATCCTTGGTCTAGGTATCCCATCCAGTTCCGCTGAACTTGTGCAATTCCGTGTCAATGATGACTTCTGGGCAGCTTAAACTTTTATTTTTTGGACAAGCCTAAAATCAATTTTCGTCATTGTTATGGGATTTCATGTTAAACTTGGTGACCAGCTGAAAATTCAAAGAGTGCATCGTGGATAAATTAAAAATGCACAGTCCTGGTATCAAGCATTGGAACATCTGACATTATATGTTTTGGGCTCGAGTATTCAATTAATATATGCATACAGATTCCCCAGATCCAACATCTAAAAGAACCTTTCCGTTGTTTGGTCCTGGTATTAAGAATTGAAAAGTCTGATGGTACATGTTTTGAGATAAAGTATTTAGTTAGTCTATGCATACATATGCCCATATTGTAACATACACGTCACCCATGGACGATTGACTGGCCTTGCTTATATCATTAAGAGCAGGCTTGTTTCTGAAAACCATCCCCACAACATTATTACCAATTAGAGCACAACTTGAGTTCAATCATAAGTTTACATGAACTAGTGTAAGATTATTAAAAATCAGGTCTTCAATTATGTAAAAGGTTTTTCACATCATGCTAATTGTTTTAGATTATTTGGTTCTTAATACTATTTAGCTCGATGTTGATTGTCATATTCCTGCATCTCTATGGTATGTTGAAATTTCCGGCTTCACAGTTTTGGCGTGGCACCTTGGGGTCGGCAAATAAAGTATATTTAGATCATCAGCCAAAAGGAGAGATTACCGTATTGATAGAAGGGAAGAAAACCTCTGCCACCGAAATTCCAACTGAAACCGAGCTGGAGAGCAATTTAAGATACTTGATCTCCAGTGGGCATAGTCTTTCTGAGGTATATTCATTATTCTCCATACCTTAGTCATAGCGTTCTTAGTTTTTCGTATTCTTTCTTTATTTGGCAAGATTTTTTCACTTCACGCAATTGAACAAGGGCTTCACAATCATATTTTCTCTGTAGTTATTTCTGTGTGTGTCTACCCAGAGCATATAATGGATCCATGTCCTGCCTAAATTTGCTGCCTGGCTTTAGGAAGCATTCTTAACCTTTTTCATTTTCGATGAAGAATAGTTTGTTCTCTGTAATTATAAACATGCATGACAATGGCAAGAATCTGGGCTAGTTACAGAATGACAAGATCTATAAACGTGATGTGCATAGCTTATTAGTGCCATGGTACAGGTTAACACTATCGCTCTAAGAAAGGTTCAGTGTAGAAAACTTCTCTCTTGTCTCATCATTATCGTTTGTACTCTCTTTTTTGTTTTTTCGTCCAAGTTAGCCTCTTCTAGTTGTCCTCTGATGCAGAGGGCCCAGAGGACCCAGAGGAACGCGCATCCAATGAAATTATATGCTCCAGTTAGCAGTTCTTGGGCTTTCCAAGAGATGTTCAAAGGCAGTAGATATTGTCCATTTTAATCTCTTACTCTGTAAAATGTTATCATCTAAATTCAGCAGCATCTACAATCACGCAGAAATCTCTCTCAAGGAGAATCAATCATGATTTATCTACTTGCTGCTTGTGAACAAAATGCATAAAATATTACTTGAAAATTTCAAGAAAGTCCAATTCAATGGAGGGGTTCGCTCTTATTTTATCTATAACAACAAATACTGATTTGCCCTCAGGCAGTAAAGCTGGTCGCTGAAGGAACCTCTTCAAAGAAGAAGCAAGTGTATTCACTTGCCTTGAAGATCTTTGGAAAGCAAACTGACGCTGAACATCCTTCGGGTAAACCGTAGAATCCCCTCTGCTTACGTTCAGCAACTCAACTTACTGCTTTATTTTCTATGACACCGGTTTCTTAAGTTCCAATGATTGGACCAGGCTAAGTTCCAATGATTGAGCTCATTCCTTTCGTTGAAGAGAAAAAATTTCTGGCTACTTACATGCACGTACAACGAGGAGGACCTTGATTTTTTTTCCTGGGTACAAGAATGGCCCCCCCTGTTTTTATGGCAAACTTCCGTCAGCACAAGGAGAGAGAACGTCCCCCCTAGTAAAAAGAACCCTGTCTATGAAATGGCGGTTGCATGGAACTCGCATCCGCCGCTGTTTTCGCAGTAGAATTGCTATCACTAATACAACAGACCGTGAGAGATCCTCGTAGCAAATCCCCTCTCCCCAGAGCAAGCTACGTTGGATCCCCAGCCTCTTTCCGGTGGCAGAGAATACGTTAAGAGAGAGAGAGAGAGAGAGAGACAGACAGACAGACAGATTTTGTGATGGGCATTTATCTAAGCAATGAACTGTAGCAGGTGCCTGGTTTGTGCTTAATAACTTTCAACCTCAAGTATGGAGTCTATATTAGTTTTAAGTTTTCATGGGGTAGGATCTCGAAAATTCAAAACCCATTGTGTTCCATTGTGTAGACACCCCCCCACCTCACTATCTGAAATAGATTGTAGTTGCTCCGGCCTCTTTTAGGCTCATCATACTCTCTCTCTTTCTCTCTCTTTCTCTCTCTCTCTCTCTCCTCCCTCTCTCTTAAGAACATTGTTGGATTGTTGGGCCTGATCTAGGCCTTTCATAGTAGTTTGATTATCAGCATCTTACTTTATCTTTGGTACTTAGCCGATTGGGTGATGATGACAAAATAGATGAAAGGTAAAGTGGTAACTTTCTAGTGCCATAATTATAGTAAGATATCAAAAAAATATTGAGAAATATTCTCCTTGCACTTAGAATAGTCCCACGTGATTTCAGATCAATTCCATAATCTAGAGTCTCTTTTATTATCTAGAAGAGAGTCAACTCAACAGTTGGCTCATCTGATTATATGAGTTTTACACTCAATTTGGTACTCATAAAAATAATAATAATAATATAGTAATTTTGAACCTTCAAAATGTTTGTGTTGTAAACTCTCTAATTTACATTATTAAAAAATTAAAATTTTAGATTTAGTATTTGATTTAAATCAATAACGGAGTCAACTTAGGAGAGAAAGTAATTAAAAAGAATGGTGTTTCAAGATAAAATAGGGAAACACAAGAAAAACTTATATTTATACTTAACTAGATGTTAGAGTACACTCTAGTCATTTGAGATTGAAGATATCTCATACACAATACATAATAGTAGGTCTAGTATTTATACCAAGCTTTAGATGGGCCTTAGATGAGAATATAGAAAATCTACATGCTAACTATTCAAAGAGTTTGTGAATATATTAGCCAATTAATCCTTAGATTTAACATTCATAGTAGTAATGAGTTTTCTCAAAAGATTTTCTCTACAAAGTAACGACAAACCCCAATATGTTGTCTTTTCATGAAACACAAGATCAGATGTATTATGGACAGCTATCTAGTTGTCACATTTGAGCTGCATAACACATGGAAGGAAGCCAAACTCCCAAAGATAATGCTTGATTTATAGAGGTTCACATGTTATGGGTCATTGTCTTATATTTTGATTGAGCAATTGATCTTAAGACCATAAACTATTTCTTATTTTTTTAGAAAACAAGGTTGCCAACAAAAGAGATACATATTAAACTAATGTAGATCATGTCTAAACTACAACCAGCTCAATCAACATCTAAAACGTCATAGATTGTGAGATGAACTTTTGTTTTTATATGGCAACTTTTGCTTAAGTTTCCTTTGAGATATCTTAGAATCTTCACAACAATATCTAGATGCCTACTATGTGGTCATTCCACAAATTGACTCACCACATTACTAGTGAAGGAGATATTTAGTCGAGTGATTGTCAAATAGTTCAATTTACCAATTAAAACTCTCTACCTCCCTAAATCCCTCACTATGTCTTACTCATCAAAAATAATTTCATATTACAATTTATAACAGTGGTATTTGGTTTTGTGCCTAACATATTGACTTCTACTAAGAGATCAAGAATATATTTTCAGTAGCTGATTGCATTACCCTCCTTGGATCCAAAAATCTCGATACTTATGACAAGTTAGAGATCATCAAGGTCTTTAGTTATAAATTACTCTTGTAAAAACTTATTTGAGTTCATAAATGTCTTGGTGATCATCACTAGTGATGACTATCTCATCATCTACCTAAATAATGAATATAATATACCTAGTCGAAGAATATCTATAAAATATATAATGACCACCCCACATGTTTAAAGATCAAAGTTCACTGTGGTACTATAAATATATCAAATTAGATCTTATTTTAAACCATTGAGAGAATTTCGAAGGTCATAGGCTAAACTAGACTCCTCTTAAAGAATGAAACCCTAGTGGTTGTTTCATTTAATCTCCTTATGTAAGTGGTGAAGGCATCCTAAATATCCAGTTAATCAAAGTCCAAGAGAACTGTACAACTAATATCAAGACAATGCATAGAGAAATAATTTTGGCAAATAGATAATGTTTCTAAAGAATCTTTATCATACATCTAACTGAAGTCCTTGGCTACCAAATGGGATTTTAATCTGTCCAGAAAACCATCAAGACCAATTTGAGCATTAAAGACACATTTGCAATTGACAATAGAGTTCCTAGGTGATCATTGAACTAAACATTAGGTATCAATTTGTTCACAAGTCGAATCACCTCTTCCATATTCAAAACCACCGAGGAGGACTTAGTGCCTTTAAAATACTTTTTAAGGGACAAGTAAATTTGACAAGGTAAAGATAAAGGCAAAATATGTAGAAGATAAATAATTGAAAGAGATAAAGTTACACATGATGTGAAAGGTACAAGACCATTTTGCCTTTTATAGGTGATGCATACCAATCATTCTAGCTTAAATGATGCACTTAATTTAAAATTTATGATTAAACTCTTAAAATATAATTATGCAATATTACATGAGTCCAATTTGAATCCACATGGAAGATTTCTTTTACTTTTGATACAAATATCATGTTCTCAACAAGTAAATAACTGTAATGGAATAATCAGAAGATAATACTTAAGATCAATTACTTGTTTTCTAAATAAAGGAAAAAATCACACTAAAATGAAAAAAAATAGAATAAATAGAGAAGATAAAGATTGAGCCGCTAATTATCTTGCACATCAAGATGGCCAAAGAACATGACAATGGCAAGAGATGTCGGTTGAAGTAAATAGATGCTTGGAACTACACTAGATGAAGGACTGCTCTAAGTTTTGGTGCATGAGAGAGTGAGAGGAAAGAGGAGGTGATAGGAGAGAGAGGAGGACAATAGAAGAGAGAGAGCGAGAGAGAGACAGACGGACTGACTTACTGACTGACTGACTGAGAGAAGAGAGACAAAAGATGATAGGAGAGAGATAGATACAGACTGGGAGAAGAGAGACAGAAGACATGTGGTTTGACTGGTCAAAGATGATAGGAGGGAGAAATAATGACGCATCAAAGAGAGGGAGATAGACAACCAGTCAAAGGGGTTTGACTGGTCAAAGATGACATGTGGGAGAGAGATCAATAAAATAAATAAAAAGGGGAGGAGACATTTCTGACAGAAGGGGGGAGAAGATCAACAAAAGAACAAAAATAATTAGTTAAAAAGGGAAATATGAGAAGGAAAAGAGCATGTGGGTAAGCTTCCCCCTGATGTCAGAAAAATCACACACAAAATTGATCCTTGATGAATAAAAACTGAAAAGGATAATTAGAAATGAACAAAAGAGTAATATCGAATGACAAAACAATTAAAAGAAGAGAAAAAAAAGTTGGAAAGAGAGAAAAACAAGCAAAAGATGGGAAAACTTTCTGGCATGAGAGAGAATAAAAAAATTAAGGATCTATTAACAATTAGGAACATAGAAAGAACATACAAAAAAGTTCATGAAAATTTAGGAACATAGAAAACAATGAGATAATAGCAAGGAAGAGGAAGGAATGGAAGAACATGTCAAAAAGGTAAGAAATAAAGAATTCTTCACATTTGTCATTTGGGATGAGAAAGTGAAAGGAAGAGTAAGAAAGCAATGAAAATGCTCTAAAAAATTAAAAATTAAAAATATAAATGTTGAAGAAATGAGAAATCATTTCTTGCCTATCATAGAGAAACATGAAGAGAGAGAGAAAGCCCAAGACAAACAAGAGCTAGAAGACAAAGAGAAGGGGGAGAGGAGGAAGGAGAAAGCCCTTGAGATATATATAAAAAATGGCAATTGTAGAAGGGGACATGGTGGCCTATAGTAGGCCCATAAGTGTCCAAATAAAAAATTACCCATCTTATAACCAAAACCCTATTTATCTTGAATATAGAAATATAAATAATTAAATTTAGAAAAAATAGGAATAGAAACATAATAATGTTTTTTTGTGAATAAGTTGATATAAAAAAAAGGTCTTACTTGTATTATGTTCTTATGAAATCATGATAAACATACACACTTTTCTCTTACTTTTAATTAAAATATTTTTTTCTTAATAGGATAATAGGTATATTTGAGTTATTTCAGGCAAAAGTTATTTTATAATAGATCATCAAACATAGAAGAATCTAGTTGTGAATGGAACACTTTAATAGTAACTAAAGAATCTAAAGACCTCTCTATCATGTGTACACCTATGTCATAGGGGTTGACAATCACTTGGCATAGCAATTGATTTGACAATAAACTCAATGATTAGTTGGTTGTCATTTGCAAGAAGATCAATTATAAAGACTAGCTCAATATAATTAGTAGACATAATAACTACTCTAAAAATATGGTGTGACCTAATCATTGTATAATAAATCATGTAAATTTTAAATTTAAAAAACTAGAAAATATGAATCTTTAGATTTTTAAAATTATTTTAGAAATAAATAAATTAATTATAATTTTATAAAAGATTTCAAAAATAGTAGGAAATTTCTAAGTCAACCACATAGATGTAAGATAATATCTAATAATATTTTAATTTTTATCAAAGAATATGATATTTTATGATGAAGATAAAATACATTTATATTTTTTTAAAAATAGAAATTTAGGTGTAAACATCAAGATGATAATTTGACTGAAAATAAAACTATATTTGGTGATTCTTATATAAATGATTATAGATAATTTAATTAACCAAATTAAGATTTGTAAAAGATAAAAGAATTATAATTGAATGGATGAGGTTTTTGAGACATGAAATCACAAAATCTCACTAAATTAAGTAAAGTTTAAAGTAGGAAAGGCAGAGTTTT